TACCATCCTCTTTGTAAGTGCATCGCATGAGAAAAACATTACCGATAAGACGCAACGTTTCGTTAATCACACTATCCGCTACTTTCATTTCGTTCATATTTTCACCATGAGTGAGGATTTCTTCCCGTAATATTTCCAAAATCCGCCCTTTATCCGTTGTCAGAAGATAATACAGAATCCAGAATGTCGCCGGTATTGTGTTACCTAATGAAGCCCAGAAGAAGATCATCATACGTGCACCAACATCTGTCGGTGAAAACACGTCTCCGTGTTTCCCTTCGTAGAATTCTCGTGCAGCAGTGATAAATTCACTTTGATTAGGCCGTTGTTTGATAAGTAATTTTATTCCTTTCTCTCTTGCTTGATATGCACTTCGATAGAACAATTTATAAAACCATACAGGAAGTCCGCGAGAGAAGACATAGAATTTGTCATTGAAAGTAACAAAATTTGTTTCCAATTCTTTCAATTCTTCATCTTCAATATCTCCGAACAAGGCACGAGTGGATGCACCGAAAATAAATCGATGACATAGATCAAACAAACCACACTGACGCCATTCTTCGGGCGAACTCATTTGATCTTTTTCCAATGACTGGTGGAAACTTTCCACGAAGCGAACAGTCAACGCATTCAGTGCATCTGCGCGTTGTAACGTTTGTGGATAGATAGTCTTATGAAGTACTTGTGCTATATCTTCCTGAATATCTGAACGAAATTGATTAGCAATCTGTTTGTCAATGAAATACGTTACCTTTTTCTACCCTACGGCTACCGAATATAGTCGTGACCATTTCACTGCCAGAGAAGACCAAGCTTGGATTTTTCGTCATTGTCAGGAGATCATGAACATCGAGTAGAAAGGTAAAATGCTGTCCACAGATATTTGCAGTGAAAATTGAGCCATATTTTGCAAAATTGTCAAAAATAAATTGATTTGCATCCTTGAGGAAATCAAGTAGATGACCTAAGACAGGAATACGATAGGGTATTAATGTGTAATTTGTATACAATCGCTTCGTTTTCCAATTGATATTCAATACGAAAGCGCATACACCGATGATGAAGAAGGTAAGAATAGCCGTCACAATCATCTATGAATATTTTGTTGTCACTTTTATGTAACGTGTATAGTAAATATATTTGTTTGTTTGCTGCAGTGTTGTGCCTTTGGTATATATATATATGTATATAACGAGACAAAGAGACGTTATTTATACAATAGAAAAGTATGCAGGAAGATTTGAAAAAACATTAATAAGTAATTTATGACTCAGACATATGTATGTTTGCACTGAGATTGGAGCACGTAATTTTGAATGCAAGTAGAGCGAACTTACCTGTCCATTAATGTCTGTTTCCATGCAGTTTGATTGGTTAATGATGGACTGTATTTAAGTTAGTTGAAATAATTCACATTTTACATCTGCCCAAAATGTACTTTTTTATTCGATGTCTACCGTTCGCGGTCGTGCCCCTTGTTGATTATGAAAAGTACCTGATAGTGTTTAATTTTCAGAGTTACATTCACCGTTGAGAGAAAAACATCACTCATGAGCATTTTTTTGTTTTTGTATGTCTGACGCGATGAAAACAATTTATTTCAAGAGAAGAAAAGTTTATTTCACGTCCTCAACAACCGAATGGTATGCAGGCGGTGGCTCGTCACTGTCAATAAACATTGACTGTTCAGGACTCGCGGAATATGTGACACTCAAAGGATTAAATGCTTGCTGCTGGAGGAGATCGGGAGTAGGCTCAGTTCCCATTGTAATTGGTATTTTAACATCGAAATCTGTAAACATGCCTTCGACTTTCACTGCTACTCGAAGAATGTAAGATACGTCGACGGCAGCTGAGCGATGAATTCCTCCTTGAAATTGGTACGATGGAGGCATGGGTATGGATGGAATAAGGATCGAATAAGTTTCTCGAATTTGTTCTTCTCTTGTATTGACAATTTTCGGTAGAGTTGTCTGGAAGATAGTGAATCCACGGGTATTTCGTACAATATGAAAGGATTGTAACATTGAAAGGTCAATATGTTGAATTAAGACTCGACGTGAGTTCTCAATGTCCAATGTAAATGTTATCAGTTCACCAGGAACATATCCTAATTTGTTTAAAGTACCTTTCAATATGACATTCTTACGATTTTGACTACCGAAATAAGTTGATATCAAACATTGAGGCATTTGTAGTAGATTAACACGAGGATACACAGTTATATATTGAGTTTCTCTTGTATTTGGTTTGTACCATGGTTTATCGACAATAACTTGAAGATAATAACGAACATGTGGATATGCTAGTGGTTGATTTAATGTTGGAGGTAGATACTCTGTCAACGAGATTTGAAATGGCCAGGAATATTGACCTTGACCAAGGATCAATTCTGTTTGGCCAGGTTCAGGTCGAGCGAAAATACCTTTCGCAGTATAAAACGGTACATGATGATATTCCGTACGTGTTGATGACTGTCCTCGACTATTTGAAACAGTTCGTGTGGTTGTATATCCAATTTCACCAGTTAAAGTTATGTAAATTTCATTGGCTTTCACTTCTCCTTGAAGAATGCTCAATGCAACCATTCCGGAAACAATTTCACTACTGCAATAAAATGGATTGGTTCGATCGAGACTGATCGTGATTGCACTACTAGTGCTATTGCCCATCGTTGATAAACGGGATAGATGAGTTATGAGCGAGGGTTTTATTGTAAATATAAAATATTTACATCCCTCTTCAGTTTTTATTGTGTTTCACAAAGTGGTGATAAGATATGAGTCAAATGATGTCATTTGTAGGAGAAGCACGTCATTCAGCTCGTTTTGTGAAGAACTTCGTTTGTCAAAGAGAGAAAGAAAAAGAACGAGGGCGTAGAATATGCCTAAAACTGCGTATGAAACAACTCACGGAAAAGACGATGATTTCTTCGATGTCTGAGAACGAGAAAATCAGTAAGAACAGAAAAGCGACAACATAGAGCGCGAACTAAAACAAGAGAAAAGGACAGCAAAACCGAAAACGAATCGAGCGAAACAACAGTGCCAGTATGATCTGTCACACTGCAGTCATGCTTTTAAGAGAGAGAGTGACGTATGAAAACGTATTTAGTTAGTCTTTTTCCAATATCTCATAAAAAATTATTTTGAAACTCTTCTATATTATTCAGCATTGTGTCAATCGCACTTCCAAAATATTCAGATATTTCCTAAATATGCAGACGTTTCCTGATGTCTTGATTCTTACTAAACAAGACTAGTGGTAACAGGAGTAAAATAACTCTTGACCATAACTCATCCGACGAAATATGCGTAAGTAATGATAATAGACCGATTATACGTATTCCAATGAAGAATCGAAAAGATTTTAGTAAGAATGATGATTATATACAACTATATATATATAGATTGAAGACACTGATACATTCCGTGTGTGATATCCTATGAATTCTAGCGTACCTGTGCCTGCCACGTACGTGTTGCTTCATCTGGTTCCTACAGGTAGATATATATGAAGAGAAACTGTCACAGCAAAATCTGATAATAGACTTCTTTTGACAACGAGAATCATGAAGTCAAGTAAGTGCATACCAAAGAACGAAGATGTGTACATAGATATATCTGACCAACGGTACGAAAAACAGAAATCTTTAGCTCGAAACAAGAAGCGACAGGATCGACTTGAAAACTTTCATTTATTCGGTATGTACGATCATCTGCATGTAGATATTGATAATATCTTATTCGATTTGAATTTCAAAGTTGTCAAAAACGTTACGTTAGACTAAAGCACAGAAACGAAGGGATCTGTCCGCAGAATGCGGCTCTAATTATTCCATGCAAGTATGTGATCGATTTACTTGTAGCGATGATCGTAGTGAAGATTACGCCATAAAGTTTCTAAACAAATATCGTCATTTGAACGCAAGATTATTGAAATTTGAAGCACTATATGTTATTAAACATAATGATACAGGTTCTCTGGATTTTATTTTAAGACATCCAAGAATGAAACATCAAGCACATGAATATAAAGATTATTATTATCGTCGACACATAATATTAACTTATGCAATCTGCCTTCGAAAATCGGAATGTGTTCAAGTGATACTAGAACATGTTTTTATGAGACAAATTTATTCTAATCACATTGGTTGAACGTGGTTACGCGACAGTTAATAAATGTGCAGTGTTAATCGTCGCCAGTCAAAATGGTCATAAGAAAATTGGTGATTATCTTCTACGTAAAGGATGTGATCCGAATTGACGAACGAAGAATTATAATGAAACAGCATTACATGCAGCCTCACGTCGAAATCATGCTGAGATAGTTCAAAAACTCTTGGCATACGGTGCGAATGCACGGTTATCGGTTGATAATGAAATTTAACCAATGTGCTCATAAAAATTATCTGTCCGAATTGATTGATCCTTTGTACGATATATTGGAGAACAAGGAAGATATCTCGATTCAATCATTAACGGTCATTTGGATGGGAATATTGAATGAAAAGAACAAAAAACAAGCCATTTATCTTTTCCGACTTCTCTTTCTTATGATACATGTAAACTTTTGCAATCTGATTGTTATTGTTCGTCTATCTTTCTCTCTGTTTTAGCTCATCGAATCAAAGGGTGTAGGTGAGAACGAACAATTAGTTCTTCAATATTTTATACATCAAGCCTTGTATCGAAATATAATTATCGAAAATGAATATCCCCCGTTCAGCTATTTGATAACTCGAATCGTAGAAGGCGAACATATTTATACATACTCGTTTCTCAGGTAGGAAATGTTGTACTACTCATAATCATCAACACGAACTCTTACATAGTGTTCCAGTTTTATCATGTATTCGAATACTGATCGACAGTGGTGTAGATGTCAATGAAATTGTGTCAAGTACGAAATCAGCACCATTGCATTTGATTGCACAATGCAGTAATATCGATCATGTCAGATCTGTTATCCGATTACTTCTCGAGACAAACGCTCATCTAGATTATGTCAATAGGAATGGTTTACAAGCAGAACAAGTGGCGTACGATTGGGAAATTAGAGATTTGTTACGTGTCAATCGAAAACTTTCTCTCAAATGTCAATGTGCTCATCTGGTCAACTCACGAAACTTAAACTAGAGCCATTATCTCTGTCCAAGACTTATTAAATTCGTTCAAATGCATACGATATAGAACTGTACTATCGAAGTGATGATATTTCGTATAGGTGTCATTCTTTCTCTTCGTTGTGCAAACACGAAAATAAAACATTTTTTTTTCTTTTCTCTCGTGTTTTATGAATCACGTGTCGTTTTGATAAATAAACATGTAGGTGTACGTTCTTTTTTCATTACTAAATTCAAGGTTGCAGTCAGAAAGAACATTATTATAATGCTATTAAAAAGTGCTCGTCCAAATATTAACCGAAATGAATCTATGAAGTATATCGAAGCGGTTCGAAAAAATGATCTTGGTACTGTCGAAAAATATATTCAGTCTCATGGCGATTTAAATTACCCTGTAACACCGCAAGGTGCCATACATTGTGCGGTGTATTATGAATATATAGATATGTTGAAATTACTACTCAAAGCAGGGATTAATGTCAATCAAGCGGATGAAGATGGTGATACAGCATTGCACTATGCCATTGGTCAAACAAAGAATATCGAGTGTATCAAATTGCTATTACAGTATGGTGCGTGTCCGTTTCTTATGCATTATTCGCGAGCAAAACTTACTCCGCTCGATTTGGCCAAACGAGTGAATCAGAACGAAATTATCGAAATCTTAAACGAGAGTATTGACCTTACGAAACGCTTATGTAAAGCAGCTGAAGGCGGAAATGTTGAACTTGTTGAAAATTTATTAGCAACAACAAATGCCAATCCGAATGGTATGTCTGAAGAATTTGTCAATTCTCTACATGAAGCATGTCTTGCTGGTCATTTGCCCATAGTAAAACTATTGCTTCAATCGAACGTGAACATCAACGGTAAAACAGCATCGGAATCGACACGATACAATACGCCATTGCATTGTGCTGCTGTAAAAGGACATCTCGACGTTGCGCAATACTTAGTTGAAAATGGAGCAGAAAAGGACGCTGCTAATTCGAATAGACATACTCCATTGCTCTGTGCAGTTATTATGGAGAAAGTAAATGTCGCGGAATATCTGATTAAAGCTGGTTGTGATATACACAGTCGAGATTCAGTAGGAAAAACAGCGCTCCATTGGGCCGCATTTTATGGATTGAATAATATTATTCTGTTATTACTCGAACATGGTGCAGACGTCAACGCAATAGCTGATCTTGGCTTACCTCCGCTACATTGTGCTATTCGGCAGCCATTTCAAGCAGACACTATCAAATTATTGATCGAGAAGGGTGCGAATGTCAATATTAGGAACGAAATGAATCTCACGATTCTTGATTATGTTCACAATCATAGTCCAAACGATACTGAACTTATTCAACTAATTACATCACTTAGTCGATAAAAAGACGATCCTAGTAACACTTGTTATCTTTTGAAAAGTAATATTGATGATTTCTTTATTATAATATTGATAAAAAATGCCAGAAGTCTTTTACGACCACAGATATACGGTATCTGATATGAGTTTAACAGTATAATTCGTAGCCAGTTGCTCTCGATCAAGTAATTTTTCTAATCGCCTAACAGTACCGTGATGGGAATCTCGAAGACCGATTACGTATAATTGATGATTGGAGCTCGCCTTTTGTTTTAATAGAAATCTAATAATAGATTCCAAATGATCTCCTTTGATGTTCATTTCCAAACTTTTCAAATTTGGAAGGATGCTGATCAACGTCTGAACATCGTCCAAATTTATTTGTTCAGCATATTGAAGCCGAGCCGTTGCTGTATCGTAATCATTGTCTATTGACACTAAATGAGCCGAGTATGTGGAAAGCACTAAGATTTCCACATCGGGCATAGCTCGACAAAGTTCCATCAAATTATTTCGATCATACGTTTTCATGCGTAACGTCAAACTTTTCGGTCCTTCAAAATCGATCAAACTTGTCAGATTAGAAATGTCCAACAATGTTCCAAAATTTTCATCATTATACACGGTTAATTGTGATGCACGTATATCAATAGTCGTGCGATCGTCGACGATTGTTATGTGACGAGTAGAAGTGCGTGTGGATATGTTCGAAAAGAAGAATATATACCACATACTCATATATCTATAAGTTGTATGATAAAAGAACCATCGATGCTGTGTCCAAAATGGCGAAATGAATTCAGTTAATTGTGACACATCAAAATAATATAAATGTGGAATTTCTGAAATATGTTGCAAATCAAACTTTTCCAGACGTGGTAAATGGGTAGTAATTAAGGTCTGCCATCGTTTGGCGTTTAAATAGTCAATGTCAGAATTTTGAGAAATACGTAAAACTTTAAGTTCATGAAAGAAGTCCGACATTAACATTTCAAAACTATCAAAATCCATCGAATGATCAAGATGAAAGTATGTCAACTTAGTTAACACTATAGGTTGCCATGAGATCAACGTCTGTATGGATGGCTTGGTACTGATAGACAGACGAACCAATTGTGGCATGTACGAGAGAAGAATACCCAATATATTTGGATCAAAATCACTTCTGCTGATAAAACATTGGATTTTACTAGTTGGATTAAGACATCTTGTCAATGTGAACTGCATCTCTGTCCATTTTAATGTTGTATTACAATATTTAAGCACAGGCAAACTGAATATCAACTGATGAAGAGTATTTGGATCTTTTATCTTTCCAAGATTTGATAGCGAAAGCGAATAGAGTTGAGGCAAGTGTTTGAGATTTGTCAAAAGTGGTAAGACTCTTTCGGCTTCAATTTCATGCAATACAAGTGACTCAAGACGAACAAACGCTGACAAGTCATTCAAAAATAACGAGAGAATATAATCAACACCCAGACAGTTTGACGAATGAATGGCTTTAACGTTTTGATAATTACCTGAATGAAGATATTGACAACGCTGCTGAAAAGTTGCTTTACTTGATAAGTCGAGGATAATTTTATGTGAAAAACAGGAATCAGTAAACAGTCGCTGAAAACGCCAATTCAGATTACCGAATGCTTGATATGCATCGTAGGTGTGTAAAAAATCGAAGATATCGTACAAAATCTCGTTAGATAAATCCTGCAAGCAAGTAACTGACGATCGATGCATTTGTAGGAAGTGTGCCATTGAAAACAATTGTTGCACGTGTTTTTTATAAAAAGCAGATAAATAGAGGAATAGAAAAAAAAATGGTTGACTCGAGTTAATCTGCTATATGACTCATAAACGTGTCGTTTTGATTAAAACAAAATGTGCTTTACTATATTCAGCTACAACAGATGGGAAGACGGCAAAATGTCATCATATACATTCTTTCAATGTTTAAATTTGACAAGAGAAACAACTTGTCTTCTCTTTGCATGTGTTATACGGAAAAAATAAGAATAATGACGTCACTTCGGTCTGTTTTCTGCCATGATTCACATTTGACAAAAAATCTCGTAAGATGTGTGTATGTTATTCATTAAAAAAGTACTGATATCTTCTCAGTTCGACTTGAAGTTTCCGCAGAACGAGAAGAATATTTTATCGAAATGAATGATCTTTGAACTTGGCGCCCACGTGTCTTATGACGATGAATGATAAGAATCTGCACATATATACAACACAAAGATTATATCCTTTTATACACAAACGGACCGAAGAGGTATGTAAAGGGAGAGTATATTTTGTCTTTCTGTATCATACAAAGTCCAACGTTAAGTACTAAGAGTGTAGATGAGACAAAAATAGGTGAAGTGATATCAGTTCTGTTTTGTCTATTTAGAATAACATGCGATGATTTTATTTTAGATTGAATTCAACGTATACTCATTGTGTGCATCGATAAATGAATTCCAAAATTATTCGTTACTTATCTCGTCTACAATTGATATCCAAGCGAAAATTGAATGCAGCATCTGTTGTTCCTAAATCTACCATTGTAAATACTCCTTCTCATGATCGTCAAATTGTTACATCGCCGAATACGATTGGCGTCATCTGGGCTGAGAAATTAACAAGCATATATCATAACGTTTGGCTACGTGATCATTGTCAATGTGAAGAATGCTTACATCCATTGACAAAACAACGATTAGTTCATCCATCGAACATTCCACAGGATATCAAATCGACAGCCATCGAACAGTCAGAGCAAGGACTGACAATTCATTGGAATCATCCGACACATACAAGCTTTTACGAATGGTCATGGCTACATCGACATTCGTATAATCCTCGTTTACAGACGACGCTTCTGCCTCAAAAAGAACTATGGAATTATGATATTCAACACAATCTACCAACGGTTGAATATCAAGCTGTCATGAACTCTGATGATGGCGTCGCCGAATGGACATCGAAAATTTATCGATACGGATTTTGTTTTGTTGACGGCGTGCCTGCCAGCTCGGAAGAAACTGAAAAACTTCTCTCTCGAATTGCTTTCATACGAACGACTCATTTCGGTGGATTTTGGAATTTTACATCGAACTTAGCCAAAGCAGATCTTGCTTATACAACTGCAGCTATCGAAGCTCATACAGACACGTCTTATTTTACTGACCCAGTCGGACTTCAAATGCTACATTTACTCAAATTCGACGGTGAAGGTGGTAAAACATTGCTAATCGATGGTTTTCGTGCTGCTCAAATCTTACGAGAAGAAGATCCAGCTGCCTATAAAATCTTATCGACTGTTCGAGTGCCTTCACATACCGTGGGCGACGAAGATACTTTCATTCAGCCGACAACTCCAAGTCCTATTCTTGGCCACAACATTTCTACCGGACAATTAGAACAGATTCGATGGAACAACGGTCATCGCAGTGTCGCAGATCAATGGGATAATCCCGACAATGTGACAGGATTTTACGATGCGATGAGAAAATGGAACGAGATCTTGACAAGAAAGGACAGCGAACTCTGGATACAATTACAACCAGGACGACCGTTAATTTTCGATAACTGGCGAACTTTACACGGTCGATCAGCATTTAGCGGATGCCGACAAATGTGTGGCGGTTATATCAATCGAGACGACTACATGTCACGATTGCGATTAACAAATCTCGGACGCGAGGAAATTTTGAAAAGATTGTTTTGATACATATTCAAATAAATAACCGTTCTACTCTAGTTTCCAGTCTTAGTTGTGAGTTGCAAATGACATCTATTGAAATTGTGTTTATCGAATAACACGATGCACCATATAGATTCTTCCGTACGAATCTTAAGAAGAAGAAGAAAAAACAATCATTTTGTGCGTAAACAAGGCAAGAAAAGATAAGAGTGCATACTCTTCCAATTTTACTGATAAAATAAAATCATTTTCAATTTTCCACTCACGATGAAAGTGCATGTCCAGATTATTGTCATCGGCATATTTCATGCACTCGTTGATCCCATACTCGCAACCAATGAAACGAGTATTGAACTCATCAAGTCTCGAATGGATGATGGTCGATATGTTAATTCATTTAATTCTCAATATGAAAAGCCTGGTTGGTTGGCTATCTTGAAATGGAAGATTACTATGCGATCCAACGTGAAATTGCCAGATACGGCAGAAGAACTCGATAGACTTTTACCGGTTATTCATCATAAAAGTCGAGAAGATCTTTATCTGACAACGCCCGGTATCCGATATATTTGGATTGGACATGCGTCTTGTTTTGTCCAGATGAGTAATTTTCGATTTCTCGTCGATCCGGTTTTCAGGTAAATATTGCGTTTCTTGTGAGAAATCACAATTGTTGATTATAGTGAACGGTGTGGTATGAATTCATGTGTTGGACCGAAACGCTATCGACCGGCAGCATTGACAGTCACTGATTTACCGAACGATCTCGATGCAGTATTTATCTCGCATAATCATTATGATCATCTCGATTACGCGAGTGTGAAAGACTTAAACAAACGTTATGGTACACGTTTAACTTGGTTCTGTGGAAAAGGGAATCGTGAATGGTTCTCAAGCATGAATGTGGCGAATGTTGTTGAACTTGATTGGTGGGAAGAATATTATTTCAGCGTAAGATAAGGCTCATGCAACAAATCATGTGCAATAATTTTATCGTTTAGAACAAAAATGTAAATATAGCATTTTGTCCAGCTCAACACTGGTGACGTTCACATATATTTCTCTTTCGTCTAATGCAGCCTCATATTTTCTCTAATGTATAGGAGTCGTCGAGGTATATTCGATACAAACAAATCTCTATGGGGTGGTTTTGCTATTTGGGATGCGACGCATAAATTTTATCACGCTGGAGATACTGGCTATACACACAATATCTCAATTTTTCGACAAATCGGTCAAAAGTATGGCCCATTCGATTTAAGTGCGATACCAATCGGTGCTTATGAACCAAGGTGGATCATGGAAGGCCAACATGTATCGCCGGATGAAGCTGTTCTAATTCATATGGATGTCCAATCGAATAAATCCGTTGGTATTCATTGGGGCACGTGGGCAATGAGCAATGAATACTTCATGGAACCACCGAAAAAACTTGTACAAGCTGTCCAAAGACATCAGCTCGATCCGACATCATTTATTGTTTTGAAACATGGTGAAATTTTAGATTTACCTTAATAAAGAATAATACTATATATCCACGCATACAGATGGATATCTCGAATGACTCTCGTTCTTCTTGATACTATTCTTATTAGGCAATATTTTTTTCTGTTGACTCACCCTACGCAATAATAAACCTGAATTGCGAAATCTCTTAGGAAGTAGTGCGAATGGAGAAAAATCGTTATTTTTCGTTAGTTATTGCAAAACACATTTCATTGTTAACTAAATTCTCATGGTGACCATCGCTGTTATGGCACCAATCATCTACGATCTAAATTCTGGTGCAGAACTCACATCTGTCGAACAACAACGTGCTGAAATAGCTGTTCAGAATGAACTGGTGATCAGTGCTGAAAAAATGAGGAAATATATTCAGATGCACAATCGTTTCATCGTTCAAGAAAATAATTATGATCAATTACAGATAACACTTGATAGTTTAAAACAAACGACTTTGAACATCATCGGACATTGTGAAGACTTTGGTATCGTTCCCGTCAATACGAAAAATCCGATTATCACACCTCACATGTTATCCTACATGATTACGCAGTTCTTAATAACAAACGCACATGTCACACAAGTACGGCTATTCGTTTGTCTTGCTGCACCCTCATTCCTAAATGAATTAGTCACGGAAGTAATTAGAAGACTTTCCGAATACACTAATGATACGAGCAGAGAGATTAGATTTATTGCTCCACAAGGTTTGTCTTATACGCATAAACGAACAGAAGTTGTTTTACACGATGTGCCCGAAACAGTTGAATTACTTGGTCAATCGTCCGGCAAAGAAGAACGTCGAATTGTTAGAAAATGGACAATGTACGATGAAACAGCTTATATGATAATTATCGTGACCTTGGAGAAGAGGATGTTAATTAATAGACAAACAACATATGCTGCTCTCATACGATGAATGTTTACCAGTCGATTGCATTAAAAACAAGACCATATCGTCTTATTTCGTCTGAGGAATTTCATTATGTATTCGAAAATAAATGTTGTTCGTCATTCGCTTGGAGGATAAAAGTCTACTAAGAAAACTTTTGTCATCATGCGCTAGTCATAAATTGCTTCCTGCCATTAAGATTCTTTTCCAAACGTTTAATTATCGCCTATAATTAAATTTGTTTTATGCTTTATCCTTTGAATAAAAACACGTTAGATATAAAAAAATTAACCCAATCACTAATGTCATTTTGTTTATTCTTCCATTCACTGATTAGATCTTTCCATGTCCGACCTATCATATGTAAGGTATTACAGAGAAGATGCACCGCTCATTTCATTCTCTTCTATGCTTATTAGCATCTTTATTTAGCTTCAGTACATTTACCTATTCAGCTCTATCAAGATCGCATCCTATTTGTGGTTTAGCGGAAAATTGACAATCTTGCCGAAATTCCGTTGTCTAAATTCCTTTTGTGAATTTTCCGCTTTACCTATCTTGCCGCAAAATTTGGTCGAGTCTTATCAGACCGACAACATGGTTTTCTGCTATTTTACCGTTCACGGTAATCGATTTTGTCATCCGGTGTCGTTTATTTCGAATGAAAGCAAAATTTTATGAACAACCATAGTATTTTTTCAATTTTTCAATATCTAGAGTAGTCATTTTATCACCACGCCCCATGTAAGGTTCCCAGTTTTCATATCCAGCAAGAATAGGTTTGATGGTTGGAAGACCATTGATGGAAAAAGCATCATTTCGATAGTGCATAATTGAGCCTTAAAGAAAACGAAGATATTGACTAAGAGATTTTTGCCAATATTCAACGCCATCCTCACCATAATCATATGCTTGGTTGAACGTATTCACTTGATTTGATGGAAATTTATCAAAGGCAAATGTTTGACCTTTAAAACAACAAGACAATATTCATTCGATGATTCAACTTTTATCTAACTCGATTCGATATTTTCATAATAAACACGAACATAGGTATCGCGATCCGGACGTGTATGTTCATGAGCAAAGCCAAGTGCATGTAGAAATTCGTGTAGAGCAACTGAATGATGAACACAACCGGGAATCTGAAGTGAAAGATCTTGTTGACCACTACTAACCGATTTGCCCATGTATGACCAACATCTGAATCGCTAATAACTTAGATTCACTTCAATAAATAAAACAAAGGAACTTTACCCTTGGCCTGAATGGATTCGTAACCAAGCAGGATTATTATTACGCCAAACAAATCGAATGCAATCATTTGTATTCTGACTAATGGTAGTCATGGCACCAATAATAATATTTTTCTGTTCTTCAGTAAACGCATCATCGAATTCAATGGGCACAATACCGTTTGGCCATTTGGGTGATTGAATATACGCAGTTCGATCGGTATGTTTCGATAGAGCGATATCACCTTCCATCAGCACAATATCACTTCGATTATTTGCTAACATACCAGGTAAATTAAAAAGATTAGGAACATTCTTTGAATCTTGACCCGGTATAACATTTCCCTTACAAAGGAGGAAACTGAGCAATCCAAAAAATATTCGGATAGACATGAATATTTTCCTTTTTCAATTGTATTCTCGTAATGAAGCAAAAGCAGTATGCACATCGATATTCTATTATCGAGTATTATAGGTAGCAAAACTGTCTGAGAGTAAAAAGCATCTGCAACTTAGTCGTTATTTTGTGAAATCGAAAGGTTATTCGATATAAAGATGAAGTCATCAAGCGCAGGGAATAAGTATTCCTTCCATCGATCACATCTGAAATATTCATGAAATCTGATCGTCTTCCTTCATTATTTGCCAAACTTGATTCTATAAATAGTTGCAGTTATAACGCATGCACGCGCGACATCATATGATTGACATTGGTTCGATACCATTTCATCGTTCTGTCAAGGTGCATGATGGAGGATGACGATATCATTACATGGTCACATTTCAATTCAATTGAACAAAGACGGTGATCTTTAAACATCTTCTCGTCGATCAAACTGTCATGAGAACTAAATTATTGGTTCTATTTTCACTATTAATTCCCATACCTATTGCGCTGTTGTTCACATACCCTCGTTATACTGAACAAGATGATTTCAATATGCTGCAACAGTATTTATCCATCAAAGACGATCGTTTATCGGCCATGACGTTTAACATTCGACTCGATGGAATCGAACGTGACCCAAATAATCATTTCACAAAGAGAATTTCTCGTTTGACAAAAACAATTGAAAGCTGGCAACCAGCTATTCTTGGTGTGCAAGAACCATTTGCTGGTCAATTATTACATTGGAAATCTCATCTGCCGAACTATTATCAATACGTTGGATATCGATATCACAGCATGAACAAAAATCATCAAACTATATCGTCCGAACAAGATTTTCAAGTTGCTATCTTATACAACGAACAAAGACTAGAATTACTTGAACACGATTATTTATGGTTATCGAAAACACCACGAACGGTTGGAAGTAAAGATTGGAATAGTCGCGGTGTGCGAACGTTGAATATTGCGCGTTTCAAACTAATCAATACCGATCTTCCGACAGAAGTTCTCGTTTTTAACACACATTTAGATGTTGAAAGTGAACAAGCTCGTCAAGAACAATCAAAACTAATCCGCTCAACAATTAATCAATGGCAACAAAAGCATCCGTCCGCTGTTGTTCTATTATTGGGCGATTTTAACTCCATGCCAAATCAAACTACGTATCAAATCTTAACATTTTCCAATTTCCTTCGTGACACTTGGACAGAATGTAAATCTCACGCAACGGATTGTCTATCAAATTTATTTTCGTCAACATTTCACGGCTGGTTTGGAGCATTAGTTCACACGTACGGAATCCAACTACTGCAAACTATCCTGTTCACTTTCCATGGCACCGGTGTTCAACTACCGTACAACATTCCTACACATTACTCAGATTATATTGACGTTATCAAAGAATTGTTCAAATTTTGTCGTCTACTCAATTGGTCGGATATGATTTCATCATGGTCTTCACATCGATTTCATGTCGATTGGATATTATATCGAAATTCTCTTGACAAAAGTCGTTATTTACAACCACGTTTTATATCGGTCGTTGACGTTCGATCTGAAAATTATTCATCAGATCATTTTCCTGTCATTGCTTTATTTGGCTATCGATCATGAAGAGACACTTTTGCGCGGTTTACTTTGGCAGACGCAGATCGTTTTATAGCAGCGGGTGAAACATAGAATAATTAGAAAGAGAGGCTTTCAACGATACAAACCGGCGAATATATCAGTAATCGTAAGCTTGTTGATAAGGATTTTTGTACTTTATGAATGAAAGCTATAATGTTCTGATGAGATTGTATCTATGATTCTTTTTGAATATGCTTCTGTCTCAATAAAAGGACACGTGATTGTATTGACGAAATGGTTTATTATACAAGTAGTCAGATTCAAATAAGCGCAATCATAAAAAAAGGGGAGTTGTGTTCGATATGAATTCAAGTATATTACTTTGAGAAACGAGGAACAGAGAGAAGCTATACGAGAAAATGAGTCAAAATTATCAACGAAGACAAGTTTCTTCTACACGACGACAATCCACAACTTTACCGGTTTTTCTTCGAGATTTCGATGAAGCTAATCTTGAACGTCGTTTAAGTACCTGTGTCAACGCTCAACGACGTTTATCAACTGTTTCTCAGCTGTATGTACCACATGGAACTGAATATCATCCTCAAGAACATGTACCACCAACAGGACCCGAAGCTCACCAACCCTTTCTTGTTACATCAGTTGACGATGAATATACACCAGACGGACGTCGTTTGTCTATTATATCTCATCGATTTGAAGCAATCCCCGAAGACACGAGTGAATCGATTGCAGAATCTAAACTAGGAAAACTAAGTAAATTTCATCGGAATGTTCTGTTCGTCTGTGAACCTCTTATAAGCGGGTTAATTATCTTTCCGATCCTTGTTCTTTTCTGGGAATGTGGCTGGAATCTTGTTCTGATTCTTCTCAATATCTTGAATGGATTCGATGTTAACCTACATTTGGATGAAATGACCCAAGAAGATTTCGAATCTTATACATGGCAATCTTTACTTGGCCCCTATTTGATTGCTCAAGTTATTCTTCTCGTCTACTATCTTGGACAAGATAAAATTCATCATTTTCTCAAAACTCAACATTGGCTTATTCGAACCATTATTTTGAAACTGCACATTCTTGTGTTAGCTTCGTGTTATATTGTCCAGTGGGAAATGTTATGGACTATTTGGGATCAGTTTACTCCTCATGAGTGGTATTTCGAGACTACCGTATCAATCGCATCATTGTTTGCTTTGATTGTCTTCATTGGGCATCTATCTGATCTAGTTTGTTCGCCATTCGTTTTTAGTTATGATTCGATCGAGTATTGCGTCTTCTTTGGCTGCCCTCTACTTACACGAGAAGTAAGTTAACAGATGTTTTTGCTAAGAACAAAAAAAATCGAATTTTTCTATTCGAAATTAGATGAAAACATGGAAAATCAATTTTATTAATTATATTTTGTATGAAATTATCATTTCTAATTTATCAATAATGACATGGCGTGGGTTTTATCATTGTCTGGATGAATATCTGTATCCGGATGATGTAGCTTTATCCGCTGGAATTTGTTTGATTCTTGGATATGTTCTCTATTTTCCACTAATGTATTTTCAAACATATTTAGAAGAATTGAATCTGAAATACGAATTTTGGACATTTGTGTCAATCAATTTTCCTCAATTCTACCGAAATATTCGCCATTTACTAGCGTTTGTATCATGCGTGTTTGCGTGGCGTGGTTACTGGGTTCTCTGTGATGCTTATGTCGATATATTCTATGATTACTATCTAACATATTTATTTTTATATCTTCTATCCTTTGCAGTTTTATGTCTCCTTCAAACAGCATCTTCAACCAATGGACCACTAAGCAATATGGAGAATGAGCATAATTTCTTTCCACTGTATCCTCATTGTTACGTCTCGACGGTTCATGGAAAGATTTTAGATCATCCGTATTTTCAGTCGCAACCTGTGGAAGAAAATACACAACTATGAAGGATACAATTCGTTAGCGAACGACCGAAGTCAGATAAAAACGTTGTATACCTTCATACAATTTTATGGATTTCGAAGATCGGAAAGAAGAAAATCAAGATATGATATTTTTTGTTGAATCAATAAAGTCGTCGAATTTTTTTTTGTTCATAAAAATACGACTGTTCTAAGTGATGCGAACGCAGGCTACTACATCACACGAAATACGAATATGTGAGCGAAAACAATGCAGTAAACCGGCTTGTTTCGCGTTGAATTCAAACGTGCATTTGTTTCTCCACCAATATTCACCAAGTACTAGCGACATCTTTTGAAAATATTTAGATAGTTCAAACTAGATCCGTCAAGAGCTCGAAAAGCAAACTGATAGGTCAAAACGGCGTCTGCGTTATTATGCTATGAAGATTTTCCCAGTTTTCCCAATATTTATCCTAGCTAGACTTATGCTTTAGATGAACCCTTCCTTTCCCGGACAAGTTTTTCGCTTTTACAAAAGCATAGAGTTTTATGGTCATTTTTTTGCTAGTCGATCTCCGATCGAACTGAAAACGTTTTACGCGGAGCTACAATTGATTCAGGGAAACTTTCGTTTGCTTTTGTCGATGTATTCACCAATAAAAATCGGTGTCTTCACAAAGTGTTTAGCATCGGGAAAACCTAAGGATCTTCCAGAATTCTTAGTATTTTAGTTTTCCACCCTGAATCATTTAGGAAATTCAGTTCTACTCAACAGAATCTGTGGGCTTACGAGAGGTAAGAATTTATGTCGAGAAGTAATTTCCCTGAATTTTTGGTGCGCTCCAGAAGTATCACAAAGCTGAGAGTTATATAAAACTCGCAAATATATACGATATGAATAACACGTTAAATTGTCAAAATATGAAATCGAATAATTCAGATATTCTAATCAATAATAATTTTCTAGACAATAACCAATACGATGGATGATAGTAATAACTCGATTGCCCAAGAAACTATAGAACGCGAGAACATGAAGCGTGAAGGTTTAAATGCACACATCCAGAGCGTTAGTGAAGAACTTCTAAGAAAAGAAAGCTGGGAAGAATTCAAACCGGATGAAATAGCTGAAGCATCGCTTCAAGTTGCAACTATGAACACGAATTCTTCTGATGAAGATGAGCAAACACGTCGTTTTCAACAATTTATATCCATTGCCACGAACTTCTCGTCATTGCCCTTCGCTCAAAGACTGCTCAAGATTCCTGATCTAGTCGAAAATATCAAACAATTAATTGAAAACATGATAAAAGAAATTCAAGAGTACAGCGATATGGCAAATGAACTTCACGATCTCATTGAGTGTTTTGTTCGTATGGTAATGCAAGCGAAGCATAGTGTTAATATGATGCTTCCTTTACTTAAAGAAACTACAACACAAATGGGGATTGTTCAAGACGTTTTGAAGCCCGACCCAAGTAACGCACTGAGTGATACAGACAAAAAAGATATCAGACTTGCTCTGGACCAAATGTCGTCCGGAATCAATCAATTACTCAATTTATCTAAATCCGCAGTAATTGAAAGTCGACAATTAGATGATCACGTACACAATATGACTAATTCGGTCCAATCAAAAAAGGTCACTGTAGAAGAACGGTTAGAAATTGCAAACTTTTGTCTCAGGTATGCTACAGGAGCCAGTTCGCTCGCGTCAGGCGCTGCGGCTGGAGGATTCGTTGTGGCTGAAGCATTCGGTGGTGTTGGCGCATTAGTTATTGCAGGAACAGCTTTTCCTCCTGTTACTGCTATTATTGGCGCAGCTATTTTAGGTGGTATTGGCGCTAAAACAGCTACCATTATGGTACAAAAATTTTGGGTTCGTCATCAATTAAAAGCACTTGGTTATCTGGAGAAGATTTTTGAAAGCTTAATTGAATTAAAGTCGGCAAATAGATGTTTTATGTGCCGTATGGCTGATACGGAAGAGAAAGCTAACGCTGTCTCAGTACATATTCAAGGTATACAGCTATGTTTAGAGAGCGAACGACAACGACGCGCACATCACGATGTCTGCAATGTAGCTATAGGATCCACAACGGCAATGATAGAGAGCCTCGAACGAATATCCAATCTGGATATATCTAAATGGACTGATACTTCACATATCATCAGTTCTCCGACACCAATTATGCTGACATACGTGGTCAAAGACACATGAACAGACTCGTTGAGGGAATAATACGATATTCGAATACAAAACAGTTATTTGTCTCATATTATTACCTTTTTTTTTTATTTAAACCAGAATTCCTCGCTTGTTTTATGATACATCGATGTTCTTACGAATTTGTGTTACTTCGAATAGATAAAGCGCTTTCTTCTTTCTCTTTTGTCATTGCGGTGAAGCTAGCACCACAAACCTGAATACATTTGAGCTCGTTAACTACATGCCACCGGAGGTCAGAGGTTGCATCATCTGGTGCTCACACAGCTCTTATCCACCGACAATATATTGTTCACGAGTCGAACTACATTTAAACTCGCCGCGCTAGCTTCACAGTGATTATTTTCTAAACTCTAATCCGTATACACATGCAACGCATTCTTATGTAAATTCCTTTAAAAAAATGCTTTCTGCCAGTATAAATCTACCATCTGTTGTTCTTTCACGTACATCGTATCACGCCAGTCATGATAGTACGTGGGCCCCGTATTTCGAACCTTTTAATTTTCTTTAAAGAAGAATGATAGACGAAAAATAACAGAACGTAGCTTTATCATGCAACTATCTATCATGTTACAAGCAAAATTGTGAGTACTACTACAGAACGAAAGAAATTGACTCGTAGTTATGTTTTTAATCATGACGCTAATAGATCGTACCTAAAAATGTCGGTTTTTCATGTAGAAACTGACTAGTAACATTTATGTCGTCAACTGATGCGAAGTCGAGGATGGCATTATTCAACAGCAACAATGCCTCATCTCGTCGTCCGATTTCTCGATCTGTCGGAAATGCTTCGATCGTTTGGATGTGCTCAAGTGTGCAGGATTGCCAACAATTAATCACAGAATTACAAACAATTGTTAATTCCGTTAAATTATTTTCTCTTGCCGATGAATGCGTCGGTTTCATCACCGAAACTAAAGATCAAAAGCTGTTTTTGATCATTTTCGGTTGCTATGATGAGATTCTCATATCAAGTATTCATCATTTGACTCAACTTGACTCCATCTATATCTTTTCTGATGAGTCAATTGGTAACAGTGATTGGCCAACTAGATGGATGAAATTCAAAGGCATTTTCACTGATATATGCTCACTTCAAAATCAATTGAAACGAAATATCAGACAAATGGAACGAAGTTTAACACCAATAAGTTGTATTCCTGCATCATCTTCCCCTAATCTCGATGAACTTCAACCGTCATTCATGTATTCGCAAATGTTAAAGGAAGTTTTACTGAACATGGAGCACGATGAAAAAACCAAAACAACATTAATTGAATATTGCCGTGTACAATACGCTGGAAACCATGTTCAATTAAGTATAATTAATCAGTTCGAATGTGATTATAATAAACATACACCTATTTGATGGTACAGCAAAGAGTCATTCATCTATTCGATGCTCAACAGAGCTTTACGATTGCAAGATATTGAAATCATCATCGAAATGGGATGGTTTCTTCGAGATCTTCATCGGCAAATTGAGCAATTATATTTAACATCCGATCACACGAACATATTCACTGTCTATCGAGGACAGGGCATGTTAAATGCTGAATTTGAAAAGATAATTGCTAGTAAAGGTGGCCTGTTGTCATTCAATAACTTTTTGTCGACAAGTAACGATCGACAAGTTTCATATACTTTTGCTGTTAGCGCACGACAAAATCCAAATCTGACGGGAATATTGTTCGAAATGACAGTCGACCCACGCGTTTCTACAACACCGTTCGCTTCAATTTCTGCGATCAGTAGTTTTCCTGACGAAGAAGAAGTTCTTTTCGCAGTGCATACTGTTTTCCGATTAGATGATCTACAACAAATCGATGATAGATTATGGCAAGTTAATTTAACACTCACGAACGACGTTGATCAACAATTGACGCAACTTGCCAAATATATGCAAAAAGAAATTGAAGGCAACACTGGATGGGAACGTTTAGCCTCTTTAATGCTCACAATGGGCGAATACAATAAAGCAGAAGATATTTATAAAAACCTCCTTGAAACATCATTGGAGGATGATCTAGAAAAACATGTCTGCCTTTTGGAAGGATTTGCGCGTGCTTTATTTCACACTGGCCATCTCACACAGGCACTTTCAGTTTGGGAGAGTACCACCAACATTCGAGAGAAGTCCTTTCCGTCGAACTATTTCAATCTATCTCTTGATTATCGACGTTTAGGCGCGGTACATGGTTCGTTAGAATATTACCCAACAGCAATATCATATTATCAAAAAACTCTTGACATCCAGGAAAAATATTTTCCTGACAATTACCCTGAATTGGCTTCGACTTACAATAACATGGCATGGACGTGTTGTCTGACAGGACAAAATGAGAATGCTCTTCTCTATTGCGAGAAATCCATTGAAAATTATCAAAAATCGACTCCATCCATTCATCCACACCTATCGACTGCATATGATACAATGGGTAAGATATATTACTCGATGGGAGATTATCCAAACGCAATCTTGTACTACTTGAAGACTATGGATATCCAGAAAAAATCTCTACAACCAAATCATCCTTTGTTAGCTAGTGGTTATTTCCACATTGGCGCAGTTTACCGGGCAATGGAAGAACACACTACAGCGCTTTCATACTACGAAAAGACACTTGAAATTCGGCTGAAAGTATTTGATTCGCATCATCTTGATTTAGCTGCCATTTTCAATGATATTGGTGAATTATACTATTCTATGAACAAGTATTCTATTGCACTGACAAATTTTGAGAAAGCACGAGAAATTCTACAAAAATCACTTCCACCTACTCATTCGATGTGTGTCAACAATAAAAGGAACATTGATTCAGTACGCGAATTAGTTAGAGAACGATAGATAAATGTGATTGAAAGATCGATTATAACGCAATACCAAATGATAACGTTGTGCTTTTTTCTATATGTGTTTACCTCTACGTGGGATTTCTATTCTATTTTATTGACTCATTCATCTACGTAATATCTGTGTGGTAAGCTTAATTAAGATGATGGAATTGCAAATGATGAGCATATAATTATTTTCGATGGATCAAAAACCGAATGATTCGCTCTAAAATAATACATAGTTACTTGTTAAAACTCTGCAGTACACTTCCGACTAATGAAATGAGTAAAAGAGCCGAGAGAAACTACTCTACTTCCCCGAAACTAGCTCAAATTTCATTCAGCTTCTTTCTATATGTACTTACATAATCGGATGATGAAATTTTTCTAATGAATATGTTGATAACTCATTCATCTACGTACGCTTGACGTCACATTTTTTTCTTCTTGTCTTCTGTCTTCACTCACCACGTATGATTCTTGTTTATAAACTTTTATATTATACATCTTGGCTTTAGAGGTCTCAGATAACATTTTTAGTTAAAAATTTTCGATTGTGCAAAGCTGGATATATGAAAATGTATTTTTCAAATGTTTCATGGACGTGCCTGTTGATGTAGCTGTTGAAAAATGCTGGAAATATTTGGAAAAAATTTGAGTAAACAAATTCAGATACAACGAAGACTCAATACCTTTCTATTTAGTAGGAATACTATTGATAGCACAATAGCCATTTATGATACCAGGTATACCAGGAACACATCGATAGCCAGGACAGCAATCACGATCAACCATATTGCCACCATCACGGCAAGCTTCACCCTGAAGACTACAGTCTTCCTCTGAGTTGCATCGTACTGCGACGAAGACCAGAATAGATAGCACGTAAAAAAGTATCTTCATCTGTTTAGTTTCGAAATGAATATGGATATATGCGTATTGAATATATTTTGTAAATAGAGAGAAGAGCATTTTCTCTTCATCGCGCAAGCAAACCGTACCTATTCACACATGAATAACTCACAACAAGATCTATATTTAGATGCACACCAAGAAAAAAAATCAAAAGGCTTTTTATTCATATCATTATGGTAAAAAACAAGATTATGACTGCCAATGGAAAAAAAGAAATGAGCACATCGTTGGTTGTATTTCAAATTGACCAAATTCAGTGCTGTACGGATAAGCTGAATTTTCACGCACCCTGAAGATAGTTAATTATACTGGTTGCACAGTGTGTGCTGCTATTCGTGCCGGACTTATTCTCTTCAACATCCATTTCTTGAATTCAGACAGTAAACCAGCATAGACCCAAGGAAGTCCATAACATGCTAGATTTGGAAATTCCGATACGTAGTTCATATGGAATTGAATCAAAGATGGCGAAGGACTGATGTTCAGTATTAATGTATCAATGATCACCGGTGACCATGCAATTAGATAAAGGCTTGAAATACAAACTAGTTGTATAGTCATTCGTCTGTGTTTTTTCCAAACAAAACGTTGTTGACGGTGACGTTTTTGTTTGACAACTCGAATTATAAGCACGACATTCGCAATAAAAATCACAGCTAGTGGTACAGTATTGTTGAACACATAATCGAACAGTGTCAATGCGGCGTCGTACAGAAAATAGCAGTTAGCAAAGCCACACACCGGCAAAGTGAAATCCCATTGACTGCCATCGCAAGTAACGAGAAAAATACTATAGATATAGAATAGAATGGGATAGATGATACTTAATATTAGAGGCAAATAATAGAAGATGTAACGTTTTCTACGATTCTGAAAAACATGTGCTTGAAATATGAAGAAATGTCGTTGAATAGAAATCACTGCCATCAAAAATTCGCCTATAACAGCAAAACTAAACAGTGTGAACGTCCACCAAGTACAGTAGTCCACTGTAGCAAAGCGAACAGATTGAAAATAATAGAAATCGATACTCATTGGCATATCAGTTAATAATCCAACCAAATTAATCATAAATAAGATTAGTAATGAACGATTCTGCATCTTTTTCAATTCAGCACGATGTTTGACGAAGAACACAATAATTAAAAGACTTACAAACAAAGCTGAAATTTCCAACGTGATGGTAATTATGAATTTTACTTTATATAAAGTAGATACTGATTCTACATCACTGACATTCATTGCTGAGTTTGTGAAAAGAAACTGACGAAAAATAATCTGTTAACAAACGCAGTTTTAATTTTCTTCACGCAATCTAACTCGCATGACTTCTCATAATAGGTAGCGCGCGAGCTATCAAGAACTATAATTATGATTCTGTTATTTGGACGACTTTCGTCTGGAAGCATGATTTTAATTATATTTCTGAGAACATTCCTATAAAAATAGAAAGCCTTCAGGGGATTGCTTTGATGTAGATGCTTCGACTCCGCGAAATATTTTGGCATTATATAATCGTCGAACATGTACCAGTGTATAGGGTGAAGAAGTATTATCGACACGTGCTACTTCGTGGACGTGTGTATCCTCTTCTCTTTTTTTCGTTCTTTCTTTCGTCTATTATCCGTGATAACATAGCCGTATTACCATTCGTTGATTTTTCACAAGAAAACATTCCTGCTGTGATCATGACAAATATTCATTACCGAATGAAAACACTCGGTTTTCTACTTCTATTTCTACTCGCTTCGCCAATTACATTGTTCATTACATTAGTGACACTGTTTATTCATGTCATCACTCGGAAACCAGCAGTTACCAATCCCCATGCCAAACGAATTTTAATATCTAATGCAGGAATGACAAAAGCATTACAAATGGCACGTTCATTACATTCAGATGGTCATTATGTTGTTTTCACTGAAGAATATCCTTTGGCAACACATCGTTATTCTCGATGCGTCTCAAAATTTCATCTCTGTGCTGACAGCGATGATCGACCAGCATATATTAAATCCATCACTGATATTGTTCGACGAGAACGGATCGACCTATATGTACCTGTGTCACATTCTTCGACTGAGCGGGTGGATGCTCGTATTCGAGAAGTTCTCTTGCAATTCAATTGTGAAACGTTTCATGGAACTGTCGAACAGCTGGATATGTTAAGTGATAAATGTGCATTCATTGATCAAGCTCGTTCTTTTGGCTTGACCGTACCAAAATCGTATCGAATTACTGATCGTCAACAGGTGCTGGATTTCGATTTTTCCAAAGAAAAACATGAATTTATTCTGAAAAGTATAGCTTATGATAGCATCTCTCGCTTGAACTTACGTAAACTTCCATGCCATACTCGACAAGAGACGATTGATTATGTCAGCAGTCTGCCTATTGGTAAAGATTCACCATGGATTTTGCAAGAGTTCATTCCCGGAAAGGAATACTGTACACATGGAGCAGTTCGAAATGGAGAATTAAGATTATATTGTTGTTGCGAATCATCGCCATGGTTACTTCAATATAAACATATTAACAATAAACCTTTAATTCTTGAATGGGTGTGTGAATTCTGTGCACGAATCAATCTCACTGGACAAGCTTCATTCGACTTTATTGAAAGCATTGAAGATGGTCGACCTTATGCGATCGAATGTAATCCACGAACTCATACAGCAATCACCGCATTCTACAATCAACCACTTGTAGCTCAAGCTTATCTCGATAAGGAACCACTTACTAGTGGTCCAATCCAACCATTGTCTACTGCTCGTGAAACTTACTGGCTCTATCATGAATTGTGGAGTTTATTTCGCATCCGATGCTTTCAAGATTGGCTATGTCATTTTAATCGGTTATTTCACGGTAAAGAAGCAATTTATTCAATCGATGATCCACTTCCGTTCTTGCTTCACTATACAGTTCATATGCCGTATTTGTTACTCCTTAATTTATTGCATCCGAGACAATACAATAAAGTCGATTGTGCTTTAGGTCTCATTCTATAGGCTATTTCTTTTTGTTATTTGCTTATTTCAGAATAAAATTTATTTTATTGTAACAAATGATTTGATGCCTTTATTAGAAAATTAAAAGCAATGAACTATTTGACAACGGAAGATTCAACAAACATACAATGTTTTGAATGAAGAGCGGGCCGACGAAGTTCAGGTCGGTCAAGTTTAACACATACTTTGGGTAATTCATCTCCAGTAACATGATCGAAAATACGCCAGGCGATTTTATTCCAATCTGATCCAAAGTTTTCGTCCAAATGTCGTTGAGCATCTTCGTCATTCATTCCACGTAATGTTAAATGACCGAATGGAACATCGACAAGACGCTGAAAACATCCGTATGGTAGTGCTTCACCTGGAAATAGCTCGAGAACACCGTCAAGAACTTCATACTTATTATCGTTTGTACAAATTAAAAAGATGTCAACGAAAGGAATTGGAACACCATCGCTAATGCGAATCATCGTTCGACGAGGATCATAAACACGATAACCGAAAAACGGCTGTTCATCCAAAATATATCCTTCATTAGCAAATGTTTCTTTCAGAGCAACCAGCCGTTCCACGTCTTTCATTTCGATAGCAATATCACCATCATCGTCCCAAGGTATTTGTCCGCCATGTCTATAACTGCCAAGCATCGTTCCACAAATGATAGTATAATTAATCTTGGCATTGCGTAATACTTTATCGACAATATCGAGCGTATCGTAGATAATATCGACCATCTCTTGGGATGTTTTCTTTAGTATTTTCTCACATGTTTCTAAATCCGTTTCGGGCATTTTCAAAGTAGACTATCTAGAAGAGAGATAAAAACATAACGAACAAGGTCAATAAGTGCGTATTGTACTGTCAAAGCAAACCATTAGGATAGAAAGATTTATTCTTTTAACATGTACTGATATCGATATGAAAAATCGAATGCAATCTGTAAAATCCGTTTATTGATCGTTTGATTCGAATAGATAAGTGTATCGATTGAAATAGAAAAGTACTCCATGACTGACAAAGGATAAGCAATGTACATCGAAAGAAACGGAATTATTTGCTTATCGTTCTTTTTCTTTCACATGCACCTTATGCATTCTTTCTGTTCTTCGATGACATTATCCAACGATTACATATCGTAATGCTTTCCTGTGAAAAAAAATCACAACGGACAACCGAATAACAAACACGCGATGACTAATTGACAAGGTCGTAGATCTTTGAAGTGTACAAGTTTGACGAAGAGCAATTTTATTGTCAAATCAAAATAGAAAAATCTTTGAAAGTACACAGCAACAGAAGAGCACTAAAAATATGTTTAACTATTGAAGATATCTTGCAAAAAGATCTCATTTACTTACCGATCGATGCTAACATAGGTCGCAGAATCAATGATTCATTGGGAAGTGGTGCTACAATGAAGAAATCAAAAATCAGATTGCCCGACGAGAAGTTTATATATACTTTCTGTTGAATTGTAGGAACCATTTCTAACTGTAAAATAAGCACAACCGAGAAGACCGTTATTGCAATCTAAGTCGATTTTGAGTATACGATCAGTCAAAAATGAAGCTATTTCAAAGGGCAATGAAATTATCAGTCATAACAACATGTTAAAGAGACTCAACCAACCCAAATTGGCTTGATGGGTTTGAATAGTTCGTACATTTAATTGGTCGTGATTGGTTGCGTAGAAAACATTAACAATCGATGAATTGCGTTCTTCTGCATCGATGTATGTGTTCAAGAATTTTCCCAAACCAGGTTCATAGTATGAAAATCCACGGCTATTACATCCCTGACCAGCAGCTAAATTCGATCCGTTTGCTAAACGAATCGGATTATTGTAATTCAATTGTACATCGCCGGGACTGTTCGGTTGAGGTGGAGGTAAAACAAATGATGGATACGCCGGATTAGTGAATCCATAGATACAATCTGTTGGAAAGCTAACTAGAAGATCAAACATACGAACATATGCATAGTATTTTGCAGAAGAAAAGTAAAATACTTTCTGCTGTTTCGACATTGACTATTTTCAGTAGGAAGAAAACTGCTAAGAAGTTGCGCGACATATTCAAGAGCTATTTCTTGGACATATGCACGATCATTTCAAGTATTCTTGTCGATCTTATCACTGATAATAAAAACTGTTGATAAACAAAGAAGCACGTGTAAAGCATTGCAATTTGTTGATTATTATGTTATTAAACCCAACGGAAGTATATTAACCTTGACAAAGAAAATCGATCGAACATTGAATGGTTGTCTTAGCAATTACGTTCAAATGAGAGTACTATCTGCGATGTTCGATGACCTATCTCACTTTCTCTTCCTTCATGGAATGTCGACTAATATCCAAGGTATGATAATCTATGAACTTCTGCGGTTACTTAAAAACTCAGTTGAAAACACTCATTCTCACAAAAAATCTGAGAAATCTTCCATACATCCTTCGTAATTTCTCTATCAATTCCTAATTTATTACTTTTATCACAAAACTGAACTGGACCACTTATTCACATTTACTACGGTTTCATACAAGCTAGATGAAATAAAACAGAAATAAACAATTTGATTACTGTTGCAACGTGAAAGTGTTAAATCGAATTACCAAAAAAAAATACTTTCAATACCTTCAAAAGCTATTCATTGCAAATTTCCATAATAGAAATAAAGCATCGGAAAAGATCTCTAGTATTGACGTGACAAAAAAAAGCAAATAATGTAACTGATCACAAATCACGAAGCCAAGGACTCTGCCAAAGCAGTACACATTGGTCTTTGTAACTTTTGACCGCAATTCAATCAAAAATATGAGACGAATGATGATTCACATTCAATAACTTTGTTCTTATAGTCCACACTGTGATTATATCTGATGAGAGAGAGAGAGAGAAATATGCGCTAGTAGCGCGACTCTTTGATGTATTTCTTCCATCCAAAGTCAAATCGCAGCATGTGTTATAAGTAAGAAAATAAAGAAAATCATCCATCAGGCAGAAGCATTCAAAAGGTTAAGTACGATATGTACAGTGCATGTTAGTGAGAACGGTACATGTTCAAAGAAAAACATTCCTTATCACTCAATGCTTCGTTTTCAATACAAGTCAAACATAAATTAGTAGCACAAAGAATGCTGTGTTTAATAATATTAAATTATCTAGAATCATTGGCAAAAGAGTTTACTGGCTAACCAAGCGTAATTTATCATTGCTTCACGTTTGTTCCAGTGAATGCCGGTCGCACTAAGATACATTCAGATGCTACGCTCAATGTAATTATAATTGAATTTGAACTGATAATGATATCGGTGAATGTATTTCATCAGAACGTCAATCCATTAGATAATCTTTTTGCATCCTCGGGGTAACTGACTGACTGGAAATTTCCAAGTTGACGTCACACGCTTGTTTCTTATGACGAAAACGACATAGAAAAAAAATACCATAATGGATTTACTGCGCTTATATTTTACGTGTGTACCGGACAGTAAAATAATCTTATTTTAGTTAACACATTAAAGAAAAGATTGGAGTATTTTTCGGTAGATTGCATGATTGTGATACGGTATGGTATATTTTCTACAGCACTACAAGAGCTTTACAGTTGCATGACGTTTGTAGGTATTTTCCCTCATATACACACATATGTATATATGTATGTAATTGTATTCATACGTTTTCTTGTCTGTGTGTAGATCGATCTTTATCTACCGTGTTCTCTACTCTTTCTCTAATGTTTTCGATAAACAACTGTTCATATATGTATATTTTTCTAAGATATATTTTTTCATTAGGTGAATTTCATTAGGTGACGACCAGTGAAACTATGTTTCATATTGCCTTCTCATTACTTGCTGCCTTTGGTTTATGTGGTGCTTATTTTTTCACATTTACGAATGCCTCTGGTGAACCTCGTAAAGATCTTCATTCTGTCGTAGACCTAATTCGAGATGATGCTCAAGCTCTGTCCAAAGCTTTGGATCGTTTGAAAAAAAAACAGAAGTTCCTCGTTTTTTTCGATCTAGTCAAGAAGTACGTCGTGCGACGATGTAATGCTGAGCTGCAAAGTATGTTTCTTAAAAGCACCACGGAATACGATCGTAGTCTGGCTAGTACTGCAAACCATCTCAATATATTTTTGCAAGAAACTGATACGTGGCTTCTTCTATTTCGAAAACATGTTGACAATGCAGAATGGTCTGAAGCTCTCGGAATTTTTCGAACGCTCGATGATTTGTATTCGACTGCTAATGCACAGATAAACTCTTGTTATACTCACTTTAAGATGATTTTTGATGTAAATAACGGATTCTATGGAAAAAATGAGGGGTGGGGCTCAAAGGCCGTGCAATTCTTGGCTCTCGGTATGAACGAAAAACAATGTCAAGCGAAAAAATCCGTTTTGTTCAATGGGGTAGCATTTTTTGCTGTGGTTGCTATTATTTGCAGCGCGTTGCACTTCGCCGAGCATCGAATATCGTACGGGAAGTTACAAGTCACACAATAACCTCATCATTTTTTCGTATGTTACGTAGCGTAGAATCTTGCACGATCATAAAAAGCTGAAAAGTGAAAATAGGGACAAAACTTCTTTGAATTCTTGTATGTTTCAGAGATGGCTGTATTTTAAATTAAATTAGGGATTATTAACGTTCGAACACTTTTATTTCGATCATTGTAAGCCAACTAAACTGAACTCATGGTTAAAATTTTATAGGAATCGGCCTGGAAGTGCTCAGCAACAACAACCACAACGACACCCTGATCCACATCTACATAAGTGGTACGGCTACGTTACTATTGACTCTCTTATATCGTGTCTGCTATTCGCTGTTTTCTACTTTATTTGTTTACTATCACAGCCCGAAGACGTTTCATGTGCTGCTGAGCTCAGTTCGACTGTGGAGAGTCATCACAACATATACATAGACGAGATGCAATCAGCTCAGTCTAACATAGGCTCGAATATAGCAATTATCATCTCAGATGTCTCGTACTTAGCTTTGCTAAGTCGCACCGAGATTGCCGATCAACTGGAAGATTCCATATGGAAGTCACTTGCATTCGATGCGAACCGCATAGTTGAAGTTTTTGAAGCAAATGTAAAGTTAGAATATGAGATTACAGATCATCTGAATGAACTTGAAAAACATATCTCCAAGGAAACCAACATTCTTCAATTGGTGCACTCCAATTCACTGCAGATCATGGAAAAGATGAAGAAACTTTATGCAATCATGAATTTACATCTACGGGGACACCAAGATACTCTACCTGGTTTAGATAAAATCGCAGAAATTCTTGTTGAATCTGTACTTGTCGGTCGCGATGAACTCAATTACAATCGATTAAATGGACAGTACACAGAAATTATTAAACATCAAAAAAGCGATCTGGATGAGGTTATTAATCTGATTCAACCTCTACTAACTCAAACAGGGGATGTATTGAAAAACATTAATCAGGGACTGGATGATGCCGACAAACAGAAAAAATCAGGTCGGAACCACTTTGGGTGGAGTTACATTTGTGACTGTGGGCGCCGCAAATAATCTGCATTTAGTAATCACCAGGGCTGCAATCGCAGCGCATCTTTTTTTGGGGCTCGCGTCCATGGTAATAGGCGTTTTAATGGCTGGTGGTGGTGTTGCAACATTTATGAAAGGTGATCAGATTGAAATCGACGCGACAGATCTATTCAAAGTACTGAAATCTATGGATGCTTCACTTAATCAAATTATGACGCTCACGAACGATCAGTACAACTATTTACTAGAAATGCAACGATATTGGAATGCTCAGGAAAGAAATTTGAAGAGTTTTCATGATATCGCTACTTCCAATCTTCAGACAACTATTAAGCCTATCTCAAAAGAAGATATCCAAACACTGCAAAACATCCAGCACAAGATTATTAACAAAAATAGAGACACAAGCCAAGCTATCAAGAATGTACTGTCCATTATACCTTCGTTAAGGCAACAAAAAGAAAAGTATACTGATGGATGAAAGACAGCGATGAACGTGAGGACGTTATATTTTTTTCTTTCTCTTTTCACATAGCTATTTCAAACCTTTTCATTATACTATACCACGGTAGCTCATTTGTACTATGAATTTCATACAATAAATAAGCTTCAACTCCATGAAATCATATATATAATATCTTCGTATATGTGCACATTCCCCAAGAATAATTGACGGCCATGTCTTGTCAATACATATACTACTAAGTTAGTAGCTACAATAATAGGTAGGACAACAAAAAAGCATTTCAAGTGGTATTCACGATGATTATTATGCATGATATATGATAAACAATATGTTTGATGTATAAAGTAACTTACCTGTGATACACAATGTTTGCTCTTATAATCAACATTGCATATGGTAATTGAGGAAATATTTGGACTTTCTGTCAGAGGATCATGTCATAGGTTGATCTTGCAAAAACTTTTCGGATATAAACTTATTTTTATTCTGAGCACACACTTAACGTTGGTATCAGATTACTAGGCAACTATAAGACTTGTCTTGGCAAACGAACAGCAAAATATTTGCATTTTTATATGCTGAATTTCTATTCGTCTGCTTCTTCCATAAATACTCGAATTTGATCATGTACATTAAATGAAAGTATGAAATTTCTTTTCGTGACAAAAATATTTGTACAACTTTTCACCCTGACATCCCCATAACACGATTGATACTAGATATGTTGTATATTAGCATATAAAATAACGGAGCTTTATTCATATTTTACATTTTATTTTCTCGAAAGAAATGAAACTTGCGATTATCATTGGCATAGTGCTATTTGCTATCAGGTAATGCATTTATTTTCTTCAAATTAATAATGACTATGTTTTCTTTTATCTTAGCTTAACAGGTACACATCCTTTTTCTTTCGTGTTTGTATAGTTTTACACAATTCTTTGTTTGATGTAGCGCACGTTCATGGTCAAACATGTCATGGCATTAGCCAGTATGGCCAGTGCTCATCAAATCGGGGATGTGGATGTTTGCACTTTTCATTGGCGGATGATGTCGGCATCTGCGCTGTTCTCGGACTGAATTGCACCCGATTAAGTTCATGCCAATGGCCAGATGATACATGCGAAAAAGCCGATCACGTATGTGTCCGCCATCCTCATTGTAATTCGAATCCTCTCTGCTACCCATTACACATGGTTAATCAACGATTATGTCCATCATCATCATCATCATCATCGAGTAAGTACATATCTTTTAGTGAATGTGAATCATGTAACCAACTGCTGCTCTCTCATTTTACCAGTATCCCTCCCAACAACGACGACAACTACAACTACCATGGCACCAATATCAGACTTCGTAGTTTCATACTATTCGAATATGTTGACTACCAACAGCGACAGATTTCCTTATTCACATAAATACTATCATCAAGTTCGCATTGTCGTCTATGCATCTGGACTTTACAATTTCACAAGCATTAGCCATCTGCATACGTTTGCATATCTGTACAGAGGCGCTTTCGATCCATACAACACATCTTTGAATTTTATCACTGATGGCAATTACAATTACCAAACCAATCAATTCGAATTAGCAGCTTTCCTGCGGGCTGGTTCATCGTATGTGCTTGTTTTTACCACAGATACTGGAAATACTACGGGATATTTTACTATCGCTGCATATGGACCAAATTATCTTCATTTTATTTCAATGAACAGCACACAAAACACAACAATGAGTAAGTTCACTAAAGTTTACGCATTGTTGAACGTGTGTAGACATTGACTCAAACAGAAAGATCGTGATCTGGTTTCTACCTAATTTTTCTCTCTTATTTCTGCATAGCATGGAATAATACAACATCACAAAATGCCGTGATGTCAGAGTATTCCAGCGCACTAAGGAGCGATAGCGAGAAGTTCACCCGTTTTATTCAGCACGGATTCACAGCTGATTACAATTACACGATGAACTACAGCTCAACGCCACTTCATTACTACGAAGCAATTCGAATAACTGTTTATACATCAGGTTATTATCGTTTGACGAGTGCAAGTAGCTTCGATTCCTATGGACATCTGTACACCTGGCATTTTGATCCAACCAATCCGTCAATGAATTTATATCATCAGGATGATGATGCTGGCGGAAACAATCAATTCCAGATATCCGCTTATCTGCAAGCTGGTGTCTCATATATATTGGTATTCACAACGTATGGTGAAGGTCAAATGGGCTCGTTCCGAGTTGTAGCCACTGGTCCTAGTTATGTCGGGTTCATCTCAATAGCAATACCTACCACGCAAACATCAACACGTCCAAGTAAGTCGTCAGTTTTCTTTGTGCAAATCGATATATAGATTGAAAATGAACGTGTTCGTTTGTTCTTTACGTAGCATTTACTTCTGCTGGCATGGAAAATGGTGTTATATCAGACTATTCAAGTATGTTAACGAGCAATAGCGAGAAATTCAGTCGTTTGGGTCAGTACGGATTCACAGCTGATTACAATTACACGATGAACTACAACTCAACGCCACTTCATTACTACGAAGCAATTCGAATAACTGTTTATACATCAGGTTATTATCGTTTAACGAGTGCGAGTGACTTTGACTCTTATGGATATCTGTATACCTGGCATTTTGATCCAACCGATCCGTCAATGAATTTATATCACCAAGATGATGATGCTGGCGGAAACAGACAATTTCAGATATCCGCTTATCTGCGAGCTGGTGTCTCATATATATTGGTATTTACAACGTATGGTGAAGGTCAAATGGGCTCGTTCAGAGTTGTAGCCACTGGTCCCAACTATCTTCGTTTTATCCAAACAAACATCAATAACGCGACTGTGACTAGTAAATATAACATGAGACTACAGTATGTGCTTATCATCCATATAACTTTCTTTATTTCTATTTGTAGCATCAACTCCACCCAGATCGAATATAATTACTACAAACTATTCATATGAGCTGACATCTAGCAGTGAAAAGTACCCAGGAACAAACTCCTACTTCCAAGCAATTCAGATTTTGGTCAGTAAACCGGGATTTTACAATTTCTCGAGTGAAAGTCATACGAGAAGCCGCTGGTGTCTCTACTGGAAATCTTTCATATTATCGAATTTAACACAAAATCGGATGACATGCGCAGATGCATACAATGATAGCAACTTCCAAGTTTCAGATTACTTCTCGCCTGAATATTCGTACGTTCTAGTTTACACAGCGCTTGCCCCGAATCGAACAGGACCATTTTCGATCGTGGTAACTGGCCCAGACTACGTTCAATTCGTTCCGATATATACTTCACAAACAACAACTATGAGTAAGTAGAATGAACTAGAGGCTGAACACAATAAATTTCGATCATCGACTAATTGCGCAATATTTTAGTGCCGGCTAATATGGTTTTGGTCTATTCAAGTGAATTAACATTGAGCAGTGATAGATACTCTCGTGCCGGGAGGACTGATTACTTCACAGCAGGTTATGGTGCTACAGCTGATTATAATTCTTTGTCCAATTTCTTTTACGAAGCTATTCAATTGACTATAACAGCAACTGGAACTTACACGTTTATAAGTCGAAGTTCCATTGATACTTTTGGTTACATCTATCGCGACCATTTTGAACCAGAAAATCCAGATGCTAACATTCAAGCAGAAGACGATCAAAGCGGAGGAAGTGATCAATTTAAAATGACAGCTTATCTTTACGCCAATCGTTTATACGTATTGGTTGTTACAACATGGGTGGGTAATACTATTGGACCATTCTCGATTGTTGTCGAGGGTCAACATCCAGTTGGTTTTAATCGTCTATATTACTCGGTGAATAAACATTGATGCAGATTAAATATTTGAAAAGAGAACGAATCTGGCTTTTTCAAACATCTTTTTTTCGCTTCTTTACACATTTCTAATTATTTCCAAATAGATTTTTATTGCATCAAATAAACATCGAGAGAACTCTTCTGAAAATTCTAATATCAAAACTTGCGATGTGTCCGGTTTCATTACAAAGTATGAAATTTCTTGTATATGATCAGAGCAACTCATATTTATCGATTAAAGATATTCAGTCAAATCGATAACTAATCTTTTCTTTCCACAAGAAATAAGAGGATCATAATGAACAAGGCGAACCCTTGCAAGATGCACGAAACCACTGACATCGATGTGTAGTTGTATTCATGCGTGGTGCTGGTGCATCAACTGGATACAGTCCAAGAATAACATGCCAAAGATGCTCAAAAGTTCCTCCAAACCATTGGATACCTTTGCCGAGTGGTCCGTTCTCTTTTTCTGTCGTACAAATCGGTTCGAAATTAGCACGGTATACAGATAACCATTGTTCATACGTATATCGATGAATACGTTCTTTCGTTACATAGAACTGAGCACAGCAGAATGCTGAGATCACATTTCCATCTTTCGATTTCATTTGTGTCGGATTTAACTGTGATTCGCCATCATAACCAAACAAAATCAACATACGGTTAGCACATTTGTACATCATCGCAATATTATCATCGGGATCGCGAGGCCAATATGTCCATGATCGCTTATGAATCCATTCTCTTTCATCGTTTATACTTGCAAAATGAACATCACCACGAATGCATAGTGCTGATTGAATAGGATTATAACTTGTATGAACATAGGGTTTGCCGTGCATGAACAACATTTTATCTGGTAGATCGAAATAGTGATCATGAATGAATTGTAGAATGGTTCCAGTCTCTTCATGAACATTGACCGAATACGGCCAATCATAGGGATATGCAGAATTCGGATCAATGCGTTGATACAGATGAATATGATACGAACGTGCAGTTGAATTAGACCAGCCAAGTCCATTACGAAGCCATACTGGCCAACTTGATCGATTAGCCCAATCGATTTCTTTCCATATGGTCGGTATCACAACTAGTGTGTTTTTTGGCCATTTGCTCGGTTTCGAATTATTACTCGTATCTCTTAGAGAAATAATCAACTGCGGTGTTAATGTATTTTGTACCATATTATGCAGTAAAATGATAGTAATAACAGATATGCAAATAAAAACAATTCTACTTGTTGAACCATGCGAATAATGAATGTTGAAATTCATTGGAAAAATGTTCGCAATATAATGTTCGTTTACCTGTTTTTAATTGTAAGCATGATGCTCAATCGTATGGTAATAAACTTAACTAGATTGTATTCAGGACGTTGTCCTAATACGGAAGTCGTTTTTTAAATAGTTGATCCAGAGAATTTCAGCTTATTCGATCTAGTTTCCTTCAAGTTGCAAATCTACACGATAAAAATCATTCGTAAGAAAATAATGTCATTGTACTGGTTAATGTTTTTCTCATTTATTCTCGTTGCACCTATGCTCAGCACAATTACTTCGAAAATGTGATCCACATCAGTAAAATATTATTGATGAGCAAATCAATACTTTCTCAACTGCAACTGTTCAACTCTCTGTGGGTCGTGCTTCCATACTTGAGCAACACTTATTTCTTTTTGAAGTGTTATAGTTTATTGCCTGATTCAGGTATTGCATTTTACCGAGAATGAAAAAAATAAAAATTGATTACCAACTCTGCAAACGTCAATAAAGAAAGTACTTTCGTTCTGTGTCGAGGAATGCAACCCTCTCATTGAATGACAGTTATGGGAAAAATACTTCATTGTAGATCTTACAAGTAATGTGTTTATGTATTCTTTGTAAACTTTCATTTGTTTCCTTGGATGACACGCAAAAGATTGTAGAAAATGAAAGCAGAACGGTTCAATACGAAGAAAAGTAATCATTAATATATATATAAGATTTTTTCTTTTGTTGACAGTGTGTCATATCATATTAGTCATAGAATAGGAAAAATATTTTCCGTTCTTCTACAAATGATTGTATTCCAAAAGTTAAAAAAACTCGATCATGGAAAGTCAGGTGCAATCAATGTTATTATTATCTCGAGAAGTCTAATCTTGAGATTATTTTCTATTGATGAAATTCTTTTAGATCAATATCATCATTGGTTTACAGCACCAGACTGTGAATAAAAGTGATCTACTATACAATAGACTCTCTAATAATTATGAACACCGACGGAACCAAGAGAAATCGTTCACATTAGCAAGGTGATTATTTAGGAGAGGTCTTAAAGTATATTATATCAAGAGAAATTGCAACATGTCGTTAAGCTTTCGGTGTGATGAATCAAGACCTCTATATCTTTAATAAAGTTTCTGTTCTTTTCAATCCTATTTTAATATAACGAATAAATGATTCTGATAAAAAGAGATTAATATTCAAAGATTGTTTGGCACTCTTGATCGGAGTTACAGTTCCTGTTGCTATCGTAGTGTCTACAACGATTACAAGTGAACAAATGCAGAAGGCAGCTCAATGCACTGAAGATCAATAACAACGTATTGCTACTGCACGGGCAAGCCTTTGAAAAGGAACGAGATGATCAATTGTGTCAACAGCAATTCTACAAGAGTGTTTTTTTGAATGCCATGTGTACATTACAGAAAAACGGTTGAACTATCGGCATTTGCAAATGCACGTTACCGCGTCGTACATCGCCAATTCGATGCTGTTCGAAAAGGTTAGGCATTGATTTTTCTTAAAGGCAAAGAGTGGATCGACCGGCAAAAATGTTCAACTGGGATGCGAAGTCAAAGTGGTCAAAAATATAGTTCATCTGAATAGTTTGAACTTCGATAATGTAAATCTAGACAGTGAAAGTGATGACCTTGGTCAATTAGACCTGGATTGTGTTGAATTTGAGCAAATTTCCATGAAGAATGCCGTCTTTTCTTATGCAACTTTGAACGGTGCCGTATTTAAAAACTCATGTTTCAGCGGTGCGAAATTCAAAGGTAGTTCTCTCAATTGTGTCATCATTGACAAAACAAAAGTGCAAGGAACAAATTTCTCTAATTCAAAATTTAAATGCAACAACGTCCAACAATGTCAATTTAACCATAACAATATTAAATCGACAACAAAAACAAGAAGTTCACTTCGTAAACGTGATCATGCCAGGTGGAACCAAGGTAACATCGATGATAAAGAAAACATCAAAAAACACCTGCAAGTACGTACCGAATGAGAGTGTACATATTCCTTGCTCACTTACATCCATAACATTAACAAATCGAAGGAAAATGTTGTCTTTCGTCCTAGGCACTACGGCTTAATTAACAACTACTAAACCAACATAAAAACGTCGACAGCAAATATCAACAATCGATACAACTACTACTGAGTCGGAAACGGAGAAAGGGATTGCATATGCAGCAAGAAGTAAACTATACCATAATTAGAAAATGTGGTTTGATTTCTAAATGTTTAGTTTGTAGTCATTTAAAAGCTTAACTGATACTAGTAGATTTGAGAGCTAGCTTTGTAAATATTTCATAGGAAGTGAGAGAAATTGATGTACAGCTCACTTGAGTGTAGTTTTATTTTGTACAGAAAATTGTATAATTCAGCCAACTACAGTTAGATCACTACCGGTAGCTTAAATTATGCACGATATCAACATACGGCAACTGTATTATTCGACGGAAATGCTTTGTTCTTGAAAATCTTACTTTCGAGTAAATAATAAACTATGCAATATCTTGAAAAGTCTATCACTTTGTAACAGTCTTCATTAGTAATGAATTGTTCGACATCCAATTTGAAAACTTTCTCAGATACTTATACCAATTCACAATATTTTCATCAGAATCTTTCCTGAAACTTCATTTTCTTTAAATCAAACAATCACATTTCTTGTTGCTCTCGTTAGATTTGAGTGGAAATATACTGTTTTTCCAAGATTACCTAATGAATATATGCGTTATTTATGATTATGCAATTACACAAGTGTTGACTATTAGTTTTCTCTTATCAGTTCCATGGGCTCCCTTTTTTAATCTTTTCCATCATATTTTTTACATTTTACTGTAAAAACAATTTAAACAAAACGAAGCTCTGGCAAGAATGGGAAAATATTCTTCTCTGGAGTTTTTCTCCTGCAATCCACTAATGGAATGTATACAACATCTCTTTTTCCTTCCGTTGAAAATTACTTATTCAAGCTCAGCGTAACGAGTTTTAGGCAAACAGCTAACAACAGTTCATCTTCGAGCATTTCTTTAAAAAAGGGCCCGATGATGACATGCTCGCTTTGCTTCATTGTCACATTACTTTACTTATCTACTATTGACTGTATGATTGTTGGCAAAGTAGAAAGTTATATATACATTGGTATTCAACAAAACGTATTGAATAATATCACACTCGCTACTTGCATGTGTCAAATGATGCGTTCTAATGGATTAGTATCTGGTTTGAATTATTTTTATCCGAACAACACATGCCAGCTATTCAGTTTCAACATTTCGTTACTATCAATTCAGTTTTATGCGAATAGTTCATTTCGATTCGTGAACCAATCATTCATATCGATTGCATTAGTATCGACAAAGGGTAAGTTCATTGTATAACGAAGAAAGTACAGAGGTAGAACTGCAGCGAGAAAGTATTTCAGTCCAGTAAAATTGAAGAGAATATACTGATGCGTGAAAACTCAACGAGTCGATACTTCATTTCTAGAATCAACATCAACATCGTCGTCAACAACCATCACCAGCACAAGAAAAACGACGTCATCGTCGACATCTTCAACGTCAACATCGTCGTCGACATCTTCAACATCAACATCTACGTCAGCATCAGCAGATCCTTGTAAGTGCAAACAACATTTAATTTTTACTGTACAGGATTGATTACAACATAGGTATGTCTAGTAATCGTCTCTGGAACACAACCGGTATCACGGTTTCGGTTTGGTCAGGCTTAACGAAAGTAAGCGGCTTATTTATTGATTCGCGCGATACATTATTTATCGTCGATCAATCAACGAGTTCCGTTGTATGGAAACTGCTGAAAAACACAACAACTGCGACTATTGTTGCGGGAGTAAGTGGATTACGTACGGCTGCTGCTAAGAACTTAAATTACCCGCAAGATGCGTATTTTGATTCAAAACAGACTTTGTATGTCAGTGACTACACCAATTATAGAATACAAAAATACATCAATGGATCAACAACTGGAATCACGATGGCTGGGATAACTGGGTCATCTGGTAGTGCATTGAATCAATTAGGTGGTCCACGACACATCACTTTCGATGCAACAGAATCAAACTTGTATGTTGTGGATGGTGATGAAAATCGGATTATGCGTTATCCGGCAAATTCAACAAGTGGAAACAATGGAGTTCTAGTTGCTGGAGGAACTACCGCTGGTAATGCAAATACACAATTAAATACTCCATGGGGAATTTTCTATAATGAGTCCATTAGCAACTATATCTACACAACCAATGCTGATGGACACACTGTTATGAAATGGCTACCAGGTGATTCGTCGGGTACATTTGTAGCTGGTGTATCAGGTGTGCTTGGATCCAATGCCACACTTCTGAACAGTCCAAGAGGTATGATAGTAGATGCATATTTGAACGTGTACGTTGCTGATTATGGAAATGACCGGATACAGTTATTTTGTGCAGGTAATCCAAATGGTATAACAATTGCTGGCAATGGCACAACCGGTAGTGGAGCGACGTCAATGAACGGTCCAAGAGGTATTGCTTTCGACTCGTCCATGAATTTGTACGTTGGCGAGTTCGACAATGCACGAGTTCTGAAATTTCTCAAATTATAAACACTTTTTCAAGTTATTTATCCTGTATAAAAAGCCATGGAAATAGCCATCATGACTGATTTTCAAAATACATTTCCTTGACATTGCACTCTGTGTAACAAGTTTTTCTTTTCTCATTACTTAACAATAAGCAACAAAAGAAATCTAAAAAGAAATTAAGCTGTTACTTGGTAAGCAACTTCGACTTAGTTGTTTCTTTTGGCAATAAATTGGCAGTTAATAGAATTTTCTTCTAGTATTAAATATAAAAATATAAAACAACAAAATTTGCACTACGAAAACTACGTAGTCGAAAATTGTAATGTACGCATAAAACTTTTCATTTTTGACGTTGTGCAACATGAACAGTTACGAAGCAAATGAATATAAATAGTCTCTTTTTATTTAATCGATAGCCAATCACGTGTATGTTTTATTCAGTTTAAAACGCGTTTCTTGTCATAAAAACAAGATTTATCAAGTCAAAGATCCGTTTCTTTCAGAATAAATCATTTTGATGCAGTTTCATCTTCTAAACTTATTTTCACATCTTCTGTCATTGTAATATCTTCATCCAGAGGTACTTTAATCACCACTTCTGGCGCAGTAATATCGTCTCTTGAAATTTTAATCGATTCCCTCGATGATGACTTCTCACGTTCTTTTAACTTGACGATGAAATTTCGAATCACAAATCTCTTCTTCCATAAAAATCCTATTAACCCTATAGTGCTAATCACACCAAATGTAATGAACAATCCAACCATAGATTCAATACTCATTGCTTGCGATGTTTCTCCAACTTGAGAACAATACTTTGCTTCAAACCATTTCTTTCTCAAGTCTTCCAATGTACCTGCTTCTCTCAATCCTAAGATATTAATATCTAGAATTTGTTCGTATTGCCAACCTTTCTGAAATACAATTCCGAACGCACTCGGCTCAAAATCTTTTCCGACCAATGTCAGATTACAATAGATATTATTTGTCACATATTCCAACACACCAGAGTCCATAATCGATGCATCAATAACGTTATTCAACAGACCATCGTAGATCTCTTGTTTCAACATTATTGGATAATAATTCTTAATTCCTCCTGAAATTTCCCGTAGATAGTATTCTTCGAGCGATGAACCGACTAATATGCCGATACGGCTGAATGCTAATCGACCATTTTTAATATCTTCAATTCCATCGATAATATCTTTCGATTTAGCAATTGTTAAATCAGATGCTAAGTTAGCCGTATAGGCAGCAACTAACACTAAACTTAAAATATACAAAGCAATCGTAACAACTCTCCCTGCTGCTGTTGTCGCATGAAAGTCGACACCGTAGCCGACAATCGTTCCGGATGAGTACCACAGACTCAATCCGATTTGAGAGAATATTGATTTGTTTCGTAAGGCTGGATTTATTTCTCGTTCGATGAGTCCAAATAGAAAGCCAGCATAGATACAAGCAGCTAGTAAAGTGAACCAGAGTTTGATTGAGAAGGGCGTTAAGTATGAAAATAAACTGATATTTGGATTTAAATCTTTTCGAATGATAACACGCAGAGAATTGTCAAATATTGAATCGGAGAAGCCAACTTTTTGTGTGCGAAGAGCAGTTATGGTTGTTTGAGCAACAAATATATCGAATTCATCTCGAGCAACAGCATCAATAACTTGATTAAACGTTCGATTAACCGTCAGTGTTATGTTTGGAATAAAACCCATTCGAACTCGCAATAGTTCGATTAAATCCGGCATGTAGCCAATTAATTTATTTCTGGTCACACCCGAAGTATCCGTCGATTGTGTGATCATTGTGAACGGTGCTGTCTCAATAACTGCAATACGCAAATTAACACCGCTAAGCGATGCATAGCCGGTCGGTGTAGTCAACGAATTTCCTGGCCAAATAATAACACTGGTCGATGAATACAGAGCCCAGTCGTTCTCATAAGACCACACCATTACAGGCACAGCATCGATACCTTTAGTGAATAATTGAATATTCTTCATCACATAATAAATCCCATCTATACGATCAGTTGTATCATTTGCAAATTGTATTGCGCCGGACACACCGAGGTATTTCATACTATTAACAATATTAAATAAGGCAGTTGAATTGATAAAACGCCGATCGAAGCAGAAGTCATTGCCGATATATTGAATACAGGGTGAATAATCTACCGTGTTTGTTAAACATAATTGCTGCAATGATGTAATTAGCAACCAAGCTGCATCGAATGCAAATAGAGCATAATAATCGACATTTGCTGCGCCAGGAAAAGTCTCAGGTTCATATTCTTGCCATAGGCTGTAAGCCAAATTTAATAATGTATTATTGATTGGCGCACTGACAACACTACCAACGACCGGCTCAACAACTAACATTCCATTTAAGTTTGGATAATACACCGAATCGAATTCGCTCAATCGAATATTCGCACTTAATATCCAAGTGAATTGAGGACCAAGAACATCAGCACGAAGTGCATTATTTAAAACTATTGTGGCGTAGACATCGATTGCCCACAGGATGATGATTCGTGCTGAATTTTTCGTCAGAATTGGCTTTAAACTACCACGAACAGATTGTGTTGCAATGTCGAATACAATCGTATCAGATACTGTCAGGTTGTATTTATCAAACGCATCACTGATAGCACTCATACCACCCGATCCGAAAGCATCATTCTGGTAGATAATGATACATCGCGCCCAATTAAATCGAACGAACAATTTTGCAATGGTTACAGCAGCAATGTTATCGGACGGTACAGTTCGATAGAACGCAGGATATGCCTGCCTGTCTGATAGGGAAGGATCAGTCGAAGCATATGATACAACAGGAAAACCCAACTTGTCAGCAAACGGACTGATTATATGAGATTCTCGAGAATAACCTGGTCCAATGACACCGACTATGTTCGAGTCATTCAATGCACGGCATGTGTCAGCAAGCGCATATATTCCATCACCGTTGGTTAGAAACGACTCATAACCGATGGATTTTCCCTCAACTGTCATGTTAGACTGTTGTGCAAGTGTAACAGCTGCTTGAAACATGGCACGTGAATGAACGGATAATGGTGTTGCCTTAGACGAATTGTACTGATCAGGGAAAAGACCAATCAATCGAATATTTGACAGATTCGATGGAGGCCATATTGTATCCGCAAGTTGTGATAAAACTTGAATTACTAGTAAAATTCTCAACCACAAACTCAACATTATTCTTATGTATATGTGCAGTCAGTTGACAAAATGTCAAAAGAGAGGACGAGATAAATTCAATGAAATGTATGCTTTTCCATCGTATATAACAACGTATCTCATTATAAATCCATGTTTTTTTTATAGTTTTTTATTTGACATGAGAATAATTTAATGGGCATACATTGCTTTCGAATATTATCTATATCTAATGATTGAAATTATTTTTATAATCGGCGTCATAAACGAAAATGCAAACAAATAATTGATCGTTAGTGTTGGATAGAAGCAATTGTTTTTGGCACAATTATTAGCGTTGATTATTTCTTTTTGGGCACATTTAGTTATATTATTTTCGACCTCAATGTCAAGCAGTTTCATATAGAAAATATTTCGCGTACGTCCAAAACGAAAATCGATTATTGCACAAGTATAGAAATTCAACGAATCCAATATTCACTAAGCACCACAGAAATCCGTGCTGACAATAAAAATTTAAACAAAATATTAGTTGAACATCAGTTTAGAAGTACTTAGTACTTCTACTGTAGAATACATACAGGATGTCCCAAAAGTAAAAAAAAGATAATTATTTCTCCTTCGTAACAGATTGACGGTTAATTTGTATCAAATATGTTCTTTCGTAACACTACTTATGTGTAAATGGAACAAAAAGAGGCCATTATTTCTCACTTTTCTTGTGTGATTCAATCCATTTCAAAGCACTCTGTTGAATTTTTCTTGCGCTCGACAATGATGCCACATAATTGGAAAGTGCAATAGGAATGTAATATATGTAACTTATAATTCTGAAAAAGAGAAACAATTCAAATGTGATAGGAGCAACTCAATAGCTCAACACTCACAAGACGCTCCTATCGAAAAGTAACTTTGCATATTGCGTTAGGATATGTGTCTGAAAATCATCATATGCTGTCCTCACCCAATGAGAGCAGAATTAAAGGGCGAAAATTCAATATTTTGCATATTTCGAATCATTCTATGGTGAGTGTTACGGGGCCAATCCTTATATTTCTAGGTCCTTTTCTTTTTCAGGTGTTGGTCATTGTTATTCTGATATCTTATGATATCATCTCGTCCACACCTTTGTCTTCTCTCTCTCTATATATATATATCTGTATTTTCATGAGTTTGATCGTTCTTGTGCCTTTTTCCTCGTCTTCACGTTCTAGTTTATTCTCTAATATACTTCTAAAGGCCGACCGCCTCCCGATACATCGATCTTTTCTCTCTTGTTCTGCTCGTCTCCTAACAGTGAGTGACGTACGACTATGCATGTTTTGTAAAAGTTTATTTTTAAGATCACTCGAAATGTTACGAAACATCACACCATGTCGGTTTTCAAGGAGAAATCGACCTGTACGAAAATCATTCGAGCTATTCTCTGAGTAGAGATACTCATATGAGCGCCTACGGAAGAAGAAACGTGTAATAAAAACATCAACTCTTATTGCAAACTCTGTCACGTTTTCATATTTCGCAGTCAAAGTCATGGTTTTGCGAACGAGAGTCAAAAAACACTTGAACACTTTCATGTACGGTCTGGTATTTCTAATTGATTTTCTTCGATTGCTTACATCTTTATTCACTGTTCGATAATTCACTCTAGTCAGAAGGTTTCTCTTCACTAAATTTTGTGGCAAAGACAACGTACAGTCTTATGGCTTAGCAGTACACTTTTTCTCTCTTTCGCTTTGTGTGATTTATTCTGTCATGTTTAAATTTATTCTGTTTCTTATATGCGTTCGGCCTTTGACTATATAAATAGACTGTGCAGAAGAGAAAAAGACAAACAGAAAAAGAAGGTTATACGCAAACTTCTAAGACAAAAGCATAGAGAATTGAATTCTGACGATGCTGCCATAATTAATCACTAATAAAGAAATATTCCAGTCGATATGTGCCATCAACGATTCTTTCGCTCAGATAATTAGTATTTGAAACTCTGACGTACTTCTCAAGATTGACAGCTGGTATATTATTCATGATTTCCATCATAAAAGAAGTGTATTCATAAATTAAAGTATATAAAATAGGCGGATGAAAAATTTCTCTCTATATGCATATATCGACGAATAAACAGTTGAAAAGCAATCATGCCGTAAGCGATGTTGTACACGCCGAAGACTATGAAATAACATTATTTGTTGGTAAATACTTTCATCGGTCTACAGTTGCAGCTAGATCCTTTTTCGTTGGTTCATCGTCATTAAGTTTGTCGTCACACTTTTCAATCACACTTTTAATGCACACACATTTTTGCCATCGTTTCTCGAAGATAATTTTCTTCGGTGTGTGGCGTGCAAGTATTGCAATCTTGTATTTCAGTTCGAAATTTTTTCTTTTTATACATATATATCAAAACTTTTGAGATTATCACGGCATTACCTAATCTGCTCGATATATCAGACAGATTCACTTGAAATTTCTTCATACATTCGACAGATATACCAGACAATTTCCACTGTTAATTTCTTCATAGAACACGAAAAATACTTTGTCTTGATCACTCTAGTAGGATATTGTTTTACAAGCGTATGCGTCCCGTGTAACATTCTTTTGTATGAAAAGCCACACATTTGAATCGCTTATAATTACAACAAACAAAACCAATGTGCTTTTCTGTTCAAGATTCTTCTATTGAAGAAGGTACTACCTCTCATCCAAAAGACCACCTGTTCCATGGTTTTACCCAACTATTTGAGTCGTTTGAACAACAAATATTTATTAATTTATATGCTCTTTATGTCTCTGACTATCTTCATCTATGCATCTTTCGTCAACTCACCTCACAACTTTCTATCATTCGTTCTATCATCTCAAACAACTGTCACGCCTACCACAACTACGACCACCCTCTCTTCATCCACATCGACGTCGCCATCGACATCTAGAACACCGACTTGCACTCCATTTACTATACCAGACTCTCGACCATTCTTTGAGCAAGAACACTCTCAAGTAAATCTACTCCCAAAACTATCAAACTCATCCTATGAACAAGTAGTTCAACAACTACGATCTCTTCGACTGATCGTCGTCGGATGTGCTCGTAATGTCGAGGCAAATATCGATAAATACCGAACTCATGTAGACCAGATCGTCGATCTTTTTCATCCATCATCTCGTGTATTGATATTCGAAAGTGATTCCACTGACAACACACTTGCGAAACTGCAGAACTGGACAAGAGCAGAAGTGTTCGCACAAGGAAATCTAGTTCCACAAATTGCATCTCGTACGGATCGACTCGCTCTTTGTCGCAACACACTTCTGACGAAAGCATACAACTACACACCTGATTACATCTTGGCTACAGATGTCGACATGTTTTCGACTACTGTTTCTTCGTTTCTGTCGAACTTTTATTACAACAGAGATGACTGGTCGGTGATGACTGCATCCGTAACTGGTGGGTATTATGACATATGGGCATTGAGAACACTATCGGATAATGTAATGAACTATGATGTCTGGCATCGCATATGGCATTTGCAAAATATTCAGGGCAAATACTGTAATCATAATTTTGTGGATTTGATTATTGGTACTCATCAGAAACATATTCCCGTCGAACGCGATCTGATAGAAGTACGCTCTGCTTTTGGTGGTGCTGGCCTATACAAGGTGAATTCGACATATGGATGCAGATATGATGGTAGTAGGACAACTTGTGAACATGTTCCGTTTCATCTGTGTATGCGAGAGAAGAATCGAGCAAGAATATTTATTAATCCGAGGTTTTTACTTCGTTAAGTAGCAGCATTATGTATACGAGGCTGCTTTTCGAGATGCTATAGAAATTGCAATAAATGGTTGTAATAAATATCTTTTAGATTAATTGCACTTATCTATAACATCCGTTTGAGTCGTCTGATAATTTGATTGATATCTACTTATCGACATCAATAGGATGGATTACTCGATTTAGTTAGACGAGCAATATTCAAAAGTAAAGCAACAATAATCGGCGAGATACGAACTGGTTCAGAGTATGGTTGTATTTTTTGGTTGTGTACTTAATCATTACTTGAATTCTTAAACGTAGTCGGTTACGACGTGCTCTGAGGAACATGAGTGACAGTTCATAATTGACCGTGATTGCGTTCGAGTAAACACCGGCTTTCGACAGTGGCTTCAATTTCGATTAGACTCATCAAACTTACACATACATCGGTGTTTTCAAAAAGAAAATTTTTACAGCACTTTGATACTTTCATGTACACCCTGATATTTCTTGTTAATACAGATAAAATACAGCGCGATGCCAGAAATTTTTTCTCTCCTCTTGTACGATGGATTCTGTTACATTTCAACTAGTTCTGTTTTCTCATGCGTTCGATATTCGATTCAAGATTACACATACTAGAAAGAACAGTAATACAAGAGAAATTTAACGTGCAAAAATTGTGAGTTAGAGAGGCAAAGGCCTGGACTCTGATAAGCATTTCAAAAATTGTTCTGTGTTTTTCTCCTTCGCATGATTGTAATATTCTTTATATGGTTTCGATTGTGACAGCAGCAGATTTATGAAATAAAATATGTAAACTAGACAAACGAAAAATCTCTCTCTATGTATGTGTCAATGAATAAACAGCCGGAAAGTAATCACATTGTGAGTGGTTCTGTACACATAGAAGACTATTAAATAACATTAATTGTCAACGAATATTTCTTTTGCTTGAATTAGAACTATTTTCTTCTTTTTCGTTGATTCCATCCCGTGTAGAAGAACGATGAACAAATCTTCGTTTAATCGGTTATTTCGCGATAGAAAAGAGGGTTATAATCTGTGATCATTTTCACCAGGCTTCAACTGATAAATACGTCAGTTTAATCTGGTTCTCTTTGAGTAGGTAAGTGTCGAACTATATAGCATCTAGGACAGAGTTAGGAGTACCATAAACTAATCTCGTGTTAACTCTCTATTTTTCAATACGAAGATGCTCGAATATAGTTAAGAAGTTTTTCTTCATTGCGATTAAAATCGAAATTCTCTCTATGTTTAGTCGATATATATTATGTTTGTCAGGTTTTTCAACGAAAAATTGATTTAAGTCATATTTTTTCATAGTTGTTTTTACATGAGCTGCCATTGGACTGATTATAAAGTCTTCTATTTACACGTTTTCATTTTTCATAAAGAACAATTGTATTTAATGTCTTGTGACAGCATCATAATCACATATTTCAGCTCGACTTTTTTTCTTTTCCTACACACACACACACCGAAACTTGTGATTTTGTTGCGTGCTACTGTCACTTCCATTCCGTCCACATGACAAAAGGCGATGAATAAAATAAATTATTAGATGAGTCACGCATCTTCACATTGGCCTTTTACTCAGAATACTCTTCCGTAGTTCGGATCGTACTTTGCAGACATTCATGAACTCCTGTCTCGTTTAGTTAAACGTAAAAATTCGAGTTTTTAGTCGCTTATGGTTGTAATAAAACACGAAAATACGTCTTTTATGTTCAAGGTTTCCCTATTCAAGAAGAGATTATCTTTCGTCTGAACCAAACGTCTATTCAATGATCTCAACCACTCACATTAGTCGTTTAAAAAACAAATATTTATTAATTTATATGCTCTTTATGTCTCTGACTATCTTCATCTATGCATCTTTCGTCAACTCACCTCACAACTTTCTATCATTCGTTCTGTCATCTCAAACAACTGTCACGCCTACCACAACTACAACCACTCTCTCTTCATCCACATCGACGTCGCCATCGACATCTAGAACACCGACTTGCACTCCATTTACTATACCAGACTCTCGACCCTTCTTTGAGCAAGAACACTCTCAAGTAAATCTACCACCAAAACTAGCAAACTCATCCTATGAACAAGTAGTTCAACAACTACGATCTCTTCGACTGATCGTCGTCGGATGTGCTCGTAATGTCGAGGAAAATATCGATAAATACCGAACTCATGTAGACCAGATCGTCGATCTTTTTCATCCATCATCTCGTGTATTGATATTCGAAAGTGATTCCACTGACAAAACACTTGCAAAACTGCAGAACTGGACACGAGCAGAAGTGTTCGCACAAGGAAATCTAGTTCCACAAATTGCATCTCGTACGGATCGACTCGCTCTTTGTCGCAACACACTTCTGACGAAAGCATACAACTACACACCTGATTACATCTTGGCTACAGATGTCGACATGTTTTCGACTACTGTTTCTTCGTTTCTGTCGAACTTTTATTACAACAGAGATGACTGGTCGGTGATGACTGCATCCGTAACTGGTGGGTATTATGACATATGGGCATTGAGAACACTATCGGATAATGTAATGAACTATGATGTCTGGCATCGCATATGGCATTTACATAATAATAGGAAGAAATATTGTAATAATGACTTCGTTGATCTTATCATTCTGACTCACAAAAAGCAGATTCCCATCGAACGCGATCTGATAGAAGTGCGCTCTGCTTTTGGTGGTGCTGGCCTATACAAGGTGAATTCGACATACGGATGCAAATATGATGGTAGTAGGACAACTTGTGAACATGTTCCGTTTCATCTGTGTATGCGAGAGAAGAATCGAGCAAGAATATTTATTAATCCGAGGTTTTTACTTCGTTAAGTAGGAAATTTAGTTAAGTAAATGGTTTTGAAGGTGTTCTTGGCACTCAAATAAACAGTTGGGTTGAGATCAAAAAATATTTTAAATAAATGGAACTAAATAAAGTAGTACACCTGACGGGGAAGTACAAAATTAGGATTGTTAATGTATGTGAGAATGAAGAAGATACACGCCTCTAATTGAAACAACAGAAAAAGACAAGAAAGGTGATGATAGTTATGGACGGCGAATAATTATTTGTTTGATAAAACTGCGCACAGGTTGATTGGTATAGATTATTACAATAACATCGTAAAGAATGGTTATTGATGGTAGTACCTGAATACAAGCATTGAGAAATGATGGAATTGAATCGTTCTTGTTAAAGAGCTGTATTGCAAGAAGAGGAGTCCATCCAATTAGAAAGGCCACAAACGTGCCGATTGTTGTTTTCAGTAAAAATACATCACGTGAATGTGAAGTTTGACCACTACCACCCGTGACACCAACTCGACGAGTAGACTGACGTACAAACAGAAAGATGCGTATATTACATAGGGTGACAGTAGCCACCGGGATGAGCAGAGTAGTTGCTAGAGTGTAATACGGCATAAAGTCGGGCTGCTCATCACTCGGACAAGCGAAACTGTTTGAAAATAAATGTGGTAGAGCAATCAGCAAGCCAAAAAGCCATCCAAGTCCAATACAGAGCCAAATATAAGAATTTGATCGGAAAAATTGCTTATTTGAATACACAATTGTGAATATTCTACTGATCGCAACCACACAATGCGAGTACATCATTTGACATGCAGCCATATCTGCTAGATATGCTTGCAATCGACAAGATAAATCACTAGATACTGTCAGAAGCTGTTGAATGCTCATTTGTAGTATAATACTACATAGGAACACACTAGTTAAACATACATTGACGGTAAACCAATTGAGTTTATTCTTCCGAAACAGTGGTCTAGTGGATATAAGGACCATATACAAGATGGCAAGAATGATAGATAAGATCGAAACCGGTATTTGAATGATAAAAACTGCTGAATCATTGCTGATGTAGAGACGATTTGCAGATTGATTATACGTATTACTAGCGTTTTCATTCATGTCAAATGCTTGTGAGCTTCTAGTAAGCGGCAACAAATAAGTACGGTGAATCTCGCTCATCATCATTATTTCCGCTCTTATTCACATCAAGAAAAAATGCTACTTTAGTAACGCGACTCACCATTTGTGGAAACATGTAAATGAGTATTCCAGACAAGAAAACCTAATCAAACAGAACAATAGCCTAATCTGCTATAAATATATAACTAATTACGCTGAGGGATACATTTGACTTCTAATGAATTATTTTGATCGAGTAAAATTAAAATATTGATTGAATACACATGAAATATCCGAACAGAAGTTTCATATTTGTTTGACAACTTACTCATTCTTTTCATCAAGGTGAATCGTGCAATCGCATGTTTAATATACTTTTCTTCGTTTCTCTTTCGCCTTTTTGCACATTGCCACCATGCTCTTACGTTCTCCAATTGTACAGTGTAGAAAAAGAAAAAGTGGTCGCTTGCAAACGTACACATATATAGACTCAATCAACTGTATGCTTGTTATTCCGTCAGTGTAGAAGAACGATGGTTATAATATTTTTTTCGTTTTGCCATCCACCCTATCGATCATTACAATAAGAGGACATAGAAACGTGAGTGACTAGCACAATTACATTCGACATGTTTTTAAATATTGATTCGTATTTTTGCTACAGTTATGGAAAACACTGAAGTCAGTATATTAGTTGACGATACGGGCCGACCTATCGAAAATGGTGAAGACAATCATTTTGATACGTATCCATTGCAAATGATTTCACCAAATAACAAAACTTCAGGTAAATACGTCAAATGAAAAAACTTTTCTTTTTTTCACTGTTTATTTTGATTTGATTAGAACGAAGTGTTCATCCAACTACGACATTAGATTTAGAAAAACGTGTGAAAAATGTACGTTCATTTCAGAAATCAAAACTTAAGTTACAAATATTGTTTCAAATGTAGGCCATTCATACTTTGAAACTCCATCTTGCAGATGCAGCTAGGTGAGGTCTTTTCGCACAGTCTCATACCACATCAATAAGTATGTATTCAGTGATACTCCAGCTTACTTTGGCTTTTTAAAATTTGTTTACGCTAATGATGCTGACAAAAACAATCGTCTGTCATCGGTGAGCCATCGTCTATCTGAAGTTTTCATATATCGCATTGTTTAGTTCGTCCACTTGGCAACGAAATCGAGACCATGGATGGTCGCCAATCTCATAGAAGCATACCATCTACCGACTCCGGATTTTATTCTATCGATACAAACGGGAGGTATGCAACAATATGGACCATACAAAGATAGATCAGGTATTCAAATCGAAACTGAACATGCAATTCAACATGGTCTAACTGCTCTTGCGACAGTCACGCGTAAGTGGTAGAAAACTAATCGAGACAAATAGTGATCTTCTGATTTAGGTCCGTGGGTCACAACGAGTTGTAACAAACAGGATATGATTCGTTTGGTTGGAAATGCGTTGCATAGAGATATGTGTGGCACGGATATTCCTTGTATTAGCTTTTGCAATTGGAAATCTGTAGCAGGTAGAAATGATTATCGAAACTCAAAGGATAAGTAAATTCGATTTTCTGATGCACAGATCATTATCAATTGGAAAGGCAACGGACTGTAATTTCAAAACTTTTCGAGACAAGATTTATGGTAAAACATAAAACTAATCTGATATGAGAACTTAAGTTTTGATTATTTATGATTAGATGAATGACGATGATAATGAGCCACGTTCGGTTCATGAATATCAATTAACAACAAATAACGATTATGAAACGAGCATTTCCGGTTGGCATCTCGATCCTAATCATACTCATTTTCTTCTATTCGACGATGGGTCAAATGACGTGAAAAATATGCTATTAAAACGCCAAGAAGTCGAACATGAATTGAGTATTAGTCGACCATTAAAATCACCTGTGAATGGTTATAAATCAGCAAGTGACAGTACGTATCTTTCGATTTCCAACCATATGCTACGTGTCATTTACTACAGCATATGACAGTGAAATTCCTATTGTTATGTTATTATTGGGCGGTAATTTTACCACATTAATATCCATATGCCAAGGTTTAGAAAATGGAACACCTGTTGTTGTTGTTCGAGTAAGTTGTACACTGTTGATTGGACATAATTGGAAGCTGGTCTGGTGCTTTCAGGATACTGGTGGTTTGGCTAATATCATTGCTCAACTATGTCGAAAACTGTCACCAATGGATGAACTCGGCGAATTTCGAAAAATTACATACATCGGAGAATGTAAAAACGAATTAAAGAGGTTATGTTACGAAGAAGGAATCTTAGCAACGAACGATGATGAAATCAAAATTAACGATCAACTTGCTGAAATTGAAAAATATGTTGATGTTTTAACAGAAATGGAAACACTCATTGTCATATTCGATGCTATCGAACGAAAAAATAATTTAGAAGATGCTATTGCGAATGCTATGTTAAATGGTATTAAGTATCGAGTGGAAAATTACGAACAACATTTCACTGCAGAAATCAGGACAGCGGAAGCATCATGGTGTCTGGTAAGATCTTGAATTGTGACTAGGATTGTAAAAGATTCGTTTGTCGACCAGATATGGAATCGAGATGATCACGCGCGTCAATTATTAATCGATCGTAACGATAAAACGATCATCTCAATGAATGATACGAATCTAAACAAAGATCAGGTGAGCGAAGAAAGATTGATTCGAATCAGATGACAAGATTTTCTTGTTAACAGAAACTTACCTTGACTCAACAGTTATTATACGAGGCACTGTATCGAAATAATGTACTTTTTGTTCGTTTGCTGGATGAATGTGGTGCATCGATCGAAGAACTGGCAGAAGAACAGTTAGTTGTTATTTGTATTAAAACGATGGTAATGCGATCATTCATTATTCGATTTCATTTTTCTTTCTCTCCTTTCACAGAATGATCATGCTCTCCCGCTAGATCATTTGTCTCATAAAACACACCCGTCGAAGCACGAGACGACTATCCACGCATTGAAAATATATGTCGAACGAATTTATAACAGTTATCTTCGAGAATATTTAGGTCATTATGTAAATATTTTGTGAACTCAAAAGCGAATGCGTCGAAAGCGGTTCATATATTGTAGATTTCGCAAGAGAGAAGTCGAAAATGGATACGACGACGAAATGAACGTTTCAGCGGATTTAATATTGGCAGAATTCTAAATTCCAATACCATGAAACTGGCGGAAATATTTGGAGGACGAAAAACGGAAGCACTCTATCTCTGGTTTGTTTTTATGAATCTACCAGATATGGCTAAGTATCTCTGTTCTCGATCTCGAGTAAGATGAAAATTATGCTTAGTTATATCACTTATCATGTACGATTTATTCATGATCAGAATCAGACAGTGGGCACTCTTCTTGCCAGTGACATTTATTTGACAGCGGCGAAGAAAAATGCGAAAAACAAAAGGTACTTGACAACGATGGCACAGTAAGTTGATTAAACCTAGGAGTAGCTAGTGTATACTTCGATGAATGTAGAGAATTTGATCGGCATTCAAGAGGAATTATTGATACGTGCTTTGCCAAAGATGATGATTTCGCATTCAAGGTATTGAAATCGAAAGCGACGACGTTCTACACCTGCTTTCCATTACATATCGCACGACGAGCAGATTGTCGAAGTTTTCTTGCTAGTAATACAGTACAGAAGCATCTTCAAAATAAATGGTTTCATAATTTCAATTACCAACGACGATTGATGAAAATCCCAGTTGCAATATGGGTTTGTTCACAACTTGTGCATTTATACATCATTGACATTTCGCTTTTCAACTTCAGATATGTCTCGCATCATTGCTGTTACCGATGTTACCTTTTGCATCAGTATTTGTATCAGCGCTTTACAAAAAGACATCCACGGAAGAGAATTCAGCATCGGTGAGATATTCGTATGAATGATCTATAACTATTTGGAAAAACCGTTTAGGAACATAAAATTTCGAATCGATATCGTTCTGTGGTAACTTATCATTTACCCCCGGAAAAGAACACACGACGAGATTCAGGTACACCAAATCTACGTGAACGTATCAAGTGGTTTTACGAAGCACCGGTCGTGCATTTCTATTACTATTTTGTTAGTCTAATCTATTCGCTCTCATACCATCTAGAACTTATCATACATTTATTTCATAATTAGATCTTCTTTGTCTCCTTCTTGGGTTTATTCAGTTACGTTCTTCTTTTCGATTATTTTCCGTTGAATATCTATGGCGAAAAACGATCTGGAATTCAAAATCTACCGATACCAATTACTGAAATTTTGCTTCATATCTGCGTTGCTAGTTTGATCATCGATGAAATATATCAAGTTAGTTCTCTTTATTTCTCGAAATTGTTTCTCACCATTGCTCGGATAGTACACTTTGCAAACAATCAAAGAGTATCATTACAGTACTAATCCTTGGAATTGGATGGATCTGACTGGCATTTTATTTTATCTAATTGCGTTCGTTCTTCGTTGGTTTGTCAATGAGCACATATTTATCTGTTCAAAGTAAGATATAAAGAAAATTCAAGTAAATAGATTGAAACATCGACTGTCTAGAATATTTATGTCTATTGACTTGATCATCTGGTATATTCGAATACTTTATCTGTTTGCTGCGTATGAAATCTTGGGACCGAAATTAACGATGATCTACGAAATGGTGAGTATATTCGATGTGGAAGGATATTAAATGATTTAGACGATGTTTGTGTTGCAGATGAAGGATGCTCTCTTGATCTTTCTATGCTTCATTCTTATTCTTTTGTTTGGCTTTTCGATTGCTTCATGGTCGCTTCTTACTACAACTCAACAAGTCGTTTGGATAAATATGACTAATGGTACATCGATGAACAAGTTCGTCATAGCAGAAGGAAGTGGTGAACTACGAAGTTGGCAATTATTGAGAGATGTGCTCAATTGGGGTATTTGGAAAGTATTCGGACAAGTCGCTGAACCTTACAATGGTGCTGTTAGTGGTAGGAATAGTTTCTTCATGTGCGGGAATATCAGCAAATGTATTTAACTATTTAGAAAATGATGCTTATGGCACGTTTGTTTTCATATTTGCAATTGGTTTTACTGTGATATCAAATGTTCTTCTTCTGAATGTTCTCATTGCAATGTTCAAGTAGGTTTATAAACGAGCGATTAAAATAGATCACGGACATTTCTCTTTCTAGTGAGAAGATATTACGTGTTCAGGAGAAATCTAATGAACTATGGCGATATCAACGATTCTGGCTGATTAATGAATATAAAGACAAAACAGTATTACCTCCTCCGTTGAACATTTTATGCTACATAATCCAGTTTTTCACCTATCTCGTTTGCTGTAAATGTCGATCTAAATCTGTGGCTTTACTCGATCCAGATTCTGGTATAGTTACATCTCTTGGGAATGGATATTTCGTTTCAAATTGTTCTTCTTCACAGATTCGTCATCGGATGAGAACTCGTCTTCTATCAATACAGCTGAACAATCATTGGTCGATACTCGTCAAATTAATCGTGAAAAAAATCTCGCAGAAGTATATTGGCGACAGATATTCGAAGAAGAAGAGAAGGAGAGAAAAACGTCGGTTACTTGAAGACAAATCAATTTTTCTCAATTTTCTTTTCTATTTTGTAGTTTGAACAAACAACAAGATGACACTGCTGAAACCAATCAGAATTACGATTCTCAGAAACCACTAAATTCAACATTACAAGTACGGAATACTACGTAGACTATTTCAAACTGATCGCTCACTTGAGATTTCTTCATAGACACTAGAACAACTTGATTTTAGCAACAAACAAATTGGATATAAGGGCGCAGAACAACTCGCCGATGCTATTCGAAAGAGCACTGTTCGTTCGACATTGCACTTGACGTCACAGTACTATCGATTTTCATTGTTTTTTTTTCATCCAGCCACTCACTCAACTTGATTTATCGAAAAATCGAATTGGCGATCAAGGAGCTCAGTATCTGGCTGATGCTTTAACGCATAATAAAGTGAAATCTATTTTCTCTGTTTGTTGAATTCTTCTCGAAATCGACGTTTTTACATAGACAATCACTATGCTCAATCTTGCCGACAATGGTATCGGAGCACATGGCGCTTCTTATCTTGCCAACGCTTTCCGAAACAATAAGGTAATTATTAGTTTTTACTCAATCCATAATCTTCAGGTATCTTCGCAGACACTGATCGATATCGATCTTTCAAATAATCGAATCAACGATGAAGGAACCGAATATCTAGCGGATGCTTTTCGATACAATACGGTAAACGATAGACCCGTTTTTTAAACATGTATTTTATTGTTTGTATCATGTATAGACACTCAATGTATTAAAACTGTCAGCTAATCAAATAACAGATTATGGTGCTGAATGTCTGGCGAAAACGCTGAAAAATAATACTGTAAGTTTATTTTTGTTAGAAATTTTTTCGTGAAAAATTTTTTTTTCATTAAAAATAGACCATCGAGTTTCTCGATCTTCGGTGGAATAAGATTTCGACTAAAGGAATACAACAATTGGCCGAAGCTCTACCACACAATACTGTAAAACTCTTGTACCCATCTTATAGATCATCAATTTTATTCTATTAGACGCTGACTCATCTCAATCTCTCGTGGAATGACATTGATGATAAGGGCGCTCAATCATTGGCTGATGCCCTACAGAATAATAAAGTATATCTCATTTGAATTCATTCTATTTTTATTTGCTTATTTCCAATGCAGACATTGGTGGCACTCGATCTCGCATCGAACAGAATTGGTGGACAAGGAGCTCAACAGTTAATAGGTTCTCGACGGAATCACGAAGTAAGCATGTCTCGTCGCTCGATTTCCATACTTCTATTCTAATCGCGCAGATTTCGACACGATTCGATCTTTCAAATAATCAAATAAAGTATGATGGAATTAAACTTTTGACGGATGCTTTAAAAAACAACACAGTAAATATATTTTTAATTTATATATAAACTCTTCATTCTTCTTAACAGTCAGTTGTTACACTCGATCTCAGCAGCAATCGAATTGGAGACGATGGAGTTCAACATTTAATCGTTGCATTAAGAAGCAATAGCGTAACTATATCTTCACTACTAAAAACAACTTTTCTCATCATTCTCCTTCAGGCGTTGACGACATTGAATCTGGCGAGTAATCAAATTCGTCCGTCCGGAATCGAATACTTGGCTCGAACGACAGATGCTACTACTGTAAGTCCCACAGTGACAAGTTACAAATGCGTATAGATTGCTATTCTATGCCCAGCCATTATCAACACTCGATCTTAGTTATAATGAAATTGGAATCCTTGGCTCTAAAGATCTGGCAACTATTATTTTAACGAATACTGTACGCGAATTTAGTCCATATATTCGATTTATTGAAACGTATCTTGCCTGTTTAGACAATTACCACTTTACTACTCTCAAGCAATCAGATTGGCACGATCGGTATTCAAAATCTCTCATATGCTTTGCAGAATAACACAGTACAGATTTGAATTTCATCAAGGGTTTTTCTTAGCTATAACCTTTTCATAGACAATCGTTACTATTGATCTGTCAAAGAATCAAATTGCAGATGCCGGTATGAAACATTTGGTGAATGCGTTAAAACACAATACGGTAGGAAAAAAACATCTTTCGTTGTATTAGAACATTTCCTCATCTACTTACTTATATGTTTGTTTCATATGCAGACAATCAGTACAATTGATCTATCGCAAAACCAAATAACAGATAAAGGTGTAGAGCATTTGGCAAATGTTTTGAAGTTTAATACGGTAACTTTGCTGCAAAAAGTTTCTTCGTCAGTCATTAGCGAAAGTTTAACTTTTGCTATAGACGCTGACCATCATTCGTCTTGTAAGCAACAAAATTACAGATAAAGGAGCTCATTCTCTAGCTAGTTCCATTCAACAATATAAAGTACAGCATATTATTCTATGAACTAAATCTCCCTCTTATATCTCATTAGATCATGATAAAAGAGCTGGATCTATCCTACAATGCAATCGAAGACCAAGGAGTTCGATCGCTGGCTAATTATCTGCAATATCAAACTGTAAGACAATTATTGATCTTCAATCTGTATGCAATCAGAAGATTGTTTGTAGTCATTGGTCAAATTAGAACTTACAGGTAATCCCATTACACGTAACGCGGCTCGATATCTGTCCGAAGCTTTTCGACATAACGAGGTAAAAACGGTTCTTTTGTATTGATGTAAATTATGCTCATCGATGCGTAGAAATTGATAATTCTGAATGATGCATTGAGCCAAATTGATGAAGAAGAAATTCTAACAATCAAAAACGCGAATGACACCAATCCGGTAAGAATATTTGAGTAATAACACAGATTTTCATTTTGTTTACATCCAGACACTAACGAGTCTTGATCTCGAAAACAGCGGTATCGGACGTACAGGTGCACAAGCTCTCACAGTTTTATTACGACTGAATACCGTAGGTTTTACCCTTTTGTGACAACATAATTTGACTATTTTTCACTACAGACTCTGACTACACTCAATCTGCGATACAATAAGATAACTGGAAAGGCAATTCAATACCTCTCAGAAGCTATACGAACTAGTACGGTAAGCAAAGATAATCCTGTCACTTCTATTTTTTTCCAAGATAAGAATTTTTCTGTATAGACATTGACTACACTCGAACTCGCAGGAAATGAAATAGGCGTCGAAGGAATGGAACGTTTAGCTGATGTCATCAAACTTAATCAAGTAATAAGTCTTGTCATCGATTACTCATTTTATTGGATACTTTTCCTTCAGACTCTAACTATACTTGATCTCGCAGCGAATGAACTCGGTGTTGAAGGAGCTCGGTACTTTGCTGATGCCATTCGAAACAACACGGTAGAACAATATATCGTCACTGTCACTTTTCTTATACACAAATTTGACTGATTTAGACAATCACTTCTTTGGATCTTAGAGCAAATAAAATCGGTAGTGAAGGCGCAAAATATTTAGCTGATGCTTTTCGTAACAATCAGGTAAATATCGTACTGTTATTTGCATTCTTATGACTCTTTCATTCAGACTCTTACTACACTCGATCTCGGATCGAATGGAATCCGCGCCGAAGGAGTGCACTGTCTGGCCGATGCTTTCCGTGATAACGAGGTACGCATGTTTGCCTATCTTTCGTCACTTTCGTTAAATTATAGAGGATTTTCTCTTATGTAGACGCTTCGCACACTCAACTTGGGAACGAATGGAATTGGGATTGATGGAGCTAAATACGTTGCGAATGTTTTCCGACACAGTACGGTAAACGACTCTATATATGTATTTAACATTCTATATATTTCCTTCTTCGTGTAGACGTTGGCTGCGCTCGATCTTCGTGGAAATGAACTTGGTGCAGATGGTATACGACATCTTGCTGATCTATTCCGAGAAAGCAAAGTAGATTCTGACATTTACATACTGCTGAGAACTTCTCTCTTGTCTTACGTAGACACTTAATTTGCTGGACCTTCGATCGAACGGAATTGGAGATCGAGGAGCACAATATTTAGCGAATGCTTGTCGAAATAATAATGTAAGTATTTGTTCAATATATCTCAAAACTTTAATGCTTTCAATATAGACTCTTACTACACTTTATCTTGGATCAAATGGCATCCGTACAAAGGGAATACACGATTTACTCGAAGTTTTTCAAGACAATCAAGTAAATCTTCTTACTACCAAAACCACTACTGACTGTACATTGTTTTATAGACGCTCACAAATTTAGACCTATCAGAGAATAAAATTACTTTTGAAGGAGTAACATATCTTGCTGATGGTCTTCGAAACAATAAGGTACCTTAAATTTTGTCTTTTCTCTTATGATTCGAATATAATTTCTTATTTGATAGACATTGAAAACTATGAATCTTGCAAATAATAAAGTTGATGTTGAAGGAGTACAATATTTAGCCAATGCTCTACGCGAAAATACGGTATGTTTGAATATTTGTCGACCGTCGTTGTTCACACTTAAACTTATTTACTGTAGACTCTCACAGAGTTGGATCTATCGGGAAATAAAATGGGTGTTACAGGGGTCCAGAGTCTTGCTGATGCTATTCATAATAACGAAGTAAGTCGTATTCATATCATACTGCATTCAATTTACCTAACTTTTTAAGACACTCACTGTTCTTCATCTGGCGGATAATAGTATTCGTGATCAAGGAGCTCGATATTTGGGTGATGCTCTTCGGAACAATACCGTAATCAACATGTTCTGAATGTTCTTGCTTGCTTAAATCAATGCTCTTTGTTTTTCCGTAGACATTGACTACACTCGATCTCTCGGATAATGAAATTGGCACTGAAGGAGCACGATACTTAGCTGATGTTTTCGAAGACAATCAAGTAACTTCTAATCAGTTAAATTTTCGTTTTCATCTTCATCTATTTTGCTTAGACATTGACCAAAGTCTGTCTACAAAAAAGTGATAGAAACAGCAAAGACTCACAACGTGTGTCGGATGCTTTAAGAGCACATGTGGTACATAGTACCAGTAGCACCATCTCAGTTTAAAATATGTCTTTCTATGATTTATTTCAGATACAAACAGTTCCAACGCAGAATATACCAACGACAGAGTTTCTAACAGACGTATCACAAGCTATAGCTGACACATTACGAGATAATCAAGTACTATACCAAATGTTCCCTTTGGATTTTTGTCTGACTCTGATTTTGTTTTCGTCATTGCAGCATGTGACTAGACTTTGTTTACGCGATTTGAAACTCGGTCCTGAAGAAATTCAACATCTCACTACTGCTCTTCAGCAAAACCAAGTTTGTTAATTTTCTTGATTAAATATTTATCACTATTTTTCGGTACAGACACTCACCATATTGGATTTGACTTCTAATGCAACCGGATCCCAAGGAGCAAAATATTTAGCGAATGCCTTACAAAATAATAAGGTATCCAATTGATACTTCGTGTCTGTATCTATACTTTGCCTCACTAGTCACTCGTCTCATTGTCACTCGGATCGAACGAGATCACTGATGACGGCATACGTCATCTGGCTAATGTCTTCCGAAATAATACGGTAGAATTGATTATTCTATACTTCCCTTTCATTTCATTCTAAAACATTAATCTAAATCTAGACCTTGACTACATTGGAACTTTCAGCAAACTTAATCAGCACTGAAGGAGCACACTATCTAGCCGATGCTCTACGAGAAAATACGGTGAGTATCTATATATTGTTTCTTCTATGTATACAGTTTCTTCTACAGACGCTGACAACACTCGATCTTCGGTCAAATGCTATTGGGACTGAAGGAATACGATACTTTGCTGATGCACTTCGAAACAATCAAGTAACAAAATATATGTATATTCTATGAACTAAGAAATCCACATATCTTTCCCACAGACATTGCTGTCACTTGACGTTAGTTCGAATAGGATCAGCAATGACGGAGCACACTATTTAGTTGATATTTTCCGTCATGGTACAGTGAGTAATCCTCCTTTGCATCTCAACCAGTGATCCATTCATCTCAATGATATAGAAGCTTCATACATTACGTCTCGGATCGAATGGAATCGATGCAAAAGGAATGGAAGAGTTCGCTAATGCCATTCGAGAAAACCAAGTGCGTATAGTCATTTGATAAACTCATCCTTTTCAATCACTGATCTAGACATTCGTCGTCCTTGATCTTCAATTCAATGAAATCGGCGATAAAGGAATCCAATATCTGACTGATGCTCTTCGAAATCATCAAGTAATCATCATCCATTACATTGGTTAACATGGAAATTATGTTCTTTAGACATTGACTACAGTGGATCTTTCAGATAATAGTATCAGTGCCGAAGGAATGCAATATTTGGCGAACGCTCTTCGTGATAATACTGTAACCATCTTCTTCAATTTGTCTTCATCTAAATATGCGAGTACCTGTTTCTGTTCTAGACACTCACAACGTTAGGATTCTCCTTCAACTCTATTGGTCCTGAAGGAGCTCAGTACTTGAGCGAAAACATTCGAGAAAATATGGTAATTATCTTTCTTGTTTTCCCAATACGATCTTATACTTATGACAAATCTTTAGACACTCACTTCATTGAATCTCAATTCGAATGAGATCGGCGTTGAAGGAGCACAATATCTAGCTGATGCATTCAGAAATAACAAAGTCAATCATTGCCATTCTTTCTCATGGAAAACTTCGACTTTTCTCCTATAGATACTAACAGTGGTCAATCTTCGCTCGAATGGAATTGGAGACAGAGGAGCACAGCATCTGGCTGATGCATTTCGGAACAATAAAGTATGCGAATCCATGATCTTTTGTTGCTAATCTTACTTCTTTTCGTATAGACATTGATCCATCTGGACCTTTCCGACAATAGTATTGGAGACAAAGGCGTGCAACCATTAGCTGCTGCTTTACGAGATAATAAAGTAATTGTATTTCTTTGCATCACTTGATTACCATTATAATTTACTATTCTTATATAGAATCTCACCGTTTTTCATCTGGAAGGGAATCAAATAGGAAAAAAAGCCAAACATCGTGTGATGCAAGCATTCAAAGAACATCTTGGATTAAAATTGTTCTTCTAGATTGATTATATAGCATCATTTCTACTTACATCTGATGATTTATCTAAGAAATAAATCAGTTTTATCATATTAACCAATTGTTCGTACTCGACACACCAAAGAACACTAACGTTAGTCTGATCTACCAGCATCCGAGCTTTTAATTAATGCTAACGGTGACCTGGCGTGTTCAATATTCCGTCTGCCACAAAGGATTACTTAGTTTATGAGCTTGCAGAATATTATATTTCTCCGAAATGCTCTATCATATTGAACGCATAAGGTCAAAGTTTAAAAAAATTGTTTATATGTGTCGAGAAATTAGATAGTAGTTCATGTTACTATAGATGACAAGTGGGACGCTTTGATTGGCTCATGATTGTGTATGGGTTGGAGTCGTACAAGCGATTCTTTTATGAAACCTATTACACTGGAGTAACTTAGTACATTCTCGCCGAAATGCATAAAACGTAATGCAATTCAGTGGAAACGATCGGATATGATAGATAATGCAAGTGTTGAATTGAGCCATCAAAACGAACGATACACAAGTGTATTTATACACTTAAATTGACATAATCCCACAGGAGGATAGATTTGATATAATTCAGCGTTGTCATTGATCTTTCCACTAGGTCTATAGTAGCAAGCAAATATGATGAAATAGCAATTGAATAGAGCAACAATAGTTATGATACTAATGATAGAAATGAGAACACTGTTCTGCTGCCTGTACCAAAGATAATGAAGACGATTGCTGATATACAACAATCCAAATGCATGAATACTCGAAGCCAAATAAGATAGTTTAACAATCTGAAGATCTTACATGCTGGAAAAGAATATGTCAAAGGCAGAAAATTGTATGATAGAAAGATGATGATCAAGATTCCATCTAAATAACATGAGAATGTCAAAGATTGCTATTGTACGCATATAATGGATGATTGCATATTTCTTTGTACCTCGAAACGTTAGGTGGCAAAGAATGAGCACAGTTGAAAGATTCAGTATGGTGCCCACAATAGCTAATGTAAATGGATAATAAACTGCAAACAATGGTTCACTTTATTCTGCATTTGCTGTTGATGTATTGCTTTAAATAATTGTTCGGACTGCGCTATACGCTATAATTAATGACGTAGAATGTAGCCTCAAACAAAACAGACACTTATATAGTAAATTGTTTCTAGAGATTCGTCGTCGCAGCGATGTAAGTAAAAATAACTAACTCGATTGTCTAACAGGTTTTTTGGTTTCAGCAATAGAGTGCAAAGGAAATTGTAATTATTTACGATTAGGAAGTGCGTTAACTATATGTCCTTGTATATATCTGTAAAGAAAATCAATATGAAGTCAAATTTCTACTGAATATTTTCCACTGTGACTTCAAGGCCATCATACACACCTATAGAACAACTAAATCCGTTCAATTACGAGAGACTACGCAGTGTAACGTCAGTTTTTGATAAAAGAGTTAGATACGTATATTCGTTGTAAGAGATCTTAATATGAGTAATCATAGGACATATTGTCTGTCAGATGACAAGTGTTACTTATTTTCCATCTGGCATTTTTTTCGCGTCATAGTATTTCATCCAAACACTAGTTCGCCATCTGTACCCGAATACTCATTGAATAAGCGTAAAATCAGAGGAAGTGATACTCTTTCAAAGTTCAGACTATTTGCATGAAAATACAATCTACACTGGTTTTGACATACGTATATTTGCGTTGTTTGTACGTAAAAAATAATTTACCTATACTAATAAATATACGTCGTCACATACTTATGTATAGTGTCGTATGGAGCCCTGACTATACAGGGTGGTTCAAAAGTCACGCACCTAAAGAAAAAATTTTCATATTTCCATTACGACTCAATCGAACGGGCTTATTTTTTTTAACGAAGTATAGAGGCACGTCCACACTCCAAATCCATATAGGCAAGGTCAGTCAAAACTTTTTGTTAAGTATCATTATTGTTCTCAACAAGAAATTTTACCAATTAGAAAGAACTGATCGAACTTAGTACACAATGCAGAACAAACGCTGTTTTCAGCGTGGCAGTAGCAACGTTTCGACTTCGACTTTAGTGAATATTATCGTTGGTGAGTAAGTCAACAGAACGCAAAGTATTTCTTGTGCCTACTCTGTCTTCAACTGAGCACACACAGGCATCTAAGACGTTCATATAGTTTTATCAATAACTCAACGAATTCCGAGATTGAACTCTAAATTCAGCTGTTGAGCATCCGCTTGCATAAGATGCCAAAACAAAGATTACTCTTAACGATGTACAACTGTATTGCAAACACAAACTCAACAAATCCATACGATTTCAATCAGATGGATTGCATGTCTGCAGTTTTTCACATAGATACTCATTCGCAATCCAAAAATAGAACTTACAATGGGTTATGAAATAGTTGAAATAGTATCGATCGGGTTTACTTGTGAGAAATGGCTGGGAGTTCATCGAGATATCATGTAACACGATGTCAAGCATCATCACACTGATTCGTTGAAGATTAGATTCGAAGTGCACATCTGCTTTGAATTAACTTTATACTTACGAAGAAAACTGAATTTAAACAGAAATAATGATTAGGATAAAATTGTCAGGAGAGAAGTCAGTTGTGTCTATAAATAAACGACGACAATTGCTGATTTTTTAAAATGTCATTCCAGTAGTATAAACAACTGACTGATTCATCCGAAGTGCACAAAATGCCATGTTTGATCGAAAATTCAATGGCGTTGTTTTGAATGATTTTTTTTCTCTTCATCTATACATACTCAGAAACTTGAATTTTTTGTAGTCACGTTAACAAAAAGAAAAAGAAGGAGCCGCAGTTGTTTTTCGATGCATTATTTTTCACATATATTTTATCGTCACTTCCTCGCAAGTAAATTTTGAAGAAAAGAACATTCAAGTTTCTCTTTTTTTGTAAATTATAACACAAAGAGAGCAGCGTCAAACGAATTTCGATTGTTAATGTTTGTGTCGTCATTTTGCTGAAAAAAAATGAAAAAGTTACTAGCACTTTTTTTCATCGGTATAATTCAATTCGACATAATAAGTATATATTCATAATTTACATTCATCTAATATGATTGTCGTGAATTAATATGTTTAGACCTTGCAGCAACTTCATCTGATTATGTCTGCGGTCAGAGTATTAGTGCTGCGAAATTTAGCTCTTCCCTACAGGATCATTCTGCTCGAAACACAGCGACGAATTGTTCTGTAGCAGAATGCCCGTCAAGTAGTGCTGATGATAATAGTTGTCGCGCTTCATCAACACCGTGCTTTCAATATAGTCTAAACAATAGCAGTTATGTTTGTGGACCAGCTGTGGACTGTTCAATTTTTCAAGCATGTGACAATGTTACGCATCAATGTGCATCAAACACATCTGTTTGCATCGTTGATACATGTTGTTCGACGAGAGCTGTATGTTTGCCATTGTATACATTGGACTTTTGCAAACCCGGAGGTAGGATATCTTACGTATATAATATCGCTAACACGCTAACGTGAAAGTAAGTCGAGGAGAAGTTTAAACGTGGTTTACTTTTGAGTCAGTGTGAAAGGTCTTGGTAGTTCGTTTTTCGAAAAGGCTAGCATATAACACGTTGTTGGTTTCGGCTCATGTCACACATAGATATAATTCAGAAGACGATTTTCTTATTTGTGTCTTTTGTTCAGATTGGTCGAGCGTTGGTAATTTGATTATCGCGCGATACTCTCACACAGCATCAGTAGTGGATGATGGCAAAGTGTTAGTAGCCGGTGGAATAACTAGTAGCACTTCTTTACAGAGTGTTGAACTATTTGACCCGCTAACAGAAACGTGGACGCTTATTAATTCCATGAATATGCCGAGGCGTTTACATACAGCATCGACTTTACCTGATGGGAGAATTCTAGTTGCTGGTGGTTTTCATAGCAATACTTTGGCTTCAACTGAAATCTACGATCCATTAACGGGAAACTGGACGAGAACAGGAGACATGAATTTTCCACGATATTCACATGAGGCAATCGTATTATCCAATGGAACAGTGTTAGTTGTTGGTGGAACCGACGGGGTTGCATCGGCTCATTGTGAAATGTATGATCCGGCATCAGGAAACTGGACAGTTACAGGAGATTTGAACAATCGACGATACGGCCACACACTGTCATTATTGCAGAATGGATCAGTGTTAGCTGTAGGTGGATATGATGGTTCATTTTTAAACAGTGTCGAATTATTCGATCCCAACGTAGAAGTTTGGACGATGGTACAGAGTTTGAACGTTTCTCGAAGGCTTCATACCGCATCCTTGTTATTGAATGGTTCAGTGTTAGTGGTAGGCGGAAGAGGTCAATCTGATGCTTTGTCTAGTTGTGAATTATTTGACATAGCAAATGGAACATGGTCTCTTGTAGGTAGTTTAAATAACAAACGATACGGACATACAGCAACTGTTTTACCTAATGGAAAAGTAATGGCGACTGGTGGTGATGACTATACAGGTAATCTAACAAAGACAGAATTGTATAATCCATCAACTGGCAATTGGACAATAATTAGTAACTCAGATGCATCACGATATTCTCATACAGTATCGGTATTACGCAGCAGAAAAATATTAATTACTGGCGGACAACTAAATAGCAGCACAGCACTATCTACGACACTATTATTTTAATTTCCGAAAAACAAACTCATATGGACGAACCGCGCAGAATCCTCTGCTGATAAGCGCAACAGTTGTTTTTAAATATTTAATTGTGTTTTCTTTAAATAACCAACACTATATGATGAGCTTGTATGTTTCTTTCACGAGAAAAATATATGCACAAAAGCTGTTTTATTTCAAGTCTTTAAAAAAAATTCGTTTTTCACTAGAATGTTTCGTCGATTGTTTTAAAATAGATATTATTCAGCTACTTCCAGATGACGTTCTTTGAGTTCATATATGACTTCATCCATAGGTTGCCGAATATCGATTTTATCTAAACAAATGTGAACGAAATTTTAGTATTTGAAGAGAATCGCAGGCAAATACTACCTTGTAAATATCTATCTTTCGTCTGTTTTCGTTTTCTCTCCAGGACAAAATATACAATGCCAACTATGATAATGATAACAATCACACCCACAAGGATACCAACCAGTAAGCCAGGTTTATTGTCGTCATTTGGCTTCACGTTTTGATTTGTGGGCGAAACTGAATACGAACGACCGTTAATGTTCACGGAGGAAACGGTTAAATCAGGTATGACATTGGGATTGGATAAAATCGTGGTTACTGCTTGATCAATATCCACAGGAAGTGCATCAACTTGAAACAATACAACCATCTCTCCTAGAAAGTGAATAGATATGAGAAAATGAATGTTCACTAGGTCTTTCTGGCATTCTATACCTTCTTTTAAAACAACATCACTAATCAATGGCATACCAATACTCGATAAATAATTGTAAATCATGGCTCGTTTTATTTCAAGTTGATTCGAAGCTTTGAGATCATCATAATTATTCAGAAACGTTATATTACTAGTCAGATAGTTGACATCAGTAACGAAATTATCTGTAAAATAGAAACGACAATGTATACAGAAATATTTCCATGTGACATACCAGTCTCATAGTCATCAATGCCACTAGTACCCTTAAAGGCATTTTTCACAAGAATACCATTCGATGTCAAGGTCACAATATATTGATTATTTGTTGATACTAACAATACATTTAATATATACATACCAAGACCATCGATGGTCAAATCAGGTATGGTAACGGGTTTATTTGGTCGACTGAGTAAAGATCTCGAGGTATTAAGTTTGATTACTGTGCCTTGAGGTTGAAATTTCGGAAGAGTATAAATTGTGACATTAGCTGTCCATTTCCAATCATCCCATTGAGTCTGTCCTATTTGACGACGAGTGACGTTATCAATAAGTAGAATAGATATGTCAAATGCTTGACTAATATTAATCACATAGACATTGTTCAGTTGTTGACCAGCTAAAGTAGCATTTGTCACAGTGATAGGGTCAGTCTGGACAGTAAGATTCGCATTTTGAAAAAATGAACTAAAACAAAGAAAGATACATCGAATGATGAAATACAACATTAGAACAAGTACCTGTTAGAACCATCAGGTTTAATAAATGCGAATTGAACTTCAAATGTACCAATATTTGGCAAACCAAAAAGTGTATATTGTGTCTGTCCGTTTGTATAATTAGCGATAGCACCGGGTAAGGTGACGTTTGGTTGATTAACAATCGTAGCTTTAACTTGCCAAGGATGATCGTTTGAACCCAATTTTTCAATGACGTTACCGTCCGAGTCGTAGGCAAAAATAACTGGTTGAATAGTGCATGGACTTTGTTGACGACATTGATCGGGTACTATGCGAAGTTCAGTTCGATTAATAATGCGTAAGTTGATGTTTGAATCATTCAATGGTTCTTGAACGCCCAAACTAGTGGGAACTATATCACCTGTGATATTGTAATTTTTCCAGTTTTGAGTCAATTCACCAGATTGATAGGTATTGATGATTTTTGCAGCAATAATCGACAGGACTTCCGAGCTAGCGCTACTAGTTGATTGTAAAGAAAGTCGAGGTTCATCACGAATTTCGATAAGTAATATACTCGATTCATCATTATCGGAGCTGCGGCTATTATGAATCAAGTATTTAGAGAATCATACAAAATAGATATTTAACTTACCCTGTGCGAGATTCTTTGACGATTTTCACGCGTCGAATTTTGGTTGGATCAAAGTCGAACACGTGAGCTAGGTTACTAGCAACATTATCCGTATAAAATGTAGAATCATTCAATGCCCGTAAACCAAAGCCAAGAATAAGCAGTGATGATTCTTTTGCTTCGATTGTAGTGTCACCAGTGATTAGGAAATAGAGCAATCGATATGTTCTATTTAGAAAGAAGAAGAGTGAATGAAAAGTTCCAATCGCTAGTTCTAACCTATCGTAATAGTTGGCTCCAATTGGGGATGACAGATTCACTTTATTGGGCTCATCGAGCAACGTTAGTACAGTGGACTGATTTCGATTAGTTGGTGATACATATGTACCATTAGCATAAACATCGATTTGTTGTATTGAGTTGTAATAAACAGCTACAATGCATCTAACTGATGGATTCGCATTAATTAAACGAAATCGTATGTGTTGTGGCGAGTAATCATGAAAATAGATTTTATAAGTAATATCAGAATGGACAATTGCTGTAAATGTTGGTAAACGTGACGGATAACTGGTGGTAGAGGGAAAGTTATAATGTCTGGGCCCAGCGAGTAGATCAATATAGCCACTAGCAGACAATATTGCAACAGGTGCGAGAACACGGTCTTTGTCATCAGAAACCATACTCTCAATGATTAACAAGTAATAATCAGTCTTGTAGTCGCAAGTATACATTGGAAATGCTTTTTGAAGAGAGCATGCAAGACTACGAGCGATACCACGATATGGATACTCTACAGAAATATTAATTTTCTGTCCTGATAAATCAGTTCTTGCCGCAGACGGGATCTCATTATCACTAATACCACGATTTGGCGTATCTATAAATGAATTCTGATTAGATATGCGCTAAACTAATGCGAATATTTACCTCCAAAAATATCTGCTTGGGAAATCGCACTAGTAGGGGCACTAAATATAGTGCCGTCGAGATCCTTGAGCAAATTCTTTTTTCGACCATCGCAATAAATGCCTGGATCAATAATTCGTATAAGACTCTTACAATAATAGGTTTAGTCAACTTACCATTATTACAAATGGCGGGCTCTCGATCCTTTATATCTGGTTCTCCGTTAAAGATTATGTTGGAATCCGATACATTGTATCGAGATATTGAAGATGTTTCAATAGGAAATTTCGCATCAGTATTACTTTGAGGCACTTGAATAACCGTGTCATGTCGGCCACAAACATCATTGAAGAGTGCAATAGTCGTATTTCTAATCGATGTCGATCCATCAACTAATTTGAGGTAGGAAAAAAAGACTTTTTTCAATACAAACTGTTCGTCTGAACGTACGAGATGGATTAGAAATTGTGTTTGTCCAACTTTGTTTAGGTGCTCCATTAGATGTCGAAAAAAGTGGATATACAACACCAACCCTACTACCATTTCCATTTATAAGTGGATCTTGTGATACAGTCGGCATCGCTATCGTTGAATATTGAATATTTGACGAACTCAGATTGATTTTGTCATTGCAATCATTTGGAGTTATTGATCCAATGATAACTGAATTTTGTATTACAACACGACTGCGTGAAATTTGATGCGATTCGGCTAATGTTCACAAGAATGATAGATTAAAATGAATATAAATCACACTGAATTCTTACCTGCTGGTCCAACGACAAACGCGAATATGCCGATATAATTGTCGATTGATGTGCATGAGTCAATAGTTATGTTTCGAATTGAATTAATGTACAAACCGTAGTACCATGCTTTGTAAACTCTAAACAATAACCAAGAATAGCACATTTGTCACTTTTTTATTTCTATAGTTCTCCTTACTTGAAGCCTTTGATGAGAAGGCATTCTAAACAAAAGCGTAATTTGACGTATTATTGAAACAAGTTTCGAAGCACTTACGTCGATCAAAAACAGATCCTCGATCGTCTGGCCAAATACTAACACCAGCCATTGCTGAATGAACTTCGTTGTTCGAATGCGTATTATTGATATAACTGGGAATAATTACACCAGGACATACGTCACCCTTGATACGAAAAGCTAATCGTTCCACACCGGCAACTAAGTTGTTCTATTTTAAAAAGAAAAATGATTTCTTTAATTTTAAAGATTGATACATACTGTCATAACAACACTAGTGGTTTTATCAGTCGTTATTGCTGCATCGTAGTCTGTGTTCTTTTCCGCTACTGAACGAGATTGAGCTGTACCTGACCAATATACAGTTGTGACCAAATTCTTGTCGATAATATTATTTCTTCCAGAAAATATCGTCAGTGCCGATCGATATGTGTTGTAGATAACATTATTTGAAATCGACATGAAATGTGTACTTTTAAGGCTTACTCTATAATCGAAATATGTAGACAAAGAATCAAAGTCTGCATTTTGCTTACGCAGTGTTAAATCCACCATCAAATGAACATCCACGAATATATGTAGGCCATGCAGACATAGATGCATTTATACTACTGATAAATATACCAGATTTTTCAATCTCTGACGACGAGTCGCTGAACTGTCCAATACCAATAAATTGTACGTTTGACAGACTAACATGGAAGATGTTAGGCCTGTAAATTGACGAAGTGTTAACAATAGAAATTTTTACACTGGCTCGATCGGATTGTACACCAGTGCTAATGATGCGTATATTATGCGTCAATAAACCAACGGCAGCGGCGATATAAACAGACGATCCATTGGAAAATGAACGTCGAATAACTTGATGAGTATAACTCAACGGCTTTGTTGTACGTATAATTCTGTTGTTTGTTATTCCGGCAATGCGATGTCTTTCTGTATGTGATATACTTGTATCGGTTGTTGTTATCACAAATTCATCGCCGATTTGCCAATCGACTGATTCCTCTAGTGTAATAGAATAATTACCTGCTTGCACAGTATCAGCAATACGCGTCCATGTAATATTATGCGCTGATCCATGCAAATCGAGACCACTTTGATAAACATATGATGTTGTATAAGCAGATCGTGATATATTAGTTAACGTGCTCTTGATTGTACCGCTAGCAGGTAAGATTATATCGATGTTTTGAACAAATGGACTCTGTTCTGAACCTATGAATGACACTTAGCGAGGTTCACATTTTGTATGTGAGATAAATTTGATATTTACCGGCAATTAATCGTCCGCCATCAATAACGATATTGTCAACGTACATCGTGTGATTTATTCCCTATTGAGTATAACAATTCATTAAATAAAACAAACACTAGTTTGCCACTAACCGATTTGAATTCAAGAGTGCCTTCGATTCTTAGCGTTTGAATGCGTGGCAGTGGTTGATCAATAATCATTTGATAGCACCAAGGAATAGTGATGTTTTGATAATCACCTGGTTTTTGTTTATCTTTAAAAGAGAATATTAAAAGAATTCAACATGGCCGTTAATAAAGACTGTTTATTTACACCAATTAGGATACGTTTGCTGCTCTGTCCAGTCAGTATCATTTGACCAGTGTCTCGGCGTGGGATAGAAACACTAGAAAAAAAGTTCCATATATACTTGTTATGTAGAAGTATTTTCACAGTTTGTACAAGATATTTCGGTATAATTTACTATCATATTTCCATCATAAAAATGACATAAAGGATATGAGAAGTGCTTTCGTATGTACCATGTGTCGAAAAGTTAGGGTGAGAAAGACTTCACTTCCAATTAATATAGAATCTACTTACTTCCGTTTGAAATATGTATCCACCGCCACCACCGCTGTTTTTATAAAAACGTACTCGTAACTGAACATCGTTTGATGTGCTGGATGTTGATGAATTCTTAACTGGAAAATAAAATGATGGCTAATGACATGTCAACAAATAAGCTTTACTCACTGATGTAAGAAAAAGTTTTGTTTTCGGAATCGTACATCGAAGCGCCATTGAAACTTAAACTAGAATATGATCGCATCGGTGAGTAGAAATATATGTCGTCAGGTTTGCTGTCCATATTGTGCTTAATAATAATGTAATCGCCGGGAGCCATATCATAAAGCGTAATCCAATACTCATGGTATAACCAACTCTAATAATGATCAACGTAAGCAGAGATTTTATAGGTAAGTACAGTACAAGCTTGTAACTTACTCGTGAACCGCTATAGTCAAGACGATATGTTCGATTTACTTGCAACGCTACGACATACCCTTTGTTATAAGAAAGTCCTCCTTCAGTCCATGGCACATATGTTGTGTGATTGTTGTCATCAGTTATGAACAATGGCCCATTATTTATACTACCGGAGACATTGTAGTTCTCAGTTAAAGTCATGCGAATCCATGGCCCATTTGATAGCGGGCATTGGACAGCATTTTCAAACAGAGAAGCTGGTGCACACGAAGATGATTCGTTATTTAGACCATTCTGTGTTAGTACAATCATTGATTGATTTTGACTAGTTAACGTTCCATCTTCATCAACGTATATACCATCGTAATCCCACCGAAATTTCGCACGAAGTTGAACATTAGTAAATGATAAGTTTCCAAATTTTGTTGTGTAACCTAACAATAGGTTTCCATATGGAATCTTATTCTATCAGAAGAAAGTTCATACCTGCACAATGATCATTGCATGGCTCGACATAAATTGGTCCAATAATAGGTATCGTACTATTTTTCAGAAAGTTGATAAATGCAACATTATAGACACGAAAACCACGATCACTAGGAACTATAAATCATTCAGAAATAAGTCAATAAGGACGTAAAAGATGAACTTACTGATCAGACCAATTGTTGATTCCGCTATAGGTTCATTTGAAACATTCGAATAGGCGATAATTATAGAATTGATCACGGATGAGCTATTCTCGATATCATAGGACCTTATGAGATTTTGCGAATAGTCAGAGTTCTCTTGAGAAAACACATAGATACAACTAACACTCGCATCTGTGTTATCAAAAAAGAGTGAACCCGTAATCTGAATAGGTTTTGACTTGTAGTATTCACTGCCTTTTCTCTTTTTCCACGACACTACTCCTTCAAAACTAGCTTTCGATGAGCTAGTATCAGATGAACTGCCTGAGATAGTCGGTGCGTATTCTGGATAGATCCACACGCCATATAAACCTGTGCTGTGAACACTATTGTTATAAAAACCACCAAATGGTTGTTTGTACGGATAGTATTCTTTAATTGTGCTATTTGATGATTCATCAATTATCGGAACCAATCGATACCAGTAGCCGTAATGAGTACAACCAGCCACAGCATTATGCTCCAATGTGTTATTGGGATTGGTTAACTATGCGAATATATTCATTTAGACCATGTGCAAGAGTTCTTTACTCACCCAAAAAGCAGCCGGTGTAACGTCTTCGTCGACCAGGCCCGAAAGTCCTCGAATCCAAACTAGCAAATTACTTCGAAAAACGTTTCCAATCTCTCTACCATCATTGAGATGAATACCGTGTCCNTACCATCCTCTTTGTAAGTGCATCGCATGAGAAAAACATTACCGATAAGACGCAACGTTTCGTTAATCACACTATCCGCTACTTTCATTTCGTTCATATTTTCACCATGAGTGAGGATTTCATCCCGTAATACTTCCAAAACCCGTCCTTTATCCGTTGTCAGAAGATAATAGAGAACCCAGAATGTCGCTGGTATTGTGTTACCTAATGAAGCCCAGAAGAAGATCATCATACGTGCACCAACATCTGTCGGTGAAAACACGTCTCCGTGTTTCTCTTCGTAGAATTCTCTTGCAGCAGTGATAAATTCACTTTGATTAGGCCGCTGTTTGATAAGTAATTTTATTCCTTTCTCTCGTGCTTGATATGCACTTCGATAGAACAACTTATAAAACCATACAGGAAGTCCGCGAGAGAAGACATAGAATTTGTCATTGAAAGTAACGAAATTTGTTTCTAATTCTTTCAATTCTTCATCTTCAATATCTCCGAACAGTGCACGAGTGGATGCACCGAAAATAAATCGATGACATAGATCAAACAAAGTACACTGACGCCATTCTTCGTTCGAACTCATTCGATCTTTTTCCAACGACTGGTGGAAACTTTCCACAAAGCGAACAGTCAACGCATTCAATGCATCTGAGCGTTGTAACGTTTGTGGATAGATAGTTTTATGAAGAACTTGTGCTATATCTTCCTGAATATCTGAAAGAAATCGATTAGCAATCTGTTTGTCACTGAAGTACTTTACCTTTTTCTACTCGGCGGCTACCGAATATAGTCGTGACCATTTCACTACCAGAAAAGACCAAGCTCGGATTTTTCGTCATTGTCAGGAGATCGTGAACATCGAGCAGAAAGGTAAAACGTTGTCCACAAATATTTGCAGTGAAAATTGAGCCATATTTTGCAAAATTGTCAAAGATAAATTGATTTGCATCCTTGAGAAAATCAAACAGATGACCTAAGATAGGAATCCGATAGGGTATTAATGTGTAATTTGTATACAATCGCTTCGTTTTCCAATTGAAACTCAATACGAAAGCGCATACACCGATTATGAAGAAGGTATAAATAGCCGTCACAATCATATACGAATGCTTTGTTGTCACTTTTATGTAACGTATATAGTAAATGTATTTATTGGTTTGCTACAGTGTTGTGCCTTTGGTGTATATATATATAATGAGACAAATAGACGTTATTTATACATTAAACAAGTAGGCAGAAATATTTGAAAAAACATTAATAAGTAATTAATGACTCAGGCATATGTGTTTAATTAAAAAATAGTCGACATACTTGCACTGAGATTGGAGAACGTACGTTTGAATACAAGTAGATCGAACTTATTTGTCCAGTAATGTCTGTTTCCATGCAGTTTGTTTGGTTAATGATGGACTGTATTTGAGTTAATTAAGACAAGTCGCATGTTGCATCTGACCAAAACGTACTTTTTCATACGATATTTATCGATCGCGGTCGTGCCCCTTGTTGATTATGAAAAGTACCTGATATAGCGTTTTATTTTCAGAGTTACATTCACCTTTGAAAGAAAAACATCACTCATGATCATTTTTTGTTTTTTTTTGTATGTCTGACGTAATGAAAGCAATTTATTTCGAGAGAAGAAAATTTTATTTCACATCCTGAACAACCGAATGGTATGCAGGCGGCGGCTCATCACTGTCAATAAACATTGACTGTTCAGGACTCGCGGAATATGTTACACTCAAAGGATTAAATGCTTGCTGCTGGATGAGATCGGGAGTAGGTTCAGTTCCCATTGTAATTGGTATTTTAACGTCGAAATCTGTAAACATGCCTTCGACTTTCACTGCTACTCGGAGAACGTAAGATACGTTGACGGCAGCTGAGCGATGAATTCCTCCTTGAAATTGGTACGATGGAGGCATGGGCATGGATGGAATAACGATCGAATACGTTTCTCGAATTTGTTCTTCTTTTGTATTGAGAATTTTCGGTAGAGTTGTCTGGAAGATAGTGAATCCACGGGTATTGCGTACAATATGAAAGGATTGTAACATTGAAAGATCAATATGTTGAATTAAGACTCGACGTGAGTTCTCAATGTCCAATGTAAATGTTATCAGTTCACCAGGAACGTATCCTAATTTGTTTAAAGTACCTTTCAATATGACATTCTTGCGATTTTGACTACCGAAATAAGTCGATATCAAACATTGAGGCATTTGCAGTAGATTAACACGAGGATACACAGTTATATATTGAGTTTCTCTTGTATTTGGTTTGTACCATGGTTTATCGACAATAACTTGAAGGTAATAACGAACATGTGGATATGCTAGTGGTTGATTTAACGTTGGAGGCAGATACTCTGTTAACGAGATTTGAAATGGCCATGAATATTGACCTTGACTTAGGATCAATTCTGTTTGGCCAGGTTCAGGCCGAGCAAAAATACCTTTCGCAGTATAAAACGGTACATGATGATATTCTGTACGTGTTGATGACTGTCCTCGGCTATTTGACACAGTTCGTGTGGTTGTATATCCAATTTCACCAGTTAATGTTATGTAAATTTCATTGGCTTTCACTTCTCCTTGAAGAATGCTCAATGCAACCGTCCCGGAAACAATTTCACTACTGCAATAAAATGGATTGGTTCGGTCGAGACTGATCGTGATTGCACTACTAGTGCTATTGCCCATTGCTGATAAACGTGATAGATCAGTTATGAGCGAGGGTTTTATTATAAATATAAAACATCTACATCTCTCTTCAGTTTTTATTGTGTTTCATAAAGTGGTGATAAGATATGAGTCAAGTGATGTCATTTGTAGGAGAAGCACGTCATTCAGCTTGTTTCGCGAAGAACGAGGGCGTAGAATAATGCGTAAAACTGCCTATGAAACAACTCACGGAAACGACGATGATTTCTTCGATGTCTGAGAACGAGAAAATCAGTAAGAACAGAAAAGCGACAGCATAGAGCGCGAACTGAAACAAAAGTAAATGACAGCAAAACCGGAAACGGATTGAGCGAAACTACAGTGCCAGTATGATCTATCACACTGCAGTCATGCTTTAAAGAGAGAGAGCGCGAGAGTGACGCATGAAAATGTATTTAGTTCGTCTTTTTCCAGTATCTCATAAAGAATTATTTTGAAACTCTCGTATGTTATTCAGCATTGTGTCAATCGCACTTCCAAAATATTCAGATATTTCCTAAACATGCAGACGTTTCTTGATGTCTTGATTCTTACTAAACAAGACTAGTGGTAACAGGAGCAAAGTAATTCTTGACCATAACTCATCCGACGAAATATGTGTAAGTAATGATAATAGTCCAATGATACGTATTCCAATGAAGAATCGAAGAGATTTCAGTAAGAATGATGATTATATACGACTATATATGGATATAGATATAGGTTGAAGACACTGATACATCCCATGTGCGATATCCTACGAATTCTAGCGTACCTGTGTTTGCCACGTATGTGTGGCTTCATCTGATTCCTACAGGTAGATATATATGAAGAGAAATTGTCACAGCAAAATCTGATAATAGACTTCTTTTCGCAACGAGAACCATGAAGTCAAGCAAGTACATACCAAAGAACGAAGATGTGTACATAGATATATCTGACCAACGGTATCAAAAACAGACATCTTTAGCTCGAAACAAGAAGCGACGAGATCGACTTGAAAAAATTCATTTATTCGGTATGTATAATTATCTGCGAGTAGATATTGGTAAAATCTTATTTGATTTGAATTTCAAGATTGTCAAGAACGTCAAACTAAAGCACAGAAACGAAGGGATCTGAACGCAGAATGCCACTCTAATTATTCAATGCAAGTATGTGATCGATTTACTTGTAGCGATGATCGTAGTGAAGATTACGCCGTAAAGTTTCTAAACAAATATCGTCATTTGAACACAAGATTATTGAAAATTGAAGCACTATATGTTATTAGACATAATGATACAGGTTTCCTGGATTTTATTTTAAGACATCCAAGAATGGAACATCAAGCACATGAATATAAAGGTTATCGTCGACACACAATATTAACTTATGCAATCTGCCTTCGAAAGTCGGAATGTGTTCAAGTGATACTAGAACATGTTTTTATGAGACAAACTTATTCTACAATAATAGATTATGTCTGTACGAATGGACGAACCGCACTTTGGTATGCCTGTCAAAATGGAGATTTCGATCTTGTGCGAGCATTGGTTGAACGGGGCTACGCGACAGTTAATAAATGTGGAGTGTTAATCGTCGCCAGTCAAAATGGTCATAGGAAAATTGTTGATTATCTTCTACGTAAAGGATGTGATCCAAATCGACAAGCGAAGAATTATAATGAAACAGCGTTACATGCAGCCTCACGTCGAAATCATGCTGAGATAGTTCAAAAACTCTTGGCATACGGTGCGAACGCAAACGCATTCGATTATATGAAACGAACTGCTATAGATTATGCTATTCATAAGAGACATAATGAAGTAGCGAAAATTCTTATTCGCCATCAAAATGGACATTTTATTATGAGTCGAACCGGTTTTACACCATTGATGTTGGCTACTTATCGTAATAATCAGGCGATCGTGGATATACTTACGGATGTTATATCAAATGAACAAGTGCTCGATGAAATGACATTGCTTGCCTGTAATTACATTATTGATGGAGATGGGAGAAAAAGCGATGTGGCTTATTGTTATTTTGAAAAAGCGCTGAGTAGAAACCAATGCTCTAAGATAGAAACTTCTGCTCCTTGTGAAGCTTATGAATTTCTTCACGAATGTCGGACACTCGATGAACTGGCTTCCATTCGAGACAATGAGAACAAGTTCCGTATGTATGCATTAATGGTCGGTGAACGACTTCTATTAAAAATGAATGGGATCAATCATTTTCTTACACTTCTTATAAAGCAGAGCAACGTATATAAGCGTCAAAAGATGTTACGCCGTAGTCTTCAACTGCGATTGCACGGTTATCGGTTGATAATGAAATTTAACCAATGCACTCACAAAAAATATCTCTCTGAATTGATTGATCTTTTGTACGATATATTGGAGAACAAGGAAGACATCTCGATTCAATCATTAACGATCATTTGGATGGGAATATTGAATGAAAAGAACAAAATACAAACCATTTATCTTTTCCGACTTCTCTTTCTTATGACATATGTGAGCTTTTGCAATCTGATTGTTATTGTTCGTCTATCTTTCTCTCTGTTTTAGCTCATCGAATCAAAGAGTGTAGATGACAACGGACAATCAGTGCTTCAATATTTTATACATCAAGCCTTATATCGAAATATTATTATCGAAAATGAATATCCTCTGTTCAGCTATTTGATAACTCGAATCGTAGAAGGCGAACATATTTATACATACTCATTTCTCAGGTAGGAAATGTTGTACTACTCATAATCATCAAAATGAACTCTTACATAGTGTTCCAGTTTTATCATGTATTCGAGTACTGATTGACAGTGGTGTAGATGTCAATGAAATTGTGTCAAGTACAAAATCAACACCATTGCATTTGATTGCACAATGCAGTAATATCGATCATGCCAGATCTGTCATCCGATTACTTCTCGAGGCAAACGCTCACCTAGATTATGTCAATAGGAACGGTTTAAAAGCAGAACAACTGGCGTGCGATTGGGAAATTAGAGATTTGTTACGTATCAATCGAAAACTTTCTCTCAAATGTCAATGTGCTCATCTGGTTAACTCACGAAACTTAAATTATAGTCATTATCTCTGTCCAAGACTTATTAAATTCGTTCAAATGCATACGATATAGAACTGTACTGTCGAAGTGATGATATTTCGTATAGACGTCATTCTTTTTCTCTTCGTTGTGCAAACACGAAAAAAAAAGAATATTTTTTTCTTTTCTCTCGTTGTTTTATGAATCATATAAACGTGTCGTTTTGATAAATAAACATGTAGGTGTACGTTCTTTTTTCATTACTAAATTCAAGGTTGCAGTCAGAAAAAGAACATCATTATAATGCTATTAAAAAGTTCTCGTCCAAATATTAACCGAAATGAATCTATGAAATATATCGAAGCGGTTCGAAAAAATGATCTTGGTACTGTCGAACGATATATTCAGTCTCATGGGGATTTAAATTACCCTGTAACACCGCAAGGTGCGATACATTGTGCGGTGTATTATGAATATATAGATATGTTGAAATTACTACTCAAAGCAGGGATTGATGTCAATCAAGCGGATGAAGATGGTGACACAGCATTGCACTATGCCATTGGTCAAACGAAGAACATTGAGTGTATCAAATTGCTATTACAGTATGGAGCATGTCCGTTTCTTATGAATTATTCGCGAGCAAAACTTACTCCGCTCGATTTGGCCAAACGAGTGAATCAGGACGAAATTATCGAAATCTTGACAGAGAATATTGGCCTTACGAAACGTTTATGTAAAGCAGCTGAAGACGGAAATGTTGAACTTGTTGAAAATTTATTAACAACGACAAATGCCAATCCGAATGGTATGTCTGAAGAATTTGTCAATCCTCTACATGAAGCATGTCTTGCTGGCCATTTGCCCGTAGTAAAATTATTGCTTCAATCTAACGTGAATATCAACGGTAAAACAGCATCGGAATCGACACGATACAATACGCCATTGCATTGTGCTGCTGTAAAAGGACATCTCGACGTTGCGCAATATCTAGTTGAAAATGGAGCAGAAAAGGACGTGGCTAATTCGAATAGACATACTCCATTGCTCTGTGCAGTTATTATGGAGAAAGTAAATGCCGCGGAATATCTGATTAAAGCTAATTGTGATATACACAGTCGAGATTCAGTAGGAAAAACAGCGCTTCATTGGGCCGCATTTTATGGATTGAATAATATTATTCTGTTATTACTCGAACGCGGCGCAGACATCAACGCAATAGCTGATCTCGGCTTACCTCCGTTACATTGTGCTGTCCAGCAGCCATTTCATGCAGACACTATCAAATTATTGATCGAGAAGGGTGCAAATGTCAATATTAGGAACGAAATGGATCTCACGATTCTTGATTATGTTCGCAATCATAGCCCAAACGATACTGAACTTATTCAACTAATTACATCACTTAGTCGATAAAAAGACCATTCTAGTGACACTTGTCATTTTTTGAAAAGTAATATTCATGATTTCTTTATTATAATATTGTTTAAAGATGTCAGTGGTCTTTTACGACCACAGATATACGGTATCTGATATGAGTTTAACAGTATAATTTGTAGCCAGTTGCTCTCGATCAAGTAATTTTTCTAATCGTCTAACAATACCGTGATGGGAATCTCGAAGGCCGATTACGTGTAATTGATGATTGCAGCTCGCCTTTTTTTTTAATAGAAATCTAATAATAGACTCCAAATGATCTCCTTTGATGTTCATTTCCAAACTTTTCAAATTAGGAAGAATGCTGATCAACGCCTGAACATCGCCCAAGTTGATTTGTTCAGTATATTGAAACAGAGCCGTTGTTGTATCGTAATCATTGTCTATTGACACTAATTGAGCTGAGTATGTGGAAAGCACTAACATTTCCACATTGGGCATAGCTCGGCAAAGTTCCATCAAATTGTTTCGATCATAGGCTTTCATACGTAACGCCAAATTTTTCGGTCCTTCGAAATCGATCAGACTTGTCAGATTAGAAATGTCCAATATTGTTCCTAAATTTTCATCATTACACACGGTTAATTGTGATGCACGTATATCAATAGTCGTACGATCGTCGACGATTGTTATATGACGATTAGAAGTACATGTGGATATGTTCGAAAAGAAGAATATGTACCACATAGTCATATATCTATAAGTTGTGTGATAAAAGAACCATTGATGCTGTGTCCAAAATGGCGAAACGAATTCATTTAATTGTGATACATCAAAATAATATAAATGTGGAATTTCTGAAATATGTTGCAGATCAAACTTTTCCAGTCGTGGTAAATGGGTAGTAATTAACGTCTGCCATCGTTTGGCATTTAAATAGTCAACGTCAGAATTCTGAGAAATGCGTAAAACTTTGAGTTCATGGAAGAAATCCGACATTAACATTTCAAAACTATCAAAATCCATCGAATGATCAAGATGAAAGTATGTCAAGTTGGTTAGCACTATAGGTTGCCATGAGACCAACGTCTGTATGAACGGCTTGGTACTGATAGACAGACGAACCAATTGTGGCATATACGAGAGAAGAATACCCAGTATATTTGGATCAAAATCACTTCTGCTGATAAAACATTGGATTTTACTAATCGGATTAAGACATCTTGTCAATGTGAACTGCATCTCTGTCCATTTTAATGTTGTGTTACAATATTTAAGCACAGGCAAATTGAATATCAACTGATGAAGAGTATTTGGATCTTTTATCTTTCCAAGATTTGATAGTGAAAGCGAATAGAGTTGAGGTAAGTGTTTGAGATTCGTCAAAAGTGGTAAGACTCTTTCGGCTTCAATTTCATGCAATACAAGTGACTCAAGACGAACAAACGCTGACAAGTCATTCAAAAATAACGAGAGAATATAATCAACACCCAAACAGCTTGACGAATGAATGGCTTTAACGTTTTGATAATTTCCTGAATGAAGGTATTGACAACGCTGCTGAAAAGTGGCTTTACTTGATAAGTCGAGGATAATTTTATGTGAAAAACAGGAGTCAGTAAACAGTCGCTGAAAACGCCAATTCAGATTACCGAAGGCTTGATATGCATCGTAGGTGTGTAAATAATCGAAGATATCGTACAAAATCTCGTTAGATAAATCCTCCAAGCAAGTAACTGACGATCGATGCATTTGTAGGAAGTTTGCCTTTGAAAGTAATGGTTGCACGTGATTTTTATAAAAAAGCAGACAAATAAAGGAATAGGAAAAAAACATGGTTGACTCAAGTTAATCTACCATATGACTCATAAACGTGCTGTTTTGATTAAAACAAAATGTGCTTTACTATATTCAGCTGCAATAGATGTAAAGATGGCAAAATGCCATCATATACATTCTTTCAATGTTTAAATTTGACAAGAGAAACAACTTGTCTTCTCCTTGCATGTTTTATACGAAGAAAAAAAAAAAAAGAATAATGACATCACTTCAGTCTGTTTTCCTGCAGTGATTCACATTTGACAAAAAGTCTCGTAAGATATGTGTATGTTATTCATTGAAAAAATACTGATATCTTCTCAGTACGACTAGAAGTTTCCGCAGAACGACAAAAATTTTTTATCGAAATGAATGATCTTTGAACTTAACGCTCACGTGTCTTATGACGGTGAATGATAAGAATTTGCACATATATACAACACAAAGATTATGTCTTTCTATTCACAAATGGACCGAAGAGGTATGTAAAGGGAGAGTATATTTTGCTTTTCTGTATCATACAAAGTCCACCGTTAAGTACTAAGAGTGTAAATGAGACAAAAATAGGTGAAGTGATATCAGTTCTGTTTTGTCTATTTAGAATAACATGCGATGATTCGTTTCAGATTGAATTCAAAGTTTATTCATTGTGTGCATCGATAAATGAATTCCAAAATTATACGTTACTTATCCCGGCTACAATTGATATCCAAGCGAAGATTGAATGCAGCATCTGTTGTTCCTAAATCTACCATTGTAAATACTCCTTCTCATGATCGTCAAATTGTTACATCGCCGAATACGATTGGTGTCACCTGGGATGAGAAATTAACAAGCATATATCATAACGTTTGGCTACGTGATCATTGTCAATGTGAAGAATGTTTACATCCATTGACAAAACAACGATTAGTTCATCCATCGAACATTCCACAGGATATCAAATCGACAGCCATCGAACAGTCAGAGCAAGGACTGACAATTCACTGGAATCATCCGACACATACAAGTTTTTACGAATGGTCATGGTTACATCGACATTCGTATAATCCTCGTTTACAGACGACGCTTCTGCCGCAAAAAGAACTATGGAATTATGATATTCAACACAATCTACCAACGGTTGAATATGAGGCTGTCATGAACTCTGATGATGGTGTCGCCGAATGGACATCGAAAATTTATCGATACGGATTTTGTTTTGTTGACGGCGTGCCTGTCAGTTCGGAAGAGACTGAAAAACTTCTCTCTCGAATTGCTTTCATACGAACAACTCATTTCGGTGGATTTTGGAATTTTACATCGAACTTAGCCAAGGCAGATCTTGCTTATACAACAGCAGCTATCGAAGCTCATACAGACACGTCTTATTTTACTGATCCCGTCGGACTTCAAATGCTACATTTACTCAAATTCGACGGTGAAGGTGGTAAAACATTGCTAATCGATGGCTTTCGTGCTGCTCAAATCTTACGAGAAGAAGATCCAGCTGCCTATAAAATCTTATCGACAGTTCGAGTACCTTCACATACCGTGGGCGATGAAGATACTTTCATTCAGCCGACAACTCCGAACCCTGTTCTTAGCCACAACATTTCTACCGGACAATTAGAACAGATTCGATGGAACAATGGTCATCGCAGTGTCACAGATCAATGGGATAATCCCGACAATGTGACACGATATTACGATGCGATGAGAAAATGGAACGAGATCTTGACAAGAAAGGACAGCGAACTCTGGATACAATTACAACCAGGACGACCGTTAATTTTCGATAATTGGCGAACTTTACATGGTCGATCAGCTTTTAGCGGATGCCGACAAATGTGCGGTGGTTATATTAATCGAGACGACTACATGTCACGATTGCGATTAACAAATCTCGGACGCGAAGAAATTTTAAAAAGACTGTTTTGATACATATTCAAATAAATAACCTTTCTACTCTAGTTTCCAGTCTTAGTTGTAAGTTGCAAATGACATCTATTGAAATTGTATTTATCGAATAACACGATGCACCATATAGATTCTTCTATGCGAATCTTAAGAAGAAGAAAAAAACAATCATTTTTTGCGTAAACACGGCAAGAAAAGATAAGAGTGCATACTCTTCCAATTTTACTGATAAAACAAAATCATTTTCAATTTCCAACTCATGATGAAAGTGCATGTCCAGATTATTGTCATCGGCATATTTCATGCACTCGTTGATCCCACACTCACAACCAATGAAACGAGTATCGAACTCATCAAGTCTCGAATGGATGATGGTCGATATGTTAATTCATTCAATTCCCAATATGGAATGCCTGGTTGGTTGGCTATCTTGAAATGGAAGATTACTATGCGATCCAACGTGAAATTACCAGATAAAGCAGAAGAACTCGATAGACTTTTACCGGTTATTCATCATAAAAATCGAGAAGATCTTTATCTGACAACGCCCGGTATCCGATATATTTGGATTGGACATGCGTCTTGTTTTGTTCAGATGAATAATTTTCGATTTCTCGTCGATCCGGTTTTCAGGTAAATATTGCGTTTCTAGTGAGAAATCACAACTGTTGATTGTAGTGAACGGTGTGGTATGAATTCATGTGTTGGACCGAAACGCTATCGACCGGCAGCGTTAACAGTCACTGATTTACCGAACGATCTCGATGCAGTATTTATCTCGCATAATCATTATGATCATCTCGATTACGCGAGTGTGAAAGACTTAAACAATCGTTATGGTGCACGATTGACTTGGTTCTGTGGAAAAGGGAACCGCGAATGGTTCTCAAGCATGAATGTAGCGAATGTTGTTGAACTTGATTGGTGGGAAGAATATCATTTCAGCGTAAGATAATGCTCGCCCTGCAAATTATGTGTACTAATCCTATTGTTTAGAACAAAAATGTAAACATAGCATTTTGTCCAGCTCAACACTGGTGACGTTCAGAGATATTTCTCTTTTGTCTAATGCAAAGCCATATTTTCTCTAATGTATAGGAGTCGCCGGGGTATATTCGATACAAACAAATCTCTATGGGGTGGATTTGCTATTTGGGATGCGACGCATAAATTCTACCACGCTGGAGATACTGGTTACACGCACAATATCTCAATTTTTCGACAAATCGGTCAAAAGTACGGCCCATTCGATTTAAGTGCGATACCAATCGGTGCTTATGAACCAAGATGGATCATGGAAGGTCAACATGTATCACCGGATGAAGCTGTTCTAATTCATATGGATGTCCAATCGAATAAATCCGTTGGTATTCATTGGGGCACGTGGGCAATGAGCAATGAATACTTCATGGAACCACCAAAAAAACTTATACAAGCTGTCCAAAGACATGAGCTCGATCCGACATCATTTATTGTTTTGAAACATGGTGAAATTTTAGATTTACCCTAATAAAGAATAATACTATATATCCACGCATACGGATGGATTTCTCGAATGACTTTCATTCTTCTTGATACTATTCGTACTAGACAATTTTTTTCTGTTGACTTACCTTACGCAATACTAAATCTGAATTGCGAAATCTCTTAGGAAGTAGTGCGAATGGAGAAAAATCGTTATTTTTCGTTAGTTATTGCAAAACACATTTCATTGTTAACTAAATTATCATGGTGACCATCGCTGTTATGGCGCCAATCATGTACAATCTAACTTCTGGTGCAGAACTCACATGTGTCGAGCAACAACGTGCTGAAATAGCTGTTCAGAATGAACTGGTGATTAGTGCTGAAAAAATGAGGAAATATATTCAGATGCACAATCGTTTCATCGTTCAAGAAAATAATTATGATCAATTATGGATAACACTTGATAGTTCAAAACAAACGACTTTAAACATCATCGGACATTGTGAAGACTTTGGTATTGTTCCCGTCAATACGAAAAACCCGATTATCACACCTCACATGTTATCCTACATGATTACGCAGTTCTTAATAGCAAATACACATGTCACACAAGTACGGCTATTCGTTTGTCTTGCTGCGCCCTCATTCCTAAATGAATTAGTCACGGAAGTAATTAGAAGACTTTCCGAATACGCTAATGATACGAACAGAGAGATTAAATTTATTGCTCCACAAGGTTTGTCTTATACGCATAAGCGAACAGAAGTTGTTTTGCACGATGTACCCGAAACAATTGAATTACTTGGTCAATCGTCCAGCAAAGAAGAACGTCGAATTGTTAAAAAATGGACAATATACGATGAAACAGCTTATATGATAATTACCGTGAACTTTGAGAAGAGGGCGTTAATTAACAGACAAACAACATATGCTGCTCTGATACGGTGAATGTTTACTGTCGATTGCATTAAAAACAAGACCATATCGTCTTATCTCATCGGAGGAATTTCATTATGTATTCTAACATAAATGTTGTTCGTCATTCACTTGGAGGATGAAGGTCTACTAATAAAATCTTTGTCATCATGCGCTAGTCATTAATTGCTTCCTATCATTAAGATTCTTTTCCGAACGTTTAATTATCGCCTATAATTAAATCCAATAACTAATGTCACGTTGTTTGTCCTTCTATTTGCTGATTAAGTCTTTCCATGTATGAAAAGTGTAACGAGTCCTATCCTATGTAAGGTATTACAAAGAAGATGCACCGTTCATTTCATTCTCTTCTATCCTCATTAGCATGTTTATCTAACTTCAGTACATTTATCTATTCAGCTCTATCAAGATTGCATCCTATTTGTTCACACCATACGTTGGTTTCTCTTGCTGGTCACTTATATCGAATAATTAGCAACGACTACTGCGACTCGGACGCTAGGTATGGCTAGCGGTCATGTTGTTAGAAGGAGTATATGTAGTCCTCGATATAGTCTATTAACAGCGTTGATCTGTTGTATTTTTCCAGCTTCAAGCATGAGTATATTTTCTGTATTAGTTTGTCGCAATCATGTTCTCAAACATAAGCGTCGTCAAACAGTAACCGGTTAAAGAGACGAAGGAACTATACAACGTACACGTGACCAGCACATGCTGGTGTGTTTGTTTATAATGCAGCTATATTGAACATGTCTGGCAAAACAGCTGCTCGTGTTGCTATTGAGCAATTTATTAGTGTAATAATTGCTTTTCTAGTCAATTAAGAACCGGTTCTCTCGTTTTACGTACGATTTGTGGCTTCATATGAACTGGCAGATATGTATCGTGCCGCAGAATTTAGATGTCGGTATTCAATCGTCATGCTCTACTGAGATCAATAGCAGACAATACTATCGTTCATCATAATGTTCCTGAAATGGCACCAATCAGTGCAAAAAAAGAAATCCCACTCAGTCATACGACAGACTAACGACGTAGTTTTCTTCTCTTTTCACGTTCGTGATAATCGGATTTAACATCTATGATGTCATTTATTTCGAATCAAAGGACGACACTTTATGGACATCCATAGTATGTTTTCAATTTTTGAATATCTTGAGCACTCATTTTATCACCACGTCCCATGTAGGATTCCCAGTTTTCATATCCAGCGAGAATAGGTTTGACGGTTGGACGACCATTGATGGAGAAAGCATCGTTTCGATAGTGCATAATTGAGCCTTAAACAAAACGAAGATATTGACTAAGAGACTTTTCCCAATATTCAACACCATCCTCACCATAATCATATGCTTGGTTGAACGTATTCACTTGATTTGATGGAAATTTATCAAAGGCAAATGTTTGACCTTTAAAAGAACAACACAATATTCATTCGATGATTCAACTTTTATCTAACTCGGTTCGATATTTTCATAATAAACACGAACATAGGTATCGCGATCTGGACGTGTATGTTCATGAGCAAAGCCAAGTGCATGTAGAAATTCGTGTAGAGCAACTGAATGATGAACACAACCGGGAATTTGAAGTGAAAGATCTTGTTGACCACTACTAACCGTTTTGCCCATGTACGACCAACATCTGAATCGCTCATAACTCAGATTTACTTCAATAAATAAAAGAAAGAAAGTTTACCCTTGACCAGAATGGATTCGTAACCAAGCAGGATTATTATTACGCCAAACAAATCGAATGCAATCATTTGTATTCTGACTAATGGTAGTCATGGCACCAATAATAACATTTTTCTGTTCTTCAGTAAACGCACCATCGAATTCAATAGGCACAATACCGTTTGGCCATTTGGGTGATTGAATATACGCAGTTCGATCGGTATGTTTCGATAGAGCGATATCACCTTCCATCAGCACAATATCACTTCGATTATTTACTAGCATACCAGGTAAATTAAATAGATTAGGAACATTCTTGGGATCTTGACCCGGTATAACATTTCCCTTACAAAAGAGGAAAGTGAGCAAACCCAAAAATATTCGGATAGACATAAATATTTTCCTTTTTCGATTGTATTCTCGTAATGAAGCAAAAGCAGTATGCACATCGATATTTTACCATCGAGTATTATAAGGAGCAAACTGTCTGAGAGTAAAAAACATCTGCAACTTAGTCATTATTTTGTGAAATCAAAAGGTTATTCGATATAAAGACGAAGTCATCAAGGGCAGGGAATAGGTATTCTTTCCATCGATCACATCTGAAATATTCATGAAAACTGATCGTCTTCCTTCATTATTTGCCAAACTTGATTCTATAAATAGATGCAGCCGTAACGCATGCACGCGCGACATCATATGATTGACATTGTTTCGATACCATTTCATCATTCTGTCCAAGGTGCATGATGGAGGATCACGATATTATTCCATGGTCACATTCTAATTCAATAGAACAAGGACGGTGATCTTTAAACATCTCGTCGATCAAACTGTCATGAGAACTAAATTATTGATTCTATTTTCACTATTAATTCCCATACCTATTGCGTTGTTGTTCACCTATCCTCGTTATACTGAACAAGATGATTTCAATATGCTGCAACAGTATTTATCCATCAAAGAAGATCGTTTATCGGTCATGACGTTTAACATCCGACTTGATGGAATCGAACGTGACCTAAATAATCATTTCACAAAGAGAATTTCTCGTTTGACGAAAACAATTGAAAGCTGGCAACCAGCTATTCTTGGTGTACAAGAACCATTTGCCGGTCAATTATTACATTGGCATTCTCATCTGCCGAACTATTATCAATACGTTGGATATCGATATCACAGCATGAACAAAAAACATCAAACTATATCATCCGAACAAGATTTTCAAGTTGCTATCTTATATAACGAGCAAAGATTAGAATTACTTGAACACGATTATTTATGGTTGTCGAAAACACCACGAACGGTGGGAAGTAAAGATTGGAATAGTCACGGTGTGCGAACGTTGAATATCGCACGTTTCAAACTAATCAATACTGACCTTCCGACAGAAGTTCTCGTTTTTAACACACATTTAGATGTTCAAAGTGAACAAGCTCGTCAAGAACAATCAAAACTAATCCGCTCAACAATTAATCAATGGCAAGAAAAATATCCGTCCGCTGCTGTTCTATTATTGGGCGATTTTAACTCCATGCCAAATCAAACTACATATCAAATCTTAACATTTTCCGATTTCCTTCGTGACACTTGGATAGAATGTAAATCTCACGCAACGGATTGTCTATCAAATGTATTTTCGTCAACATTTCACGGCTGGTTTGGAGCATTAGTTCACACGTACGGAATCCAATTACTGCAAACTATCCTCTTCACTTTTCATGGCACTGGTGTTCAAATACCATACAACATTCCGACGCATTACTCAGATTATATTGACGTTATTAAAGAATTGTTCAAATTTTGTCGCCTACTCAATTGGTCAGATATGATTTCATCATGGTCTTCACATCGATTTCATGTTGATTGGATATTATATCGAAATTCTCTTGACAGAAGTCGTTATTTACAACCACGCTTCATATCGGTCGTTGACGTTCGATCTGGAAATTATTCATCAGATCACTTTCCTGTCATTGCCTTATTTGACTATCGACCATGATGAGACACTTTTGCATGATTTACTTTGGCAGACGCAGATCGTTTTATAGCAGCGGATGAATCATAGAATAATTAGAAAGAGAGGCTTTCAACGATACAAACCAGCGAATGTATCAGCAATCGTAAGCTTGTTGATAAGGATTTTTGTACTTTACGAATGAAAGCTATAATGTTCTGATGAGATTGTATCTATGATTCTTTTTGAATACACTTTTGTCTCAATAAAAGGACACGTGATTGTATTGACGAAATGGTTTATTATACAAGTAGTCACATTCAAATAAGCGCAATCATAAAAAAAGGGGAGTTGTGTTCGATATGAATTCTAGTATATTACTTTGAGAAAAGAGGAACGGAGTGAAGCTATACGAGAAAATGAGTCAAAATTATCAACGAAGACAAGTTTTGTCTACACGAAGACAATCCACAAGTTTACCGGTTTTTCTGCGAGATTCCGATGAAGTTAATCTCGAACGTCGTTTAAGTACCTGTGTCAATGTTCAACGACGTTTATCAACTGTTTCTCAGCTGTATGTACCACACGGAACTGAATATCATCCTCAAGAACATGTACCACCAACAGGGCCCGAAGCTCACCAACCCTTTCTTGTTACATCAGTTGACGATGAATATGCATCAGGCGGCCGTCGTTTGTCTATTATATCTCATCGATTTGAACCAATCCCCGAAGACACGAGTGAATCGATTGCAGAATCTGAACTAGGAAAACTAAGTAAATTTCATCGAAATGTTCTGTTCATTTGTGAACCTCTCATAAGCGGCTTAATTATCTTTCCGATTCTTGTTCTTTTTTGGGAATGTGGTTGGAATCTTGTTCTGATTCTTCTCAATATCCTGAATGGATTCCATGTCAACTTACACTTAGACGAAATGACTCAAGAAGATTTCGAATCTTACACATGGCAATCTTTGCTTGGCCCCTATTTGATTGCTCAAGTTATTCTTCTCGTCTACTATCTCGGACAAGATAAAGTTCATCATTTTCTCAAGACTCAACATTGGCTTATTCGAGCCATTCTTTTGAAACTGCACATTCTTGTATTAGCTTCGTGTTATATTGTCCAGTGGGAAATGTTATGGACTATTTGGGATCAGTTTACTCCTCATGAATGGTATTTCGAGACCACCGTATCAATCGCATCATTATTTGCTTTGATTGTCTTCATTGGACATCTATCCGATCTAATTTGTTCGCCATTCGTTTTTAGTTATGATTCGATCGAGTATTGCGTCTTCTTTGGGTGCCCTCTGCTTACACGAGAAGTAAGTTAGCAGATTTGTTTTGCTGAGAAAAAAGAAATCGAATTTTTTTTATTCGAAATTAGATGAAAACATGGAAAATCAATTTTATTAATTATATTCTGTATGAAATTATCATTTCCAATTTATCAATAATGACATGGCGTGGGTTTTATCATTGTCTCGATGAATATCTGTATCCGGATGATCTAGCTTTATCCGCTGGAATTTGTTTGATTCTTGGATATGTTCTCTATTTTCCACTGATGTATTTTCAAACATATTTAGAAGAATTGAATCTGAAATACGAATTTTGGACATTTGTGTCGATCAATTTTCCTCAATTCTACCGAAACATACGCCATTTATTAGCGTTTGTATCATGCGTGTTTGCATGGCGTGGTTACTGGGTCCTCTGTGATGCTTATGTCGATATATTCTATGATTACTATCTAACATATTTATTTTTATATCTTCTATCTTTTGTAGTTTTATGTCTCCTTCAAACAGCGTCTTCAACCAATGGACCACTAAGCAATATGGAGAATGAGCATAACTTCTTTCCACTGTATCCTCATTGTTATGTCTCGACGGTTCATGGAAAGATTTTAGATCATCCGTATTTTCAGTCGAAACCTGCGGAAGAAAATACACAACTATGAAAGATACAATTCGTTAGCGAGTGACCGAAGTCAGATAAGAAACGTTGTATACTTTCATACAGTTTTATGGATTTCGAAGATTGGAAAAGAGAAAATTAAGCTTTGATATTTTTTGTTGAATCAATAAAGTCGTCGAATTTCTTTTATTCACAAACATAAGACTCTCGATTCAATACTTCGCTACTCCGGTTCGAAGATTGCACCTGTTTTTATCGATTATCCATTCGTAATGATAGTTCTAATAATCAATAAGATTTTCGAGCAGTGCCGCTATTTCTCCAACAATTATCGAATTGAATCATGTTCGCCGAGTACTAGCGACATCTTTCGAAAATATTTAGATAACCAAAAGCTTATTATTGTTACAACATTTTTATAGAACAATAACAGATATTAATTTATCTTTTTTTCCAAAAGGTAATAATCATTGAACCGTCTTATGTACCACGAAATCTGTCCACAGCTTTAAAACCAAAACGATAGGTCAAAACGGCGTATGCGCTATCATGCCAGCATAATTTCCGCAATTTTCCCAATAGTTTTCTAACCAGAATTATCTTGAGAGTGAGGGTTACACACTCCGAAAATTTCCCGAGTTTTTGTGCACACCAGATATACCGCGAAGCCGAGAGTTCAATAAAACTTGAAAATATATTAGATGTGAATATGCATATATATCAAGATCAGTTTTTCTTCCCCTTTCGCTTCCGTATTGCATCTCAGATGCAATGTAGACGACGCAGAAAGCTGTCAGGACTGAGAAGGTTGAATAGAATAACTAGGATCTTGTAATTAACAGTAATTCCCTTTTTATTTCATAGAGAACAGCAAATACGATGGGTGATAGTAATCATATATCTGCGCAAGAAATATTAGAGCGCGAGAACATACAGCGTGAAGGTTTAAATGCACATATTCAGAGCATTAGTGAAGAACTTTTAAAAAAAGAAAGTTGGGAAGAATTCAAACCGGATGAAATAGCTGAGGCATCGCTTCAAGTTGCAACCATCAACACTGATTCATCTGATGGAGATGAACCAACACGTCGTTTTCGACAATTTATATCCATTGCCACGAACTTCTCATCATTGCCGTTTGCTCAAAGACTGCACAAAATTCCCGATCTAGTAGAAAGTATCAAACAATTAATTGAAAATATGATGAAAGAAATTCAAGAGTGCAGCGATATGGCAAACGAACTCCGCGATCTCATTCAATGTTTCGTTCGTATGGTAATGCAAGTCAAGCATAATGTTAATATGACGCTCCCGTTACTTACAGAAGCTATAACACAAATGGAAGTTGTCCAAGACGTTTTGAATACCGACCCAAGCAACGCACTGAGCGATTCAGACAAAAAAGATATCAGACTCGCTCTAGAGCAAATGTCATCCGGGATAGACAAATTACTCAATTTATCTCGATCCGCAACAAATGAAAGTCGACAGTTAGACGACCATATACACAGTATGACTAATTCAGTTCAATCGAAAAAAGTCATCGTAGAAGAACGATTAGAATTGGCAAAATTTTGTCTTAAGTATGCTACACCAGCCAGTTCGCTTGGATCTGGCACTGCAGTTGGTGGATTAGTTGTAGCTGAATCGTTTGGTGGTGTTGGTGCATTAGTTATTGCTGGGACAGCTTTTCCTCCTGTTACTGCTATTATTGGCGCATTTCTTTTAGGTGGTGTTTGTGCTGGAACAGCTACCATTTTGGTGAAAAAATTTTGGGTTCGTCATCAGTTAAAGGCACTTGACTATCTCGAGAAGATTTTTGAAAATTTAATCGAATTAAAATCAGCGAATAGATGTTTTATGGGCTGCATGGCTGATACAGAAGAAAAGGCTAACACCGGTGCAGTACATATCCAAAGTATTCAGCTATGTTTAGAGAGTGAACGACAACGGCGAGCACATCACAATGTCTGCAAGGTAGCGATAGAATCTACAACAGCAATGATAGCCAGTCTCAAACGAATATCTAATCTAGATATATCAACATGGGCTGATACTTCACATATTATCAGTTCTTCAGAACGACTTATGCTGACATAAGTGGTCTAAGACATACAAACAGAATCGTAGGAGAAAAAATGCGATACTTCAGCGCCAAGCCAGCTATTTGTCTCATATTATTACGTTTTTCTTTAATTTAAACAAAAAATTCTCATTTGTTTTATAATACATTCATATTCTCACAAATTTATGTTACTTCCAATAAAACGATTTTCTCCTTTCTTCATTCTCGTTCATGATCGCTGTAAAGCTAGCATCACGCACTTGAATACACTTCTGTTCGTTAACGATATTTTGCTCGAAGTCAAAGACCGTATTATATGATGCACTGCATCGTTCTATATTCATGGTGATTATCTCCTAAATTTCAATCCGTATACATATGCAACTCATTCGTGTATGTATAATATTTGTCTTGTGTAGATTCCTTTTAGAAAAAGCTTTCTGCCAGTAGAAATCTACCTTCTGTTGTTCTTTCACATATATCGTATTACGCCAGTCATGATAGTACCAGGGCTCTTTATTCCGGACCTTTTATTTTCTTTAAAGAAGAATGATAGACGAAAGATAACAGAACGCAACTTTGTGTTGCAACTATCTATTAAGTTACAAACAAAACTGAGAGTACTACAGAACGAAAGAAATTCACTCTTAGTTTTTTTTTAATCATGACACTAATAGATCTTTCCTTAAAATGTCGGTTTTTCTTGTAGAAACTGACTGGTAACATTTATGTCGTCAACTGGTGCTAAGTCGAGGATGGCATTATTCAACAGCAACAATGCCTCATCTCGTCGTCCGATTTATCGATCTGTCGGAAATGCTTCGATCGTTTGGATGTGCTCAAGTGTGCAGGATTGCCAACAATCAATCACAGAATTACAAACAATTGTTAATTCCGTTAAACTATTTTCTCTTGCCGATGAATGCGTCCGTTTCATCACCGAAACTAAAGATCAAAAGCTGTTTTTGGTCATTTTCGGTTGCTACGATGAGATTCTCATATCAAGTATTCATCATTTGACTCAACTTGACTCCATTTATATCTTTTCTGATGAGTCAATTGGCAACAGTGATTGGCCAACTAGATGGACGAAATTCAAAGGCATTTTCACTGATATATGCTCACTTCAAAATCAATTGAAACGAAATATCAGACAAATGGAACGAGGTTTAACACCAATAAGTTGTATTCCTGCATCATGTTCTCCTAATCTCGATGAACTTCAACCGTCATTCATGTATTCACAAATGTTAAAGGAAGTTTTACTGAACATGGAGCACGATGAAAAAACCAAAACAACATTAATTGAATATTGCCGTGTGCAGTACGCTGGAAACCATGTTCAATTAAGTATAATTAATCAGTTCGAATGTGATTATAATAAACATACGCCTATTTGGTGGTACAGCAGAGAGGCATTCATCTATTCGATGCTCAACAGAGCTTTACGATTGCAAGATATTGAAATCATCATCGAAATGGGATGGTTTCTTCGAGATCTTCATCGGCAAATCGAGCAATTATATTTAACAGTCGATCGTACGAACATATTCACTGTCTATCGAGGACAAGGCATGTTAAATGCTGAATTCGAAAAGATAGCCAATAGCAAAGGTGGCCTGTTGTCATTCAATAACTTCTTGTCAACAAGTCGTGATCAAGATATTTCTTATACTTTTGCTGATAGCGCACGACAAAATCCAAATCTGACGGGAATATTGTTCGAAATGACAGTCGACCCACACGTTTCTACAACACCATTCGCTTCAATTGCTGCGATCAGTAGTTTTCCTGACGAAGAAGAAGTTCTTTTCGCAATGCATACTGTTTTCCGATTAGATGATCTACAACAACTCGATGATAGATTATGGCAAGTCAATTTAACACTCACGAACGACGATGATCAACAATTGACGCAACTTGGCAAATATATGCAAAAAGAAATTCAGGGCAGTAACGGATGGGAACGTTTGGGCTCTTTAATGTTCAAAATGGGCGAATTTAACAAAGCGGAAGAGATTTATAAAAGCTTACTCGACGCATCGTTGGATGATAATTTAGAAAAGCACGTTTGTCTTCTGGAGGGATTTTCACGTGCTTTATATCATACTGGTCATCTCACACAGGCACTTTCAGTTTGTGAGAATGCTATCGACATTCGAGAAAAGTCCTTTTCGTCGAGCTATTTCGACCTATCTCTTGATTATCGATGTTTAGGTGCGATACAAGATTCTTTAGAAGATCATACAGCAGCAATATCATACTATAGGAAAACTCTTGACATCCAGGAAAAATATTTTCCCGACAATTACTCTGAATTGGCTTCGACTTACAATAACATGGCATGGACGTATTGTTTGATAGGACAAAACGAAAATGCTCTACTATACTGCAAGAAATCCATTGCAAATTACAAAAAATCGACGCCATCCATTCATCCATCTCTGTCAAATGCATATGATACCATGGGTAAAATCTATTACTCGATGGAAGATTATCCAAACGCAATATTGTACTACTTGAAGACTATGGATATCCAGAAAAAGTCTCTACAACCAGATCATCCTTTGTTAGCTAGTGGTTATTTCCACATTGGCGCAGTTTATCGGGCAATGGGAGAACACACTACGGCGCTTTCATACTACGAAAAGACACTTGAAATTCGGTTGAAAGTATTCGATTCGCATCATCTTGATTTAGCTGCCATTTTTAATGATATTGGGGAATTATACTATTCTATGAAAAATTATCCTACTGCACTGACAAATTTTGAGAAAGCACGAGAAATTCTACAAAAATCACTTCCACCTGCTCATTCGATGTGTGTCAACAATAAAAGGAACATTGATTCAGTAGGCGAATTAGTTAGAGAACGATAGATAAATGTGATTCAAAGATCGATTATAACGCAATACCAAATGATAACGTTGTGCTTTTTTTTTCTATATGTGCTTACCTCTACGTGGGATGTCTATTCTATTTTATAGACTCATTCATTTGCGTAATATCTGTGTCGTAAGCTTAATTAAGATGGTGGAATTGCAAATGATGAGCATATAATGATTTTCGATTGATCAAAAATCGAATGATTCGCTCTAAAATAATATATAGTTACTTGTTAAAACACTGTAGTATACTTCCGACTAATGAAATGAGTAAAAGAGCCAGGAGAAGCTACTCTACTTCCCAGAAACTAGCTCAAACGTAATTCAGCTTCTTTGTACATGTACTTACATAATCGAATGATGAGATATTTCTAATGAATATGTTCATAACTCATTCATCTACGTACGCTTCACGTCACATTTTTTTCTTCTTGCTTCTGTCTTCACTCACCATGTATGACTCTTGTTTATAAACTTTTACAGTATACATATTGGCTTAAGAGATCTAAGATAACATTTTTAGTTAAAAATCTTCGATTATGCAAAGCTGGACATATGAAAATGTCTTTTTCCAATGTTTTATGGACATGTCTGTTGATGTAGCTGTTGAAAAGTGCTGGAAATATTTAGAAAAAAGTTTGAATAAGCGAACTCAGATACAACGAAAACTCAATACCTCTCTATTTAGTAGGAGTATTATTGATAACACAATAGCCATTTATGATACCGGGTATACCAGGAACACACCGATAGCCAGGACAACAGTCACGATCAACCATATTGCCACCATCACGGCAAGCTTCACCCTGAAGACTACAGTCCTCCTCTGAGTTGCACCATACTGCGACGAAGACCAGAATAGATAGCCCGTAAAAAATTATCTTCATTTGTTTAGTTTCGAAATGAATATGGATATATGCGGATTTAATATATTTTGTAAATAGAGAGAAGAACATTTTCTCTTCATTACGCGCGTGCAAACCGTACCCATTCACACATGACTAACTCACAACAGAATCCATATTTAGATGCACATCAAGAAGAAAAAAATCAAAAGGCTTTTTATTCATATTATGACGATAAACAAACAAGATTATGGTTGTATATGAAAAAAACAAGAAACAAGCATATTCCTGGTTGTATTTCAAATTGACCAAATCCGGTGCTGTACGGATGAACTGAACTTTCAGGCACGATCAAGATAGTTAATTATACCGGTTGCACAGTGTGCACTGCTATTCTTGCCGGACTTATTCTCTTCCACATCCATTTCTTGAATTCAGACAGTAAACCAGCATAGACCCAAGGAAGTCCGTAACATGCTAGATTTGGAAATTCTGATACGTAGTTCATATGGAATTGAATCAAAGACGGCGAAGGACTGATGTTCAGTATTAATGTATCAATGATCACCGGTGACCATGCGATTAGATAAAGGCTTGAAATACAAACTAATTGTATAGTCATTCGTCTGTGTTTTTTCCAAACAAAACGTTGTTGACGGTGACGTTTTTGTTGGACAACTCGAATTATAAGCACGACATTCGCAATAAAAATCACAGCTAGTGGTACAGTATTGTTAAACACATAATCGAACAATGTCAATGTGGCATCGTACAGAAAATAGCAGTTCGCAAAGCCACATACCGGCAAAGTGAAATCCCATTGACTGCCATCGCAACTAACGAGGAAAATACTATAGATATAGAATAGAATGGGATAGACGATACTTAATATTAGAGGCAAATAATAGAAGATGTAACGTTTTCTACGATTCTGAAAAACATGTGCTTGAAATATGAAGAAATGTCGTTGAATAGAAATCACTGCCATTAAAAATTCGCCTATAACAGCAAAACTAAACAGTGTAAACGTCCACCAGGTACAGTAGTCTGCTGTAGCAAAGCGAACAGATTGAAAATAATAGAAATCGATACTCATTGGCATATCAGTTAATAATCCAACCGAATTAATCGTAAATAAGATTAGTAATGAACGATTCTGCATCTTTTTCAATTCGCCACGATGTTTGACGAAGAACACAATGATTAAAAGACTTACAAACAAAGCTGAAATTTCCAACGTGATGGTGATGATGAATTTTACTTTATATAAAGTAGATGCTGATTCTACGTCACTGACATTCATTGCTAAGTTTCTGAAAAAAAATGGCGAAAGATAGTCTATTGAAAAACACAGTTTTAATTTTCTTCTTACAATCTAACTCGCATGACTTCTGATAAAAGGTAGTACGCAAACTACAAAGAACTATAATTATGATTCTGTTATTCGGACGACTTTCGTCGGAAAGCATGATTTTAACTATATGTCTGAGAACATTGCTATAAAAATAGAAAAGTTTCAGGATTGCTTTAATGTAGATGCTGCGACTCCGCGAAGTATTTTGGCATTATATAATCATCGATCGGTGCAAGTCTAAAGGGCGAAGAAGTATATTATCGACACGTGCTACTTCGTGGACGTGTATATCCTCTTCTCTTTTTTCGTTCTTTCTTTCGTCTATTATCTGTAATAACATAGCCATATTACAATTCGTTGATTTTTCACAAGAAAACGTTCCCGCTGTGATCATGGCGAATATTCATTACCGGATGAAAACACTCGGTTTTCTACTTCTATTTCTACTCGCTTCACCAATTACACTGTTCATTACATTAGTGACACTGTTTATTCATGTCATCACTCGGAAACCAGCAGTTTCCAATCCCCATGCCAAACGAATTTTAATATCTAATGCAGGAATGACAAAAGCATTACAAATGGCACGTTCATTACATTCAGATGGTCATTATGTTGTTCTCACTGAAGAATATCCTTTGGCAACACATCGTTATTCTCGGTGTGTCTCAAAATTTCATCTCTGTGCTGACAGCGATGATCGACCAGCGTATATTCAGTCAATCGCTGATATTGTTCGACGAGAACGGATCGACCTATATGTACCTGTGTCACATTCTTCGACTGAGCGGGTAGATGCTCGTATTCGAGAAGTTCTCTTGCAATTCAATTGTGAAACTTTTCATGGAACTGTCGAACAGCTGGATATGTTAAGTGATAAATGTGCATTCATTGATCAAGCTCGTTCTTTTGGTTTGACTGTACCGAAGTCGTATCGAATTACTGATCGTCAACAGGTGCTGGATTTCGATTTTTCCAAAGAAAAACATGAATTTATTCTGAAAAGTATAGCTTATGATAACATCTCTCGTTCGAACTTACGTAAACTTCCATGTCATACTCGACAAGAGACGATTAATTATGTCAGCAGTCTGCCTATTGGTAAAGATTCACCATGGATTTTGCAAGAGTTCATTCCCGGAAAGGAATACTGTACACATGGAGCAGTTCGAAATGGAGAATTAAGATTATATTGCTGTTGTGAATCATCATCATGGTTACTTCAATATAAACATATGAACAATAAACCTTTAATTCTTGAATGGGTGCGTGAATTCTGTGCACGAATCAATCTCACCGGGCAAGCTTCATTCGACTTTATTGAAAGTACTGAAGACGGTCGACCTTATGCGATTGAATGTAATCCACGAACTCATACAGCAATCACCGCATTCTACAATCAACCACTTGTAGCTCAAGCTTATCTCGATAAGGAACCACTTACCAGTGGTCCAATCCAACCATTGTCTACTGCTCGTGAAACTTACTGGCTCTATCATGAATTGTGGAGTTTATTTCGCGTGCGATGCTTTCAAGATTGGCTACGTCATTTCAATCGGTTATTTCACGGTAAAGAAGCAATTTATTCAGTCGATGATCCACTTCCGTTCTTGCTTCACTATACAGTTCATATGCCGTATTTGTTACTGTTTAATTTATTGTATCCAAGACAATACAATAAAGTCGACTGTGCTTTAGGTCTCATTCTATAGGCTCTTTTTTTGTTATTTTCTTATTTCAGAATAAAATTTATTTTATTGTAACGAATCATTTGATGCCTTTATTAGAAAATTAAAAGCAATGAACTATTTGACAACGGAAGATTCAACAAACATACAATGTTTTGAATGAAGAGCGGGCCGACGAAGTTCAGGTCGGTCAAGTTTAACACATACTTTGGGTAATTCATCTCCAGTAACATGATCGAAAATACGCCAGGCGACTTTATTCCAATCTGATCCAAAGTTTTCGTCCAAATGTCGTTGAGCATCTTCGTCATTCATTCCACGTAGTGTTAAATGACCGAATGGAACATCGACAAGACGTTGAAAACATCCGTATGGTAGTGCCTCACCTGGAAATAGCTCGAGAGCACCTTCAAGAACTTCATACTTATTATCGTTTGTACAAATTAAAAAGATGTCAACGAAAGGAATTGGAACACCGTCGCTAATGCGAATCATTGTTCGACGAGGATCATAAACACGATAACCGAAAAACGGTTCTTCATCCAAAATATATCCTTCACTAGCAAATGTTTCTTTCAGAGCGACCAGCCGTTCCACGTCTTTCATTTCGATAGCAATATCACCATCATCGTCCCAAGGTATTTGTCCGCCATGTCTATAACTGCCAAGCATTGTTCCACAAATGACGGTATAATTAATCTTGGCATTGCGTAGTACTTTATCGACAATATCGAGCGTATCGTAGATAATATCGACCATCTCTTGGGATGTTTTCTTCAATATCTTCTCACATGTTTCGAAATCCGTTTCGGGCATTTTCAAAGTATACTATCTAGAAGAGGAAAGAAACCCAACGAACAAGGTCAATAAGTGCGTATTGTACTGACAAAGCAAACCATTATGATAGAAAGCTTTATCCTTTAAACATGTACTGATATCGATATGCAAAATCGAATGCAATCTGTAAAATCCGTTTATTGATCGTTTCATTCGAATAGATAAGTATACCGATTGAAATAGAAAAGTACTCCATGACTGACAAAGGATAAACAATGTACATCGAAAGAAACAGAATTATTTGCTTATCGTTCTTTTTCTTTCTCATGCACCTTATGCATTCTTTCTGTTCTTCGATGACATTATCCAACGATTACATATCGTAATGCTTTCCTGTGAAAAAAAATCACAACTAGCAACCAAATAACAAACACGATGACTAATTGACAAGATCGTAGATCTTTGAAGTGTGCAAGTTTGACGAAGAGCAATTTTATTGTCAAATCAAAATAGAAAAATTTTTGAAAGTACACAGCAACAGAAGAGCACTAAAAATATATTTAACTAGTGAAGATATCTTGCAAAAATATCTCATTTACTTACCGATCGATGCTAACGTAGGTCGCAGAATCAATGATTCATTGGGAAGTGGTACTACAATGAAGAGGTCAAAAATCAGATTGTCCGAAGAGAAGTTTATATTTACTTTCTGTTGAATTGTAGGAACCATTTCCAACTGTAAAATAAGCACAACCGAGGAGACCGTTATTGCAATCTAAGTCGATTTTGAGTATACGATCAGTCAAAAATGAAGCTATTTCAAATGGAAATGAAACTACCAGTCATAACAACATGTTAAAGAGACTCAACAAACCCAAATTGGCTTGATAGGTTTGAATAGTTCGTACATTTAATTGGTCGTGATTGGTTGCGTAGAAAACATCAACAATCGATGAATTGCGTTCTTCTGCATCGATGTATGTGTTCAAGAATTTTCCCAAGCCAGGTTCATAGTATGAAAATCCACGGCTATTACATCCCTGACCAGCAGCTAAATTCGATCCATTTCCTAAACGAATCGGATTGTTATAATTCAATTGTACATCGCCAGGACTGTTCGGTTGAGGTGGAGGTAAAACAAATGATGGATACGCCGGATTAGTGAATCCATAGATACAATCTGTTGGAAAGCTAACTAGAAGATCAAACATACGAACATGTGCATAGTATTTTTGCAGAAGAAAAGTAAAATACTTTCTGCTGTTCCGACATTGACTATTTTCAGTAGGAATAGGAAGAAAATTGCTAAGAAGTTGCACGACATATTCAAGAGCTACTTCTTGGACGTATGCACGATCATTTCAAGTATTCTTGTCGATTTTATCGCTGATAATAAAAACTGTTGATAAACAAAAAAGCACGTGTAAAGCGTTGGAATGTGTTGATTATTATGTTATCAAATCCAATGGAAGTACGTATATTAATCTTGACAAAAAAAACGATCGAACATTGAATGATTGTCTTAGCAATTTACGTTCAAATGAAAGTACTATCTGCGATGTTCCATGACCTATCTCACTTTCTCTTCCTTCATGGAATGTCGACTAATATCTAAGGTATGATAATCTGTGAATTCCTGTAGCTACTTAAAAACTCCGCTAAAAACACTCATTCTCACAAAAATCTGGGAAATCTTCCACACATCCTTCGTTATTTCTCTATCAATTCCTAATTTATTACTTTTATCACATTTACTAGACTTCCATACAGGCTAGGCGACATAAAACAAATAATCAATTTGATTACTGTTGAACCGTGAAAATGTTAAAACGCGCTGCCAAGAAATTAGTTTCATTACCTTCAAAAGCTATTTTATATGTTATTTATGGTAATCAAAGTCGATATGTCCATTGTAAATTTCCAGAGTAGGAATAAAGAATTTGAAAAGATCATTAGTATTGACGTGATAAAAAAAAATAATGTATCCGGTCATATATCACGAAGCCAAGGACTCCGTCAAAGCAGTACACATTGGCCTTTGTAATTGTGTCGTTTTTGCGTTTCTACCGACTTCTTTCATTGGGAGATTTGTTTGCGTATAGTGTGTACTGCGATTAAAAATCCTGAACTTCCTGTCATCTGTAACTTTGTTCTCATAGCCCACACTGCGATGATATCTGGTGAGAGAGAAATATGCGCTGGTGGTGCAACGCTTTGATGTATTTCTTCCATCCAAAGTCAAACCGCAGCACGTGTTATACGTAAGAGAATAAAGAAAATCATTCATCAGGCAGAAGCATTCAAAAGGTTAAGTACGATGTGTACAGTGCATGTTAGTGAGAGAGGTACATGTTCAAAGAAAAACATTCCTTATCACTCAATGCTTTGTTTTCAATACAAGTCAAACATAAATTAGTAGCAAACAGAATGCTGTATCTAATAATATTAAATTATCCAGAATCATTGACAAAAGAGTTTACTGGCTAAACCACGCGTAATTTGTCATTGCTTCACGTTTGTTCCAATGAATGCCGGTCGCACTAAGATACATTCAGATGCTACGCTCAATATAAATATAACTGAATTCGAACTGATAATGATACTGGTGAATGTGTTTCATCAGAATACCAATCCATCATATAATCTTTTTTGCATCCTTGCGATAACTGTCTGACTGGAAATTTCCAAGTTGACGTCACACGCTTGTTTCTTATGACGAAAACGACATAGGAAAAATGATCATAAAGTTTTTACTGCGCTTATGTTTTACGTGCGTACCGGACAGTAAAATAAATCTTATTTGAGTTGACACATTAAATAAAAGATTGGAGTAGTTTTTGGTAGATTGCATGATTGTGATATGGTATATTTTCTACAGCACTGCAAGAGCTTTACAGATGCATGACGTTTGTGGGTATTTTCCCTCATATACACACATATGTATATGTCGTAGGCCAATGTAAGATTCAGGCCAATCCAGGATTGGCCTAGGCTATTCTCAGATCCTGGATTGGCCTAGTCGAAATTAGGATTAACTCAAAATCTTGGATTAAAGTTCGTTTTTGAACCCTATGATATTTTCCGATTTTCTTTTCACTATTCGAATGCTGTAGCTAAGTAGATATATTTTCGATGTATACTATCGATTCCGACACAAAATTGTTTAGTTAAAAAGTTATCGGCAGCTTTCTGCAGAACTTGTACGTTCACAAGTCAACGCTGATAACATCTTCCGTGCACCTCACAGTGATATGAAACTCGCTGATATAGATAATGGTAGTATATCATGAAACCTTAAAACTATTTGATGTGTAATCTGCCATTGACTGCAGGCAAAAAAATGAGTTTGATCCAAAATTTTAAGTTAATCCTAGTTCAAACCAGGCCAAGCCAGGATCTGAGAATAGCCTAGGCCAATCCTGGATTGGCCTGAATCTTACATTGGCCTACGACATATATATGCATGTAATTGTATTCATACGTTTTCTTCTCTGTGTGCAGAACGATCTTTATCTACCGTGTTCTCCACTCTTTCTCTAGTGTTTTCGATAAACAGCTCTTCGTAGATGTATATTTATCTAAGATATATTTTTTTCATTAGGTGAATTTCATTGTTTGACAACCAGTGAGACTATGTTTCATATTACCTTCTCGTTGCTCGCTGCCTTTGGTTTATGTGGTGCTTATTTTTTCACATTTACGAATGCCTCTGGTGAACCTCGCAAAGCTTTTCATTCTGTCGTAGGTCTTATCCAAGTTGATGCTCAAGCTCTGTCTAAAGCTTTGGATCGTTTGAAGAAAACAGAAGTTTCTTGTGTTTTCGATCTAGTCAAGAAGGACGTCGTGCGCCGATGTAATGCTGAGCTGCAAAGTATGTTTCTTAAAAGCACCACGAAATACGATCATAAGTCTGGCTAGTGCTGTAAACCATCTCGATATATTTTTGCAAGAAACTGATACGTGGCTTCTTTTATTTCGAAAACATGTGGACAATGCAGAATGGACTGAAGCTCTCAAAATTTTTAGAACGCTCGATGATTTGTATTCGACTGCTAACGCGCAGATCAACTCTTGTTATACTCAGTTCAAGATGATTCTTGACGTAAATAACGGATTCTATGGAAAAAATGAGGAGTGCGGCTCAAAGACCGTGCAATTCTTGGCTCTCAGTATGAGCGAAAAACAATGTCAAGCGAAAAAATCCGTTTTGTTCAATGGGGCAGTATTTTTTGGTGTGGTTGCTATTATTTGCAGCATGTTGCACTTCGCCGAGCATCGAATATCGTAAGCGAAGTTAAAAGTTACTGAATAACCTCATCATTTTCCTATGTTACGCAGCGTAGAATTTTGCAATCATAAAAAGCTGAAAACTGAAAATAGGGACAAAACTTATTTGAATTCTTGCATGTTTCAGAGATAGCTGTATTTTAAATTAACTAAGGGATGTTCGAACACTTTTATTTCGATCATTGTAAGCCAACTAAACTGAACTCATGGTTAAAATTTTATAGGAATCGGCCTGGAAGTGCTCAGCAACAACAACCACAACGACACCCTGATCCGCATCCACATAAGTGGTACGGCTACTTTTCTATTGGCTCTCTTATACCATGTCTGCTATTCGCTGTTTTCTACTTTATTTGTTTACTATCACAGCCCGAAGACGTTTCATGTGCTGCTGAGCTCAGTTCAACTGTGGAGAGTCATCACAACATATACATAGACGAGATACAATCAGCTCAGTCTAACATAGGCTCGAATATAGCAATTATCATCTCAGATGTCTCGTACTTAGCTTTGCTAAATCGCACCGATATTGCCGATCAACTGAAAGATTCTATATGGAAGTCACTTGCATTCGACGCGAGCCGCGTAATTGAAGCTTTTGAAGCAAATGCAAAGTTAGAATATGAGATGACACATCATCTGAAAGAACTTGAAAAACATATCTCCAAGGAAACCGACATTCTTCAATTGGTGCACTCCAATTCACTGCAGATCATGGAAAAGATGAAGAAACTTAATGCAATCATGAATTTACATTTACGGGGACACCTAGATACTCTACCTGATTTAGATATAATCGCAGCAATTCTTGTTGAATCTGTACTTGTCGGTCGCGATGAACTCAATTACAATCGATTAAATGGACAGTACACAAAAATTATTATACGTCAAAAAAGCGATCTGTATGAGGTTATTAATCTGATTGAACCTCTACTAACTCAAACAGGAGATGTATTGAAAAAAATTAATCAGGGACTGGACGACGCCGACAAACAGAAAAAATCAGGTCGGAACCAAAAATACATCGAAGGCGGGACCACTTTGGGTGGAATTACATTTGTGACTGTGGGTGCCGCAAATAATCTGCATTTAGTAATCACCGGGGCTGCAATCGCAGCGCATCCTATTTTGGGGCTGGCGACCATGGTAACGGGCGTTTTAATGGCTGGTGGTGGTGTTGCAACATTTATGAAAGGTGATCGGATTGAAATCGACGCGACAGATCTATTCAAAGTACTGAAATCTATGGATGCTTCACTTAATCAAATTATGACGCTCACTAATGATCAGTACAACTATTTACTAGAAATACAAGGAAATTGGAATGCTCAGGAAAGAAATTTGAAGAGTTTTCATGATATCGCTACTTACAATCTTCAGACAACTATTAAGCCTATCTCGAAAGAAGATATCAAAACACTGCAAAACATTCAGCATAAGATTATTAACAAAAATAGAGAGACAAGCCAAACTATCAAGAATGTACTATCCATTATACCTTCGTTAAGGCAACAAAAAGAAAAGTATATTGGTGGATGAAAGACAGCGATGAATGTGAGGACGTTATATATTTTTCTTTCTCTTTTCACATAGCTATTTCAAACCTTTTCATTATACTATACCACGGTAGCTCATTTGTACCATGAATTTCATTGAATAAATAAGCTTCAACTCCATGAAATCATATATATATAATATCTTCGTATATGTGCACATTCCTCAAGAATAATTGACGCCAGTATCTTGTCAATACATATACTACTAAGTTAGTAGCTACAATAATAGGTAGGACAACAAAAAAGCATTTCAAGTGGTATTCATGATGATTATTATGCATGATATATGATAAACAATGTTTGCTCTTATAATCAACATTGCATATGGTAATTGAGGAAATATTTGGACTTTCTGTCAGATGATCATGTCATAGGTTGATCTTGCAAAAACTTTTCGGATATAAACTTATTTTTATTCTGAGCACACACTTAACGTTGGTATCAGATTACTAGGCAACTATAAGACCTGTCTTGGCAAACGAACAGCAAAATATCTGCATTTTTATATGCTGAATTTCTATTCGTCTGTTTCTTCCATAAATACTCGAGTTTGATCACGTACATTAAATGAAAGTATGAAATTTCTTTTCGTGACAAAAATATTTGTACAACTTTTCACCCTGACATCCCCATAATACGATTGATATTAGATATCTTGTATATTAGCATATAAAATAACGGAGCTTTATTCATATTTTATACTGTCTTTTCTCGTAAAAAATGAAACTTGCGATTATCAGTGGCATAGTGCTGTTTGCTATCAGGTAATGCATTTATTTTCTCCAAACTAGTAATGACTATATTTTCTTTTATCTTAGCTTAACAGGTACACATCCTTTTTCTTTCGTGCTTGTATAGTTTTACACGATTTTTTTTGTTTGCTGTAGCGCACGTTCATGGTCAAACATGTCATGGCATTAGCCAGTACGGCCAGTGCTCATCAAATCGGGGATGTGGATGTTTGCACTTTTCACTGGCAGATGATGTCGGCATTTGCGCTGTTCTCGGACTGAATTGTACTCGATTAAGTCCATGCCAATGGCCAGATGATACATGCGAAAAAGCTGATCACGTATGTGTCCGCCATCCTCATTGTAATTCGAATCCTCTCTGTTACCCGTTACACATGGTTAATCAACGATTATGTCCTTCATCATCGAGTAAGTACATATCGATTCTATACTCTTTTAGTGAATGTGAATCATGTAACCAACCACTGCTCTCTCATTTTACCAGTATCTCTTCCAACAACGACGACAACTACAACTACCATGGCACCAATATCGGACTTCGTAATTTCATACTATTCGAATATATTGACTACCAACAGCGACAGATTTCCTTATTCACATAAACACTATCATCAAGTTCGCATTGTTGCCTATGCATCTGGACTTTACAATTTCACAAGCATTAGCTATCTGAATACATTTGCATATCTGTACAGAGGCGCTTTCGATCCATACAACGCATCTTTGAATCTCATCACTGATGGTAATTACAATTACCAAACCAATCAATTCGAATTAGCAGCTTTCCTGCGGGCTGGTTCATCGTATGTGCTTGTTTTTACCACAGATACCGGAAATACTACGGGATATTTTACTATCGCTGCATATGGACCAAATTATCTTCATTTTATTTCAATGAACAGCACACAAAACTCAACAATGAGTAAGTTCACTAAAGTGTACGCATTCTCGAACGTGTGTAGACATTGACTCAAAGGGAAAGATCTTGATCTGCTTTCTACCTAATTTTTCTCTCTTACTTTTGCGTAGCATGGAATAATACAACATCACAAAATGCCGTGATGTCAGAGTATTCCAGCGTACTAACGAGTAATAGCGAGAAATTTACCCGTCTTGTTCAGTACGGATTTACAGCTGATTACAACTACACGATGAACTACAGCTCAACGCCACTTCATTACTACGAAGCAATTCGAATAACTGTCTATAGGTCAGGTTATTATCGTTTGACGAGCGCAAGTAACTTTGATTCCTATGGACAACTGTACACCTGGTATTTTGATCCAAACAATCCGTCAATGAATTTATTTTATCAAGATGATGATGCTGGTGGAAACAGTCAATTCCAGATATCCGCTTATCTGCAAGCTGGTGTCTCATATATATTGGTATTTACAACGTATGGTGAAGGTCAGTTGGGCTCGTTCAGAGTTGTAGCCACTGGCCCTAATTATGTCGGGTTCGTCTCAGTGGCAATACCTACCACGCAAACATCAACACGTCCAAGTAAGTCGCCAGATTTCTTCGCGCAATCGATATATAAATTGAAAATGAACGCGTTCGTTTGTTCTTTACGTAGCATTTACTTCCGTTGGCATGGAACACGGTGTTATATCAGACTATTCAAGTATGTTAACGAGCAACAGCGAGAAATTCAGTCGTTTTGTTCAGTACGGATTCACAGCTGATTACAACTACACGATGAACTACAGCTCAACGCCACTTCATTACTACGAAGCAATTCGAATAACTGTCTATACATCAGGTCATTATCGTTTGAAGAGTGCAAGTAACTTCGATTCCTATGGACAACTGTACACCTGGTATTTTGATCCAAACAATCCGTCAATGAATTTATTTTATCAAGATGATGATGCTGGTGGAAACAGACAATTCCAGATATCCGCTTATCTGCAAGCTGGTGTCTTATACATATTGGTGTTTACAACTTTTGGTGAAGGTCAGTTGGGCTCGTTCAGAGTTGTAGCCACTGGTCCAAACTATCTTCGTTTTATCCAAGCGAACATCAATAACGCAACTGTGACTAGTAAATATTCCATGAGACTACAGCATGTGCTTATCATCCATATAACTTCCTTTATTTCTATTTGTAGCATCAACACCACCCAGATCGAGTATAATTACTACAAATTATTCATATGCGCTGACATCTAGCAGTGAAAAGTATCCAGGGACAAACTCCTACTACCAAGCAATTCAGATTTCGGTCAGTAAACCGGGATTTTACAATTTCTCGAGTGAAAGTCATACGAGAAGCCGCTGGTGTCTCTACTGGAAATCTTTCATATTATCGAATTTAACACAAAATCAGATGACATGCGCAGATGGATACAATGATAGCAACTTCCAAGTTTCAGATTACTTCTCGCCTGAATATTCGTACGTTCTAGTTTACAGAGCGCTTGCCCCGAATCGAACAGGACCATTTTCGATCGTGGTAACTGGCCCAGACTACGTTCAATTCGTTCCGATATATACTTCACAAACAACAACTATGAGTAAGTAGAATGAACTAGAGGCTGAACACAATAAATTTCGATCATCGACTAATTGCGCAATGTTTTTAGTGCCGAATAATATGGTTTTGGTCTATTCAAGTGAATTAACATTGAATAATGATAGATACTCTCGTGCCGGGAGGACTGATTACTTCACAGCAGATTATGGCGTTACAGCTGATTATAATTCTTTTTCCAATTTCTTTTACGAAGCTATTCAATTGAGTATAACAGCAACTGGAACTTACACGTTTATAAGTCGAAGTTCCATTGATACTTTTGGTTACATCTATCACGATCATTTTGAACCAGCAAATCCAGAGGCTAACATTCAAGTAGAAGACGATGAAAGCGGAGGAAGCAATCAATTTAAAATGACAACCTATCTTTACGCCAATCGTTTATACGTATTGGTTGTTACAACATGGGTGGGTAATACTATAGGACCATTCTCGATTGTTGTTGAGGGTCAACATCCAATTGGTTTTAATCGTCTATATTACTCGGCGAATAAACATTGATGAAGATTAAATATTTGAAGAGAGAACTAATCTGTCTTTTTCAAACTTTTTTTTCGCTTCTTTACACATTTCTAATTATTTCCAAATAGATTTTTATTGCATCAAATAAATATCGAGAGAACTCTTCTGAAAATTCTAATATCAAAACTTGCGGTGTGTCCAATTTCATTACAAAGTATGAAATTTCTTGTATATGATCAGAGCAACTCATATCTATCGATTAAAGATATTCAGTCAAATCAATAACTTATATTTTCTTTCCACAAGAAATAAGAGGATTATAGTCAACAAGGCGAACCCTTGCAAGACGCACGAAACCACTGACATCGATGTGTAGTTGTATTCATGCGTGGTGCTGGTGCATCAACTGGATACAGTCCAAGAATAACATGCCAAAGATGCTCAAAAGTTCCTCCAAACCACTGAATACCTTTGCCGAGTGGTTCGTTCTCTTTTTCTGTTGTACAAATCGGTTCGAAATTAGCACGTTATACAGATAACCATTGTTCATACTTATATCGATGAATCCGTTCTTTCGTTACATAGAACTGAGCACAGCAGAATGCCGAGATCACATTTTCATCTTTCGGTTTCATTTGTGTCGGATTTAACTGTGATTCGCCATCATAACCAAATAAAATCAACATACGATTAGCACATTTGTACATCATCGCAATATTATCATCGGGGTCGCGAGGCCAATATGTCCATGGTCGCTTATGAATCCATTCTCTTTCATCGTTTATACTTGCAAAATGAACATCATCACGAATACATAGTGCTGATTGAACAGGATTATGACTTGTGTGAGCATAGGGTTTGCCGTGCATAAACAACATTTTATCTGGTAGATCAAAATAGTGATCACGAATGAATTGGAGAATGGTTCCAGTCTCTTCGTGAATATTGACACAATACGGCCAATCAAAGGGATATGTCGAATTCGGATCAATGCGTTGATACAGATGAATATGATACGAACGTCTAGTAGTTAAATTAGACCAGCTAAGTCCATTACGAAGCCATGCTGGCCAACTTGATCGATTAGCCCAATCGATTTCTTTCCATATGGTCGGTATCACAACTAGCGTGTTTTTTGGCCATTTGCTCGGTTTTGAATTGTTACTTGTATCTCTTAGAGGAATAATCAACTGCGGTGTCAATGTATTTTGTACCATAGTATGTAGTAAAATGAGAGTGATAAGAGATATGCAAATAAAAACAATTCTACTTGTAGAACCATGCGAATAATGAATGTTGAAATTCATTGGGAAAATGTTCGCAGTGTAACGTTCGTTTACCTGGTTTTGGTTGTAAGCATGATGCTCAATCGTATGATAACAAAGTTAACTAGATTGTATTCGTGGCGTTGTCCTAATACAGAAGTCGTTTTTTAAATAGTTGGTCCAGAGAATTTCAGGTTGTCCGATCCAGTTTCCTTCAAGTGGCAAATCTACACGATAAAAATCATTCGAAAGAAAATAATATCATTGTACTACTTAACGTTTTTCTCAGCTCAATTACTTCGAAAATGTGATTCACATCAGTAAAATGTTATTGATGAGCAAATCAATACGTTCTCAACTGCAACTGTTCAACTCTCTGCGAGTCGTGCTTCCATACTTGAGTAACACTTATTTCTTTTTGAAGTGTTATAGTTCATTGCCCGATTCAGGTATTGCATTTTACCGAGAATGTAAAAAATAAAAATTGATTACCAACTCTACAAACGTAAATATAGAAAGTGCTTTCGTTCGGTATCGAGGAATGCAACCCTCTCATTGAATGACAGTTATGGGAAAACACTTCATTCTAGATCTCACAAGTAATGTGTTTATGTATTCTTTGTAAACTTTGATTTTTTTTCCTTTGATGACACGCAATAGATTGTAGAAAATGAAAGCAGAACGGTTCAATACGAAGACGTTATTCTTCAACTTGTCTACTTTTCTATTGACGAAAAAAAGTAATCATTAATATATATATATAATATAAGATTTTTTTCTTTTGTTGACAGTGTGTCGTATTGTATTCGTCATAGAATAGGAAAAATATTTTCCGTTCTTCTACAAATGAATGTGTTCTAAAAGTTTAAAAAAGTCGATCATGGAAAGTCAGGTGCAATCGACGTTACTATGATCTCGAGAAGCATAATCTTGTGATTATTTTCTATCGATGGAATTCTTTTAGATCAATATCCTCATTGGTTCACAGCACTAGGCTCCGAATAAAAGTGACCTATTATACAATAAAATCTCTCTAATAATTATGAACACCGACGGAACCGAGAGAAATCGTTCACATTAGCAAGATGATTATTTAGGAGGAGTCTTAAGGTATATTAAATCAAGAGAAATTGCAACATGTCGTTAAGCTTTCGGTGTGATGAATTAAGACCTCTATATTTTTAATAAAGTTTCTGTTCTTTTCAATCCAATTTTTGTATAACGAATAAATGATTATGACAAAGAGAGATTAACATTCAAAGATTGTTTGGCACTCTTGATCGGAGTTACAGTCCCTGTTGCTATTGCACCGGCAAGCCTTTGAAGCGAAACGAGATGATCAATTGTATCGACAGTAACTCTACAAGAGTGTTTTTGATTGAATGCTGTGTGCATATTACAGAAAGACAGCTGAATCATCGGCAGTCGCAAATGAACGTTGTCGTGCCGCACATCGCCAGCTCGATGCTGTTCGAAAAAGTGAAGCATTGATTTTTCTCAAAGACAAAGAGTTGATCGGCCGACAGAAATGTTCAACTGGGATGCGAAGCCGAAGTGGTCAAAGATATAATTCATCTGAATGGTTTGAACTTCGATAATGTAAATCTAGACAGTGAAACTGATGACCTTGGTCAATTAGATCTGGAATGTGTTGAATCTGAGCAAGTTTCCATGAAGAATGCCCCCTTTTCTTGTGCAATTTGAACGATGCCGTATTCAAAAACTCACGTATGAGTGGTGCGAAATTCGAAGGCAGTTCTCTCAACTGTGCCATCATTGAGAAAACAAAAGTGTAAGGAACAATTTTTTCTAATTCAAATTTAAATGCAACAACGTCCAACAATGTCAATTTATCCATAAAAAAATTAAATCGACAGCAAAAACAAGAAGTTCACTTCGTAAACGTGATCATGCCAAATGGAAACAAGGTAACATCGATGATAAAGAAAACATCAAAACCATCTGCAAGTACGTACCGAATGAGAGTGTACATATTCCTTGCTCACTTACACCCGTAACATTAACAAATCGAAGGTTAAATCTTGTCTTTCGTTCTAGGCACTACGGCTAAATTAACAACTACTAAACCAACAAATAAAACGTCGACAGCAAATATCAACAACCGATACAACTACTACTGAGTCGGAAACGGAGAAAGCGGTTGTATATGTAGCAAGAAGTAAACTATACCATAATCAGAAAATGTGGCTTGATGTCTAAATGTTTAGTTTGTAGTCATTTAAAAGCTTAACTGATACTAGTAGATTTGAGAGTTAGCTTTGTAAATATTTCATAGGAAGTGAGGGAAATTGATGTGCAGCTCACTTAAGTGTAGTTTTATTTTGTACAGAAAATTGTATAATTCAGCCAACTACAGTTGGATCACTATCGGTAGCTTAAATTATGCACGATATCAACATACGGCGACTGTATTATTCGACGGAAGAGTACTGATCGTTGGTGACACTAATAGTAGTCATTTTTAACAATGCCGAAATGTTTTAATTGTCAAGGAGACACTAACGATAACAGCTTTACTCTAGTTTGTTACTGCTATGCATGTCTATCTCGCATACTATATCACCAAACCGTACTGTTTTGTTCTTGAGAATCTTACTTTCGAGTAAATAATAATATACGCAATATCTTGAAAAGTCTATCACTTTGTAACAGTCTTCATTAGTAATGAAATGTTAGACATCCAATTTGAAGACTTTCTCAGATACTTATACCAATTCACAATATTTTTATCAGAATTTTTCCAGAAATTTTTTTTTCTGTAAATCAAACGAATCACATTTCTTGTTGCTCTCGTTGGATTTGAGTGCAAATATACTGTTTTTCCAAGATTACCTAATGAATATATGCGTTATTTATGATTATGCAATTACACAAGTGTTGACTATTAGTTTTCTCTTATCAGTTCCATGGGCTCCCTTTTTAATCTTTTCCATCATATTTTTAACATTATACTGTAAGAACAATTTAATCAAATAAAACGAAGCTCTGGCAAAAATGAGAAAATATTCGTCTCTAGAGTTTTTCTCCTGCAATCCACTAATGGAATCTATACAACATTTATTTTTCCTTCCGTTGAAAATTACTTATTCAAGCCCAGCGTGACGTGTTTTAGGCAAACAGCTAACAACAATTCACCTTCGAGCATTTCTTTAAAAAAGGGCCCGATGATGACATACATGTTTTGCTTCATTGTCACACTATTTTGCTTATCAACTGTTGACTGTACGACTGTTGGCAAAATAGAAAGTTATGTATACATTGGTATTCAACAAAACGTATTGAATAATGTCACACTCACTACTTGCATGTGTCAAATGATGCGTTCTAATGGATTAGTATCTGGTTTGAATTATTTTTATGCGAACAACACATGCCAGCTATTCAGTGTCAACACTTCGTTACTGTCGATTCAGTTTTATGCGAATAGTTCATTTCGATTCGTGAACCAATCATTCATATCGATTGCATTAGTGTCGACAAAGGGTACGTTCATTGTATAACGAAGAAAGTACAGAGGTAGAACTGCAGCGAGAAAGTATTTCAGTCCAGTAAAATTGAAGAGAATATACTGATGCGTGAGAACTCAATGAATCGATACTTCATTTCTAGAATCAACATCAACATCGTCGTCAACAACCATCACCAGCACAAGAAAAACGACGTCATCATCGACATCTTCAACATCAACATCATCGTCGTCGACATCTTCAACATCAACATCAACGTCGTTGACATCTTCAACATCAACGTCATCGTCGTCGACATCTTCAACATCAACGTCATCGTCGTCGACATCTTCAACATCAACATCTACGGCAGCATCTGTAGATCCTTGTAAGTGCAAACAACATTTGATTTTTACTGTACAGGATTGATTACAACATAGGTATGTCTAGTAGTCGTCTTTGGAACACAACCGGTATCACGGTTTCAGTTTGGTCAGGTTTAACGAAAGTAAGCGGCTTATTTATTGACTCGCGGGATACATTATTTATCACCGATCAATCAACGAGTTCCGTTGTGTGGAAACTGCTGAAAAATACAACAACTGCGACTATTGTAGCGGGAGTAAGTGGATTACGTACGGCTGCTGCTAATAACTTAAATTACCCACAAGATGCGTATTTTGATTCAAAACAGACTTTGTATGTTAGTGACTATACCAATTATAGAATACAAAAATACATCAATGGATCAACAATTGGAATCACAATGGCTGGAATAACTGGATCATCTGGTAGTGCATTGAATCAATTAGTTGGTCCACGACACATCACTTTCGATGCAACAGAATCAAACTTGTATGTCGTCGATGGTGATGGAAATCGGATTATGCGTTATTCTGCAAATTCAACAAGTGGGAACAACGGAGTTCTAGTTGCTGGAGGAGCTACCGCTGGTAATGCAAATACACAATTAAATAATCCATGGGGAATTTTCTATAATGAGTCCATTAGCAACTATATTTACACAACCAATGCTGCTGGACACACTGTTATGAAATGGCTACCAGGTGATTCGTCGGGTACATTTGTAGCTGGTGTGTCAGGTGTGCCTGGATCCAATGCCACACTTCTGAACAGCCCAAGAGGCATGATAGTAGATACATATTTGAACGTGTACGTTGCTGATTATGCAAATGATCGGATACAGTTATTTTGTGCAGGCAATCCAAATGGTATAACAATTGCTGGTAATGGTGCAACCGGCAGTGGAGCGACGTCAATGAACGGTCCAAGAGGTATTGCTTTCGACTCGTCCATGAATTTGTACGTTGGCGAGTTCGACAATGCACGAGTTCTGAAATTTCTCAAATTATGAACACTTTTTCAAGTTATTTATCCTGTATAAAAAGCCATGGAAATAGCCATCACGACTAATTTTCAAAATACATTTTCTTGATATTTCACTCTGTGTAACAAGTTTTTCTTCTCTCATCACTTAACAATAAGCAACAATAGAAATTTAAAAAGAAATTAAGCTGTTACTTGGTAAGCAACTTCGCCTTAGTTGATTATTTTGGCAATAAATTGGCAGTTAATAGAATTTTCTTCTAGTATTAAATATAACAATATAAAACAACAAATTTTGCACTACAAAAACTAGTAGTAAATTGCAATGTACGTATAAAACTTTCCATTTTTAGCGTTGTGCAACATGAACAGTTACGAAGCAAATAGATATAAATAGTCTCTTTTTCTTTAATCGATAGTCAATCGCATGTATGTTTTATTCAGTTTAAAACGCGTTTTTTATCATAAAAACAAGATTTGTTAAGCCAAAGATCCGTTTATTGCAGAATAAATCATTTTGATGCAGGTTCATCTTCTGTCATTGTAATATCTTCATCCAGAGGTACTTTAATCACCACTTCTGGTGCAGTAATATCGTCTCTTGAAATTTTAATCGATTCCCTCGATGACGACTTCTCACGTTCTTTTAACTTGACGATGAAATTTCGAATAACAAATCGCTTCTTCCATAAAAATGCTATTAATCCTATAGTACTAATCACACCAAATGTAATGAACAATCCAACCATAGATTCAATACTCATTGCTTGCGATGTTTCTCCGATTTGAGAACAATACGTTGCTTCAAACCATTTCTTTCTCAAGTCTTCCAGTGTACCTGCTTCTCTCAATCCTAAGATATTAATATCTAGAATTTGTTCGTATTGCCAGTTTTTCTGAAATACAATTCCAAACGCACTCGGTTCAAAATCTTTCCCGACCAATGTCAGATTACAGTAGATATTATTTGTCACATATTCCAATACACCAGAGTCCATAATCGATGCATCAATAACGTTATTCAACAGACCATCGTAGATCTCTTGTTTCAACATTATTGGATAATAATTCTTAATTCCTCCTGAAATTTCCCGCAGATAGTATTCTTCGAGCGATGAACCGACTAATATGCCGATACGACTGAATGCTAACCGACCATTTTTAATATCGTCAACTCCATCGATAATATCTTTCGATTTGGCAATTGTTAAATCAGATGCTAAATTAGCCGTATAGGCAGCAACTAACACTAAACTTAAAATATACAAAGCAATGGTGACAACTCTCCCTGCTGCTGTTGTCGCATGAAAGTCGACACCGTAGCCGACAATCGTTCCAGATGAGTACCACAGACTCAATCCGATTTGAGAGAATATTGATTTGTTTCGTAATGCTGGGTTTATTTCCCGTTCGATGAGTCCAAATAGAAAGCCAGCATAGATACAAGCAGCAAGTAAAGTGAACCAAAGTTTGATTGAGAAGGGCGTTAAGTATGAAAATAAACTGATATTTGGATTTAGATCTTTTCGAATGATAACACGCAGAGAATTGTCAAATATTGAATCGGAGAAGCCAACTTTTTGTGTGCGAAGAGCAGTTATGGTTGTTTGAGCAACAAATATGTCGAATTCATCTCGAGCAACGGCGTCAATAACTTGATTAAACGTTCGATTAACCGTCAGTGTTATGTTTGGAATAAAACCCATTCGAACTCGCAATAGTTCGATTAAATCCGGCATGTAACCAATTAACTTATTTCTGGTCACTCCCGAAGCATCCGTCGATTGTGTGATCATTGTGAACGGTGCTGTCTCAATAACTGCTATACGCAAATTAACACCGCTAAGCGATGCATAGCCGGTCGGTGTAGTCAACGAATTGCCTGGCCAAACAATAACACTGGTCGATGAATACAGAGTCCAGTCGTTCTCATAAGACCACACCATTACAGGCACAGCGTCGATGCCTTTAGTGAATAATTGAATATTCTTCATCACATAATAAATCCCATCTATACGATCAGTTGTGTCACTTGCAAATTGTATTGCGCCGGACACACCGAGGTATTTCATACTATTAACAATATTGAACAAGGCAGTTGAATTGATAAGACGTCGATCGAAGCAGAAGTCATCGCCAGTATATTGAATACAGGGCGAATAATCTACCGTGCTTGTTAAACATAATTGCTGCAATGACTTAATTAGCAACCAAGCTGCATCGAATGCAAATAGAGCATAATAATCGACATTTACTGCGCCGGGAAAAGTCTCAGGCTCATATTCTTGCCAAAGACTGTAAGCCAAATTTAATAATGTATCATTGATTGGCGCACTGACAACACTAGCAACGACCGGCTCAACAACTAACATTCCATTTAAGTTTGGATAATACACCGAATCGAATTCGTTCCATCGAATATTGGCACTTAATATCCACGTGAATTGAGGACCAAGAACATCAGCACGAAGTGCATTATTTAAAACTATCGTGGCGTAGACATCGATTGCCCACAGAATGATGATTCGTGCTGAATTTTTCGTCAAAATTGCCTTCAAACTACCACGAACAGATTGTGCTGCAATGTCGAATACAATCGTATCAGATACTGTCAAGTTATATTTATCGAACGCATCACTGATGGCACTCATACCACCCGATCCGAAGGCATCATTCTGGTAGATAATGATACATCGCGTCCAATTGAATCTAACGAACAATTTTGCAATGGTTACAGCTGCAATGTTATCGGACGGAACAGTTCGATAGAACGCAGGATATCCTTTCCTGTCTGATAGAGAAGGATCAGTCGAAGCATATGACACAACAGGAAAACCCAACTTGTCAGCAAACGGACTGATTATATGAGATTCTCGAGAATAACCTGGCCCAATAACACCGACTATGTTCGAGTCATTCAATGCACGGCATGTGTCAGCAAGAGCATATATTCCGTCACCGTTGGTTAGAAACGATTCATAACCGATGGATTTTCCCTCAACCGTCATGTTAGACTGTTGTGCAAGTGTAACAGCTGCTTGAAACATGGCACGTGAATGAACGGATAATGATGTTGTCTTAGACGAGTTGTACTGATCAGGAAAAAGACCAATCAATCGAATATTTGACAGATTCGATGAAGGCCATATTGTATCCGAAGGCTGTGATAAAACTTGAATTACTAGTAAAATTCTCAACCACAAACTCAACATTACTCTTATGTATATGCGCAGTCAGTCGGTAAAAATGTCAAAAGAAAAGACAAGATAAACTCAACGAAATGTATGCTTTTCCATCGTATATAACAACGTATCTCATTATAAATCCATGTTTTTTTTTATAGTTTTTTATTTAACATGAGAATAATTGAATGGGCATACATTGCTTTCGAATATTATCTATATCTAATGATTGAAATTATTTTTATAATCGGTGTCATAAGCGAAAATGCAAACAAATAATTGATCGTTAGTGTTGAATAGAAGCAATTGTTTTTGACATAATTATTAGCGTTGATTATTTTTTTTTTTGAGCACATTTAATTATATTATTTTCGATCTCAATGTCAACCAGTTTCATATAGAAAATCGATTATTGCACAAATAGAAATCTAACGAATCTTATATTCGCTAAGTACCACGGAAATCCGTGCTGACAATAAAATTTGCACAGAATGTTAGTTGAACATCCGTTTAGAAGTACTTAGTACTTCTACCGCAGAATACATACAGGATGTCCCGAAAGTAAGAAAGGGTAATTATCTCCCCTTTGTAACAGATTGACGACTAATTTGTATCAAATATGCTCTTTCGTAACACCACTTATGTGTAAATGGAACAAAAGGAGGCCATTATTTCTTACTTTTCTTGAGTGATTCAATCCATCTCAAGACACTTTGTTGAATTTCTCTTGCGCTCGACATCGGTGCCACATAATTGGAAAGTGCAATAGAAGTGCAATATATGTAGCCTATAATTCTGAAAAAGAGGAACAACTCAATAGCTCAACACTCAAAAAACGCTCCTGTCGGAAAGTAATTTTGCACATTGCGTTAGGGTTTGTGTCTGAAAATCATAATATATTGCCCTCACCCAGTGAGTGCAGAATTAAAGAACGAAAATTCAATATTTTGCATATTTCGAATCATCCTATGGTGAGTGTTACTACGGGACCAACCGTCACATTTCAAGGACCTTTTATTTTTTCAGGTGTTGGCCATTGTTACACTGGTATCTTATGATATCATCTCGTCCACACCTTTGTCTTCTCTCTCTATATATACATCTGAGGTGTCGCCTCCCAATACACCGATCTTTTCTCTCTTGCTCTCATTGTCTCCTAACAGTGAGTAACAGACGACTATGCATGTTTTGTAAAAGTTTATTTTTAAGGTCGCTCGAAATGTTACGAAACATCACACCATGTCGATTTTCAAGAAGAAATCGAACTGTACGAAAGTCATTCGGTCTATTCTCGGAGTAGAGATACTCATATGAGCGCCTACGGAAGAAGAAACGTGTACTAGAAACATCAATTCTTATTACTAACTCTGTCATCTTTGCATATTCCACAGTCAAAGTCATGGTTTTGTGAACGAGAGTCGAAAAACACTTCGACACTTTCATGTACGGTCTGGTATCTCTAATTGATTTTCTTCGATTGCTTACATCTTTATTATTCACTGTTTGAGAATTCACCCTAGTCAGAAGGTTTCTCTTCACTAAACTTTGTGTCAAAGACAGCGTACAGCGTTATAGCATAACAGTACACTTTCTCTCTCTCTCTCTCGCTTTGTGTGATTGATTCTGTTACGTTTTAATCTGTTCTGTTTCTTATATGCATTCGGTCTTTGACTATATAAATAGACTGCACAGAGGAGAAAAACGACAAACAGAAGACGAAGGTTATATGCAAATTTCTGAGACAGAGACACAGAATTGGATTCTGACGATGCTGCCATAATTAATCACTAATAAAGAAATATTCCAGTCGATATGTGCTATCAACGATTCTTTCTCTCAGATAATTAGTATTTGAAACTCTGACGTACTTCTCAAGATTGACAGCTGGTATATTATTCATGATTTCCATCATAAAAGAAGTGTATTTATAAATTAAAATATATAAAGTAGACGGATGAAAAATTTCTCTCTATATGCATATATCGAAGAACAAACAGCTGAAAATCGATCGTACCGTAAGCGATGTTGTACACGCCGAAGACTATGAAATAACATTATTTGTCGGCGAATATTTTCATCAGTCTACAGTTGCTGCGAGATTCTTTTTCTTTGGTTCATCGTCATTAAGTTAATCGTCACACTTTTCAATCATACTTTTAATGCACACACATTTTTGCCATCGTTTCTCGAAAATAGTTTCTTTCGGTGTGTGGCGTGCAAGTATTGCACTCTTGTATTTCAGTTCGAAATTTTTTCTTTTAATACATATATATCAAAACTTGTGAGATTATCACGGCATTGCCTAATCTGTTCTATATGTCAGACAGTCTCATTTGAAATTTCTTCATACATTGGAAACATATATCAGACGATTTCCACTGTTAATTTTTTTCACAGAACAGAAAGCACAATTTGCCTTGATCACTCTAGTAGGATATTTTTTTACAAGCGCATGTGTTCCGTGTAACATTCTTTTGTATGAAAAAACACACTTTTGAATCGCTTCTAATTGCAACAAACGAAGATAATGTGCTTTTCTGTTAAAGATTGTTCTATTGAAGAAGGTAATAGCTCCTATCCAAAAGACCACCTGTTCCATGGTTTTACCCAACTATCTGAGTCGTTCACACATCAAATACGTATTAATTTATATCTTTTTTATGTGTCTGACTATCTTTATCTATGCATCTTTCGTCGCCTCACCTCACAATATTCTATCATTCGCTCTACCATCTCAAGCAACTATCACACCTACCACCACTACAACTACCATCTCGTCATCAACATCGACATCAACATCGACGTCGCCATCGACGTCTAAGAAGCCGACTTGCATTCCATTTACTATACCAGACTCTCGACCTTTCTTCGACCAAGAACAGTCTCAACTAAATCTACCACCGAAACTACCAAACTCGTCCTATGAACAAGTAGTTCAACAGCTGCGATCTCTTCGACTGATCGTCGTCGGATGTGCTCGTAATGTCGGGGCAAATGTCGATAACTATCGAACTCACGTAGACCAGATCGTCGATCTTTTTCACCCATCATCTCGTGTATTGATATTCGAAAGCGATTCCACGGATAACACAGTTGCGAAACTGCAGAACTGGACAAGAGCAGAAGTGTTCTCACAAGGAAAGCTAGTTCCACAAATTGCATCTCGTACCGATCGACTCGCTCTCTGTCGCAATACACTCCTGACAAAAGCATACAACTACACGCCTGATTACATCTTGGCTACAGATGTTGACATGTTTTCGACTACTGTTCCTTCGTTTCTGTCGAACTTCTATTACAATAGAGATGACTGGTCGGTGATGACTGCATCAATCACTGGTGGATATTATGACATATGGGCGTTGAGAACACTATCGGATAACGTGATGAACTATGATGTCTGGCATCGCATATGGCATTTGCAAAATATTCAGGGCAAATACTGTAATCATAATTTTGTGGATCTGGTTATTGGTACTCACCAGAAACAGATTCCTATCGAACGTGATCTGATAGAAGTACGCTCTGCTTTTGGCGGTGCTGGCCTGTACAAAGTGAATTCGACATATGGGTGCAGATATGACGGTAGTAGGACAACTTGTGAACATGTTCCGTTTCATCTGTGTATGCGAGAGAAGAATCGAGCGAGAATATTTATTAATCCGAGGTTTTTACTTCGTTAAGTAGCAGCATTATGTATACGAGACTGCTTTTCAGGATGCTATAGAAAGTGCAATAAATGATTGTAATAAACATTTTTTAGATTAATTGCACTTATCTATAACACTCGTTTGAGTTGTCTGATGGTTTGATTGTTATCTATTTATCGACACCAATAGTATGGATTATTCGATTTAGTTAGACGAGCAATATTCAAAAGTAAAGCAACAGTAATCGGGGAGATACGAACTGATTCAGAGTTTGATTGTGTACTTTATTATTACTTGAATTCTTAAACGAACTTTGTGACGACGTGCTCTGAGAAACATGAATGACAATGCATAATTAACCGTGTTTGAGTTCGAGTGAACACCGGCTTTTTTACAGTGGCTTCAATTTCGATTAGACTCGTCGAAATTACACATACATTGGTGTTTTCAAAAGGAAAATTTATACAGAACTTTGATACTTTCATGTACACCCTGATATTTTTTGTTCATACAGACAAAATACAGCGCGTTACCAGCAATTTTTTCTCTCCTCCTGTATGATGGATTCTGTCACATTTCAACTAGTTCTGTTTTCTCATGCGTTCGATATTCGATTCAAGATTACACATGCTAGAAAGAACAGCAATACAAGAGAAATGTAACGGATAAAATTGTGAGTTAGAGAGGCAAAGGTCTGGATTCTGATAAGCATGTTAAAAATTGCTCTATGTGTTTATCTCCTTTCGATGATTGTAATAATCTTTATATGATTTCGATTGTGACAGAAGCATATTTATGAAATAAAATATGTAAACTAGACCAACGAAAAATCTCTCTCTATGCATATGTCAATGAATAAACAGCCGGAAAGCAATCACACTGTGAGTGGTTCTGTACACATAGAAGACTGTTAAATAACATTAATTGCCGACGAATATTTCTTTTGCTTGAATTATAACTATTTTCTTCTTTTTCGTTGATTCAATCCCGTGTAGAAGAATGGTGTAGAAATCTTCATTTAATCGATTATTTCGCGATAGAAAAAAGGGTTATAATCTGTGATAATTTTTACTAGGCTTTAACTTTGATAAATACATCAGTTTAATCTGGTTCTCTTTGAGTAGGTAAGTATCGAACTATTTAGCGTCTAGAACAATCTCACGAGTATCATAAACTATTATCGTGTGAACTAGCTATTTTCCAATATGAAGATGTTCGGATACGGTTAAGAAGTTTTTCTTCATTGCGATCGAAATCGAAATTCTCTGTATGTTTAGTCGATATATGTTATGTTTGTCAGGTTTTTCGATGAAGCACTGATTTAAATCATATTTTTTCATAGTTGTTTTTTCATGAACTGCTATTGGATTGATTATAGTCTTCTATTTACACGTTTTTATTTTTCATAAAGAACAATTGTATTGAATGTTCTGTGACAGCATCGTAATCACATATTTCACCTCGACTTTTTTTCTTTTCCTACACAGACACACATACACACACACACACCAAAACTTATGATTTTGTTGCGTGCTGCTGTCACTTCCATTCCGCCCACATGACAAGAGGCGATGAATGAAATAAATTATTAGATGAGTCACACATATTCACGTTGGCCTTTTACTCAGAATACTCTTCCGCAGTTCGGATCGTACTTTGCAGACATTCATAAACTCCTGTCTCCTTTAGTTAAACGTAAAAATTCTAGTTTTCAGTCGCTTATGATTCTAATAAACCAACAAAAAAACATCTTTTAGGTTCAAGGTTTCCCTATTCAAGAAGAGATTAACTTTCGTCTGAACAAAACGTCTATTCAATGATCTCATCCACTCACATTAGTTGTTTAAAGAACAAATACTTATTAATTTATATCTTTTTTATGTGTCTGACTATCTTTATCTATGCATCTTTCGTCGCCTCACCTCACAATATTCTATCATTCGCTCTACCATCTCAAGCAACTGTCATACCTACCACCACTACAACTACCATCTCGTCATCAACATCGACATCAACATCGACGTCGCCATCGACGTCTAAGAAGCCGACTTGCATTCCATTTACTATACCAGACTCTCGACCTTTCTTCGACCAAGAACAGTCTCAACTAAATCTACCACCGAAACTACCAAACTCGTCCTATGAACAAGTAGTTCAACAGCTGCGATCTCTTCGACTGATCGTCGTCGGATGTGCTCGTAATGTCGGGGCAAATGTCGATAACTATCGAACTCACGTAGACCAGATCGTCGATCTTTTTCACCCATCATCTCGTGTCTTGATATTCGAAAGCGATTCCACGGATAACACAGTTGTGAAACTGCAGAACTGGACAAGAGCAGAAGTGTTCTCACAAGGAAAACTAGTTCCACAAATTGCATCTCGTACCGATCGCCTCGCTCTCTGTCGCAATACACTCCTGACAAAAGCATACAACTACACGCCTGATTACATCTTGGCTACAGACGTCGACATGTTTTCGACTACTGTTCCTTCGTTTCTGTCGAACTTCTATTACAACAGAGATGACTGGTCAGTGATGACTGCATCAATCACTGGTGGATATTATGACATATGGGCGTTGAGAACACTATCGGATAACGTGATGAACTATGATGTCTGGCATCGCATATGGCATTTACATAATAATAGGAAGAAATATTGTAATAACGACTTCGTTGATCTCATCATTCTGATCCACAAAAAGCAGATTCCCGTTGAACGCGATCTGATAGAAGTACGCTCTGCTTTTGGCGGTGCTGGCCTGTACAAAGTGAATTCGACATATGGGTGCAGATATGACGGTAGTAGGACAACTTGTGAACATGTTCCGTTTCATCTGTGTATGCGAGAGAAGAATCGAGCGAGAATATTTATTAATCCGAGGTTTTTACTTCGTTAAGTAGGAAATTCAGTTAAGTAAATGGTTTCGAAGGTGTTCTTGGCACTCAAATAAAAAATTAGGCTGAGATGAAAAAATATTTTAGATAAACAGAACTAAATAAAGTAGTACACTTGACGGGGAAGTACAAAATTAGGATTGATATTGTATGTGACAATGAAAAAGAGACACGCCTTTCATTGAAACTACAGAAAAAGACAGGAAAGGTGTGATAGTTATGGATGTCGCATAATTATTTGTTTGATAAAATTGCGCACAGGTTGATTGGTATAGATTATTACAATAACATCGTAAAGAATGGTTATTGATGGTAGTACCTGAATACAAGCATTAAGAAATGATGGAATTAAATTGTTCTTGTTGAAGAGCTGTATTGCAAGAAGAGGAGTCCATCCAATTAGAAAAGCCACAAACGTGCCGATTGTTGTTTTCAGTAAAAATACATCACGTGAATGTGAATTTTGACCACTACCACCCGTGACACCAACTCGACGAGTAGACTGCCGTACAAACAGAAAGATACGTATGTTACACAGGCTGACAATAGCTACCGGAAGGAGCAGAGTAGTTACTAGGGTGTAATACGGCATAAATTCGGGCTGCTCATCACCCGGACAAGTGAAACTATTTGAAAATAACTGTGGTAGAGCAATCAGCAAGGCAAAAGCCCATCCAAGTCCAATACAGAGCCAAATATAAGAATTTGAACGGAAAAATTGCTTATTCGAATACACAATTGTGAATATTCTACTAATCGCAACCACACAATGCGAGTACATCATTTGACATGCAGCCATATCTGCTAGATATGCTTGCAATCGACAGGATAAACCACTAGATACTGTCAGAAGCTGTTGAATGCTTATTTGTAGTATAATACTACATAGGAACACACTAGTTAAACATACATTGACGGTGAACCAATTGAGTTTATTCTTCCGAAACAATGGTCTAGTGGATACGAGGACCATATACAAGACGGCAAGAATGATAGATAAGATCGAGACCGATATTTGAATGCTGAAAACTGCTGAATCATTGCTGATATAGAGACGATTTGCGGATTGATTATACGTATTACTAGCGTTTTCATGCATGTCAAATGCCTTTCAGTTTCTAGTAAGCAGCCACGAATAAGTACGGTGAATCCCGCTGATCATCATTATTTCCGCTCTTATTCACATCGAGAAAAAATGATAGTTTAGTAACGCGACTTGCCATTTTTGGAAACATGCAAATGAGTATTCCAGACAAGAAAACCTCATCTAATAGAACAATAGCCTAATCTGCTATAAATATATAAATAATTACACTGAAGGATATATTCGACTTCTAATGAATCATTTGATCGAGTAAAATTAAAATATTAATTGAATGCACATTAAGTATCTGAGCAGAAGTTTCATTTCTATTTGACAACTTACTCATTCTTTTCGTCAAGGTGAAATGTGCAATCGCTTGTTTAATATACTTTCTTCGTTTCTCTTTCGCCTTTTTTGCACATTGCCACCATGCTCTTACGTTCTCCAATTGTACAGTGTAGAAAAAGAAAAAGTGGTCGATTACAAACGCACACATATATAGACTCAATCAAATGTATGCTTGTTATTCCGTCAGTGTAGAAGAGCGATGCTTATAATATTTTTTTCGTTTTGCCATCCACCCTATTGATCATTACAATACGAGGACATAGAAACGTGAGTAACTAGCACAATTACATTCGACATGTTTTCAAATATTGATTCATATTTTTGCTATAGTTATGGAAAACACTGAAGTCAGTATATTAGTCGACGATGGTGAAGACAATCATTTTGATGCGTATCCATTGCAAATGATTTCACCAAATAATAAAACTTCAGGTAAATGCATCAAATGAAAAACCTCTCTTTTTTCAGTGTTCATTCTGATTCGATTAGAACGAAGTGTTTATCCAACTACGACATTGGATTTAGAAAAACGTGTGAAAAATGTATGTTCATTTTAGAAATGAAAACTTAAATTACAAATATTGTTTCACAATCTAGGCCATCCATACTTTGAAACTCCGTCTTGCAGATGCAGCTAGGTGAGTTCTTTTCGCACAATTTCATGTCATATCATATCAATAAATATGTATTCAGCGATACTCCAGCTTACTTTGGCTTTTTAAAATTTGTTTACGCTAATGATGCGGACAAAAACAATCGTCTGTCATCGGTAAGTCATCGTCTATCTGAAGTTTCTATACATCTCATTGTTTAGTTCGTCCACTTGGCAACGAAATCACGACCATGGATGGTCGCCAATCTCATAGAAGCATACTATCTACCGACTCCGGATTTTATTCTATCGATACAAACGGGAGGTATTCAACAATATGGACCATACAAAGATAGATCGGGGATTCAAATCGAAACTGAACATGCAATTCAACATGGTCTAACTGCTCTTGCGACAGTCACACGTAAGTGATAGAAAATAAATCATGGCAAATAGAGATTTTCTGATCTAGGCCCGTGGGTCACGACGAGTTGTAACAAACAGGATATGATTCGTTTGGTTGGAAATGCGTTGCATCGAGATATGTGTGGCACGGATGTTCCTTGTATTAGCTTTTGCAATTGGAAATCTGTAGCAGGTAGAAGTGATTATCGAAACTCAAAGGATAAGTAAATTAGATTTTCCGATGCACAGATCATTATCAATTGGAAAGGCAACGGACTGTAATTTCAAAACTTTTCGAGACACGATTCATGGTGAAACATCAAACTAATCTGATATGAGAACTTCAGTTTTGATTATTTATGATTAGATGAATGATGATGATAATGAACCACGTTCGGTTCATGAATATCAATTAACAACAAATAACGATTATGAAACGAACATTTCCGGTTGGCATCTCGATCCAAATCATACTCATTTTCTTCTATTCGACGATGGGTCAAATGACGTGAAAAATATGCTATTAAAACGTCAAGAAGTCGAACATGAATTGAGTATTAGTCGACCATTAAAATCACCTGTGAATGGTTATAAATCAGCAAGTGACAGTACGTATCTTTCGATGTTCAACCATATCCTACGTGTCATTTACTACAGTACATGATAGCGAGATTCCTATTGTTATGCTATTATTGGGCGGTAATTTTACCACATTAATATCCATATGCCAAGGTTTAGAAAATGGAACACCTGTTGTTGTTGTTCGAGTAAGTTATACATTGTTGATTTGACATATATGAAAGATGCTCTGGTATGCGTTCAGGATACTGGTGGTTTAGCTAATATCATTGCTCAACTCTGTCGAAAACTGTCACCAATGGATGAACTCGGCGAATTTCGAAAAATTACATACATCGGAGAATGTAAAAACGAATTAAAGAGGTTATGTTACGAAGAAGGAATATTAGCAATGAACGATGATGAAATCAAAATTAACGATCAACTTGCTGAAATTGAAAAATATGTTGATGTTTTAACAGAAATGGAAACGCTCATTGTCATATTCGATGCTATCGAACGAAAAAATAAGCTGGAAGATGCTATTGCGAATGCTATGTTAAATGGTATTAAGTATCGAGTGGAAAATTACGAACAACATTTCACTGCAGACATCAGGGCAGCGGAAGCAGCATGGTGTTTGGTAAGATCTTGAGTTGTGACTAGGAATGTAAAAGATTCGTTTGTCGGCCAGATATGGAATCGAGATGATCATGCGCGTCAATTATTAATCGATCGTAACGACAAAACGATCATCTCAATGAATGATAATAATCTAAACAAAGATCAGGTAAGCGAAGAAGGATTGATTCGAACCAGGTGACAAGATTTTCTTCTTAATAGAAACTTACCTTGACTCAACAGTTATTATACGAGGCATTGTATCGGAATAATGTACTTTTTGTTCGTTTGCTGGATGAATGTGGTGCATCGATCGAAGAACTAGCAGAAGAACAGTTGGTTGTTATTTGTATTAAAACGATGGTAATGTGATCATTCATTATTCGATTTCATTTCTTTCTCTTCTTTTGCAGAATGACAATGCTCTTCCGCTAGATCATTTGTCTCATAAAACACACCTGTCGAAGCATGATACGACTATCAACGCGTTGAAAATATATGTCGAACGAGTTTATAATAGTTATCTTCGAGAATATTTAGGTCATTATGTAAGTATTTTTTTGAACTCAAAATCGAATGTGTTGAAAGCGGTTCATATATTGTAGATTTCGCAAGAGAAAAGTCGAAAACGGATACGCAGAAGAAATGAACGCTTCAGTGGATTTAATATTGGCAGAATTCTAAATTCCAATACCATGAAAATAGCGGACATATTTGGAGGACGAAAAACGGAAGCACTCTATCTCTGGTTTGTCTTTATGAATCTACCAGGTATGGCTAAGTATCTCTGTTTTCGATCTCGAGTAAGATGAAAATTATGCATAGTATCACTTATCATGTACGATTTATTCATGATCATAGAATCAGACAGTGGGCACTCTTCTTGCCAGTGACATTTATTTGGCAGCAGCGAAGAAGAATGCAAAAAACAAAAGGTATTTGACAACAATGGCACAGTAAGTTGATTAAATCGGGGAGTACCTAGTGTATACCTCAATGAATATAGAGAATTTGACCGGCATTCGAGAGGAATTATCGATACGTGCTTTGCCAAAGATGATGATTTCGCACTCAAGTTACTGAAATCGAAAGCGACGATGTTCTACACCTGCTTTCCGTTACATATCGCACGACGAGCAGATTGCCGAAGTTTTCTCGCTAGTAATACAGTACAGAAGCATCTTCAAAATAAATGGTTTCATAATTTCAATTACCAACGACGATTGATGAAAATTCCAGTTGCAATTTGGGTTCGTTCACAACGTGTACAATAGTATCTCATTGACATTTTGCTTTCAACTTCAGATTTGTCTCGCATCATTGCTGTTACCAATGTTACCTTTTGCATCAGTGTTTGTACCAGCGCTTTACAAAAAGATATCTACAGAAGAGAA